ATAAACCTTCCACTAATTGCTTTTGACTTTGTGTTCCTGGTAATTGCTCTTTCCATTGTCAATTCCAATTATTCTATTCTATTCTATCCTATTCTATCACAACAATCACCTTCCCCACCCACATCACCCTCATATAATCATGTCGCACCCAGATATGGCTATGGCTATCAACAACAATCTAAATAACATGACAAGTATAGACTCCTCCTCTCTACTCGTCTCCATCCAATCTCTATCATACTGGAAAATTTTCGTCACACTGATCTCAGTCCTATTGGTCTGGGACCAAATCAGCTACCAAATTAAAAAAGGTTCCATCGCAGGCCCAGCTTTCAAGTTCTACCCTATCATCGGCCCTTTCTTGGAATCCCTAGATCCAAAATTCGAAGAATATAAAGCCAAATGGGATTCCGGTGAATTGTCCTGTGTCTCCATCTTCCATAAATTCGTCGTCATCGCCTCCACAAGAGACTTGGCAAGAAAAATCTTACAAGCTCCAAAATTCGTCAAACCTTGTGTCGTTGACGTCGCCGTCAAGATCCTAAGACCTTCAAACTGGGTCTTTTTGGATGGTAAGGCCCACGTCGACTACAGAAAATCTTTGAACGGGTTGTTCACCAAAACTGCTTTGGCTCAATACTTACCTTCTCAAGAAGAAGTCATCGATAAATACATGGAAAAATTCGTCGAATACTCAAAAAAGAACAACTATGAACCACAAGTCTTCTTCCATGAAATGAGAGAAATCTTATGTGCTTTGTCTTTGCAATCCTTCTGTGGTGATTACATCACTGAAGATCAAATTAGAAAAATTGCTGATGATTATTATTTGGTTACCGCTGCTTTGGAATTAGTCAACTTCCCAATCATTTTACCTTACACAAAGACTTGGTATGGTAAGAGAACCGCCGATGCTGCTATGAAGATTTTCGAATCCTGTGCCCAAAGAGCTAAAGATCACATCGCTGCTGGTGGTAAACCAATCTGTGTCATGGACGCTTGGTGTAAATTAATGCATGATGCTAAGGACCGTAATGATTCCGAATCAAGATTATTCCATAGAGAATTCTCAAACAAAGAAATCTCAGAAGCTGTCTTCACTTTCCTATTCGCCTCCCAAGATGCCTCTTCCTCTTTAGCTTGTTGGTTATTCCAAATCGTTGCTGATCGTCCAGATATTCTACAAAAAATCAGAGAAGAACAAATGGCTGTTCGTAACAATGACTTAAACACCCCATTGACTATTGAATTGATTGAAAAAATGACTTATACTAACATGGTAATTAAAGAAACTTTACGTTACAGACCTCCTGTTTTAATGGTTCCATATGTTGTCAAACAAAAATTCCCTGTCTCTCCAAACTACACTGCTCCAAAGGGTGCCATGTTGATTCCAACTTTATACCCAGCTTTACATGACCCAGAAGTTTACGAAAACCCAGATGACTTTATCCCAGAAAGATGGGTCGAAGGTTCAAAGGCCTCTGAAGCTAAGAAGAATTGGTTGGTCTTTGGTTGTGGTCCTCATGTTTGTTTAGGTCAAACTTACGTCTTGATCACTTTTGCTGCATTAATCGGTAAATTTGCATTGTATACTGATTTCAAACACAAGGTCACCCCATTAAGTGAAAAGATCAAGGTTTTCGCTACTATTTTCCCTAAGGATGATTTATGGATGTCTTTCAAGAGAAGAGATCCAATCACCGGTGAAGTCACTGAATAATTTAATTAATAAATTAACCGATAAATTAACCAATCGATTGATCGCATTATTTCTTTAATTAAGATCAAGAAACAATTAGAATAATAACTAACATATGACAACTATTTTCTTAAAATCATTAATCTAACTAAACAGTTGAAACAAAAAATTCAAAAAAAACATCTATATAACGAGGATAAACCATTTTATTTATTAGTATATTTACAATCTCTTTTTACATTATTTTTATATTCGATATATATATATCTATATATATTTATACTACTACTGATTCAATTTTACAGATAAGTTCAAGCACATGATATTTCTACATTTTTAATTTCAAGTTCAATCTCAAGCAAGGTAATGGAAATTTTATGTTACAATTAATAAAGATCAGACTGACGTGCAAAATAAATTAATTGAGGTCTTCTTCATCAATAATGAAATCTCAAAGAAGTAAAATGTAGCTCAAGGAATTGTCATCATAATTATAATTGTAACAATATTAAATTCTACAAGATATTTCAATATGGATGGAAATTTGATCTCAAACTACCATTTAATTGAAACAAAAAAAATAAAAATCAAGATAAAATGATTAATTCAATCATGACTATTAAAGATTAACCAGCTACTGTAGTATTTTCCCTGATGGGAAAATACATCCAAAGAGAAATGATTATTCCGCTTTAATTTATAGATGTCAGTATCATGCCTTGTCACAGGCAGTTATCATCAAAGTTTCTTAATTAAACAGGTAAAGAAACGCAGTTGACCGTCGTGATAAAAGTAAATTCATCATAAACATATAAATTAAAGTCAGAAAACCATTAATCGTTGCACGGAATTAACAATAACTAGATTCGAAAATAAATAATCAATAGCCTTGATGTCTCTTCTTCTGAAAAGATTCTCATAACAAAATTATTAAAAACCGTCGTAATAAATTAGGAAAGCTATCAAACCTATTAATAGTTAATACAAATCAGACATGTTTGTTTATCTAACATAGTAGAATTCAGACATATGCTTGTCATTTTTAAACAGTTTCATCTTTTGTATTAACTATTTTTTATACATAAAAAAAAAAATTGGTATAGTAAAATGCATTAAGAAACGTTGACAGCTCAATCGACTGATACAGACTGTTGATTTTAACACTTTCATTAATTACAAAACGAATGTTCGATTTAACATATTTTCAGAAATGCATGAATGGAATTAAAAATAGTTTTGTCTTCACAAAGTAGATCAGACTCGTCATCTATAAGTATTCATCACTAAAATAGTCATAAATATGATTTATGGATTGAAACATAAAAAGGAGGTTACCACATTCCAGATTATAATATAAAAGTGTAAAAATCTTAGTTTCTCAGATGCAAATATTACTATAAAAATCATAAAAAAAAACATAAATGTAATATGAATCTGTAGCGTAGGTTTTCTAGGCCTACTTAAAGCGGTGTCACTCATTTTGCAAAAAAAAATTTTATTAATTTATCAGTGCCCAGTGCTGTGACTCTTCATCTTCACATATACATTTTTCTAATGATAGAAAATAATAGAGAGAACTACTGTTTCCTCGAAAATTTTCCAAACATCTTCACATTCGAAATAGTAAAGTTTTGCTTTAAAAACATTCTTAATAATAAAAATATATTGTAATCAGAAATAGTGCAAAAACGTATCAACATATAATCGTTCAGCCAGTAATTCCAGCTTTTGTTTTTGTTACATCATCATTTAGACTAAGAATGTCAAAAAAATCAAAAAAATACTACTTCAAATTGCCATCGATGCAGTAGCAGACAGAAAAACAAACATCCAAAACAAGTTACAGAAATACAACTGTATTCCTCTTATCCATATCTACATATATGTTAATCATCCGGCTCTTTAAGGTAAAAGAAACCAATAAGTTTGCAATAATTATCGTTAACCTCAGTGAGATATGCATGATCAGTTTTCTAATCATTAAAGTTCAGAAACTCTAGTTTGTATGTTTTTATCATGGTCATCAATGGAACGATAAACAAACTTATTTAATAGACAAATACATATATATTTTTAAAAAAATATAAATAATTGCAATAACTTATTTTGAATCTGTCTCGAATCAACTGCATCGAAGATGAAAGATGTTCCTTGCCCTCTTGTATCAGAATAAAAGAAAAGCTATTATAAGAGAAATTGATAAAATTAAACAATATGGATGAAATAAAACTTATAGAAAATGTAGTCTCCTTATATACAAAAGAAAATTAATTGTAAAACTGACCATTATCAAAGTTCTTACTGTGTTGTGTATGTGTTTGCTGTTTCGAACATGGATCCAATGCAACATCGACATAAGAAGAGAAGAGAGAAGAGAAGAAAAAATTTTTCACTTTGCTTTTTTTTTCGTTTTCGAATATTTGGAATATTTCGAAAGTGACAATTTCGAAATGGTTAGGGCATTCTTGATCCGGGTTCAATTGGGAGCAATATCGAAATTAGTTCTGTTATGTTATGTTATGGGTCCAAGATGATGTTGATGTTGATGTTGATGTCGATACGGATAAGAGCAGGCAAGGTTTTGGTTTGATGTCAGATGGGCATCAGGGTATTTTCGTTGTGGCTAGTTTCACATGTTGGGATTAGTTTTGTTTATTCTGTGTCATATTTGTGTTTTGATCCTTATTGTTATATGAATCTAAGGTCATCGTATATCTTGGTTCTAATACAGGCTTAACGTCTAAGTGAAAGTGCAACTGCGAGAGTGATTATATATATAAATATATATATATATATATATATATATATATATATATACATAGATAGATATATTTATGGATATATGTATGGGATCAATTTGCACGTGTAGTTTATTGTGAGATCGAGTTTTTATTGAACCATCCTGACCTCTTTTGTTCCGTTTACTTTTGTTTGTTATACTGTTTGTTGTTTGTTTTATGCATTCAGATCTGGGGTAATTCACTCACTTTTGGTTCAAGAAATACACATACACACATATATATATACTTCTCTCTATACTACTTTTTATCATTACTAGTGCATTTTTCTTTCTCTCCAGTATCCAATCAATCAGATGGTGTCTTCCACTATAACTAACCATGCTTCTACTCTTAATGACAGAAGTATACAATTCAATGAGCATGAAGTACGTAAGGATAATGTCGTTAACACTATAGATTACAACATTACCTATCTTTATACTGACAAAGTTATACAATTGTCCATACTGTCACTCTGTTGTTATTTAACCCTTAAAAATGATTTGTTATTCTATGGATTGCCTTTATTAAAAATTTTGATTGTATTCACTATGGGTTCTTTTTTGAGTTTCAACAATAACTTCAATAATTTATGGAAATTCGATACTGTGTATCTATTCCTTCTACCTTTATTAATGTCTTTCTATTTCCAAACGGATTGTATATTTTTAAATACAATTTTAACCTTTAATTCATTTGATATCTCATATTTATCAAAATTGTTATTGCAATTATATTTATTATATTCAATCAACGGCACATTCACCACCCAAGTAATACCAATATTCATCAATTCATTATTATGCTCCATTTTAGCTAAAATCGGAGATTACAAAAGTTTCGATAACATCGATTGTAACCTATTCAGTATTTTTCTAACTAATTTGCTATTCTTAAATGATTCAAAAGAGCTGATCTATAACAATTTGTTTAAAGCCCTAATGTTCTCTTTGATTAACGTGATTACCATAAATTATACAATTATTAAGTTATTAAAATTAACAAAAATCGAGAAGAACTTTAAATATCTGAGATCTGTATTGCTATCTTCAAATATTTTGATTACATTCCCATTACTGGTTAAAAATTTAGTTATTGAGGGTCAGGACCCATTGATATGGTTGATTAATTTTATTTCAACTTCAATTGACCGCCAGAAAATTCTATTTACCTGGTTACTTGCATTATTAATTCTAATACCCAATATTATGATGAATAAATCAAAGTTTTCATTAAATACTTCAAGAAAAGTTTGGCATTTTTTAATAATAGTTTTATTGGTATACCCATTTAAAATAGATCCTCTATTTGTTAAAATTTCATTAGCTGGTTCAATTGTACTGTTTTTAATTGTAGAATATACAAGATATCTGAAATTAGACCCAATTGGTAATCAATTGGACCTCCATTTGAGATCGTTCACTGATTTCAGAGATGAAAATGGCCCTGTCATCATATCTTACATTTATCTAATAGTCGGCGTTTCAACTCCATTATTATTATCGGACTCCCCAATTGGCTTGGTAGGTTTAGGAATCGGTGATTCAATTGCATCTATAGTGGGTAAAAAAATTGGTACAATTAAATGGCCCGGTACGTCTAAAACTGTAGAAGGTACAGTGGCTTTCATATTGAGTACAATGCTAACTTGTCATATTTTAAAGGAGTATCTCGGCTATTTTACTGACATTTCTACTGCTGATTTATTTAAAATTTGCACACTAAGCGGTATCCTTGAAGGAAACAGCGTGCTTAATGATAACATTTTAATACCAACATTCATGTTGATTTGCGAACGTATTTTTGCTAGACAATAATAATTCTTTTTTTACCCTCTAATTATTCCATAATTCTAATTCAATCCAGACTCCTAATTCCTGAAGTCTCATTTCCCCAAAAAACTAACTACACTAATATATAACATTCATAACTAATCAATTTAATGAAACATATATACATATATTATATTACAATGCACATTTACAGAGATCAGATTTAATTCAACTACCAGTTGGAATACATCTCTGCTACATTTATTGAATAATTTGACAAAAAAGAAACTCCGATACGGGGAGTCGAACCCCGGTCTCCACGGTGAAAGCGTGATGTGATAGCCGTTACACTATATCGGATAATAATTGTTGAAATATTTTAAGTATGGATGAGGACCAACAAGACTGATTATGGTCATGATTTTCACTTTTAATGCACACAAGATATCGTAATTTGAAAGTGTATAATATAAATCAAAGGCTTAATCCAATTATAGCGAATATTTTGTTATTCGTAAAGGATGGTAAAGTACGAAGATCGAAGGGATTAGATATATTTAATCTCCCTAGGTTATCGAATATTTTTAGGTGGGATCACTCTTTATTATACATAGTATTTTTTTTTTGAGGGGGCTAGATCAGAAAGGTTTAAGAGTTAATTGTGAATTAGTTATAAGTTTAAGGTTAATATGGATTATCTTAAAAAGGCAATTTGGGGACCAGATCGAAAAGAGCAGCATAACAAGATTAAATCTGTTCTGAGAAAGAATGGGAGAACTATAGATAAATCTTTAAGAGAGTTATCAGCACTGCAAAATAAAACTCAATTGCTGATTAAACGTGCTGCAAAGAAAAATGACGTTAAGGCTGTGAGAATATATGCTAAAGAATTATATCAAATTAATAAACAGTATAGCAGGATGTATACTTCAAAGGCACAACTGGAGTCTGTTGGAATGAAGATCGATGAGGCTTTTAGAATGAATTTGTTATCTGCCCAAATGGCTCAGAGTACTGGATTGATGATGGAAGTTAACCAATTGGTGAGACTACCACAATTACAAGGAACAATGATGGAGCTGGAAAGAGAATTGATGAAGTCAGGCTTGATCAGTGAGATGATTGATGATACAATGGAATCTGTTGGTGAGATGGATGATGAAATGGATGAAGAAATAGAAAATGAGGTCAATAAGATCGTTGAACAATATACTAATGAAAAATTCGAGAAGGTAGATGAAACTCCTACTAATATTCAAGCTCCTGTCGAAGAAGAAGTATCACAAGAAGAAATTCCAGAGGACCAAATTGGCGAAGAAGCTGATAATATGATTAATGAAATGAGAGAAAGATTGAAAGCATTACAAAACTGATTTATAGAAAAATTGGATGAGAAGGGGGATGCTCTATTTAATCTCTTACCTTCAAAAAAATAGGCCGAATTGCATTTGAGTATCTACTGACTTGTATATTATTCTATTATGTTGTATATTTATAATATTTAATGATGAATTTATATGAACAATGTTGTCTATATACACAATTTTCTTTAAAATGAGAGAAACGATTCTATATTAAAGATTATATATTTATAGTACTTTTTATAAAAAATTATCGTTTATAATTGTTCTCTATGCAGAAATATGAATATCAAATTAAATAAGCATATTCATCATCATTTATTGTTTTGTAACGCACCCAAGGGAATGATTGATAATTAACTTGATTTTCTTCGATTTTCAAATATTCAACTTTTAGCCCACTACAAGTCGAATATGGAACCTCAAATTTCATTGTTAACAGCTGTTGTGAAATGCCATTTTTATCATGTTCATCCCTATTATCATGCGTCTGTTCATAAATTTCCTCAAGTTTAGGACCTTCTCTTAAGGGAGGTGGATTCATTGATGTTTTCATTTCTTCTTGCAATCTATCGTATTCTTCTTGATTAAAGATGAAGAATTCAGCAACCATATTATTTTTACTTTCACCATTACCACCTTTCATTGATCCCACTTCCCAAATTAGGAAGTCATCTGAGATATTAAATAACACCTCACCAAAATCACTTTTAAACCTTGGTTGTTTAGTTAAGTCTATTTTATATTGGGAAAAAACCATACGTAATGGAATCTTAATAGTCAACACTGAAGTTGAATTTTGTTTTTTAAAGTGTGTTTCGATGGTAACATGGATTTGAATCTTATATTTTTTCAATTTAGGTTTAATTTCTATATTTGATAGTTTTATTACCGGCACATCCCTAACATGCCTCTTCAATTCGTATTTACACAGTACAAATTCACCATCCGGCGGTATAAATTCTATTTCCTTGCCATGATAAGTGTTTTCTTCTTCTTCATTATTAATTTCTCTTTTCAAAGAATTTATAGAGACACATTGATGAAATTTTGAGTTTGAAATGAATTGTTCATCGTTTTTGATCAATTTATTCAATGCTACTTTCAATGTTGGCATACCTGATAGATAACATTTACACTTGATTTCACCATGTATCAAATTTTTCCTTATTCTACCAGTACTAAAATCCATCAAGTACTGTACTTTTTCAATTACATCTAAGAAAAATTCATTTTTAGCATAGTAAATACCTTTTGTTCTCCATGAGACAGGCATTATTGTAGTCTTAGCTATATAGCTATTGATGAAGTTTTCATCGTCATCGTCATCATAATTATCTTGTTCATTTGACTTTCCTTCATTAGCTGTGACTGCAGGTTGGCCCTTCCATAGTTTGACAATATCTGTCTTACCGGGTATATAAGTTGATAGACCTTTATGTTTTTCTTCTGTATCACTATCATCATCAGAAGTCAAATGTGTAATTGGCGAATTGACCTTGACCCTAATATAATCCTTAATGATACTTGGATCTGTTAATTGAACAATTCCAAAATCCATACTCTCATCAATCAATTCTATGATCAACAATACGTTGTCCAGTACAATGTTTCTATCAAGGGAGCTTCTATTAAAATAAGTTTTCAATAATAGATATAATTGATCCAGATAAAAAGTTAATGCCATTAAATTTGTAATTCTATCATCAGTTTCGTGAATAGCAGTCATAAACCAAAGAGAATCCCTCTTAATAAAAACGTAATGCCATTCCAAGACCGTGAACACTGGAGGACCATTCTCTTTATAATTTAGTTTAAAGAACTCTAGTATGCCTGTCAAATTTCTTACTGATTTAACATTTTTAGAGATTAAAGGCTCTAAGGATTCATCTAAAATAAATAAACATGACGACATCTCCACTCACTACAACCTGCCCAATCTATAATGCACTATTCCAAACCACAGCTTTTCTTGAACCCTTAGATGTTAGGTCCATTACAGCACTATTTGTTTTTACTACAAGTGTTATATATTTATGTATGATATATATTTATTTCGTCTTATATTGCCATAATATATTTTAAAAGCCGGCTTAGTATATAAGGCATAATGGATTATTTAAACAGCAATGAAATAAACATTCAAGAACAATGAATGGTCAAGATGGGGAGAATGAGGATGAATTTGATGCGTAAGCTGATTGAAATAGTATAAAGAGATGTATAATAAGATTTCCCGAGTTGCTCCAGTTGTATTGAGTAAAGAACAGATTGCTTTGAAGCTTATATCGTTACCTCACTGGAAGATCGAAAATAGTAAATTAGTGCGAGAACCGATTGAAGTGAGAGATTTTGAGACTGCTTGTTCGTTGTTTAATGCCATTGCTATGAGGTCTCATCTTTGGGGCCACCATCCTGAATTGACGTTGAATTACAATCGGCTTGGAATTAAGTTGACCACACACGATATTGGCAATCAGGTCAGTGATATTGATTTGAAATTAGCTAAAAGGATCGAAAAGTACGTGGATATGTACAAATTTGAAGAAGGAGTTGCGGAAGAAAAGTAGGATCGGATATTACGTCTTGCTTAAACTAGAGTAGAATAAGATAAAGTTTGGCTAATGGAATTGGAAGAACAATTGTGTCATTGAAACAGTTTCCTGTACATATATGAGAACTCCGAGCTACAAGACTAACGTCTGTTAGAACAATGCAAACGTCGATAGTTAGTAAGGTGAGCAAGCTCCCAAGTTGATGACTAGTTTATATTGCCTATATAATATATTATGAATCGCTTCTTATAAGATATATTACAACAAATATCAATCACGTGACATTTGTTTGAATTAAATAAAAAGGTTTCATTCATTTCTTCTAATGACCGGTGCCCACTGTTGGAGACCCCCCACCCCCAAAAGAACAATCTATGCAACTTAACTCAATTTTCTCAATTTTTGCTACTATTCTCCATGACCAATTCCTATCGCGACAGTGTTAACCATCATTATGATCACAAAATGCTTCTGAGTTCGACTTCAATATATACAAGAAGAGAAATTGACAGCTCCACGAGAGACATTAAATGGAATCAGTGTAGATAGTAAGACACCCAATTGCATTGTCTCCTTCTCCCACTATGTACCATGTCTATATGTCAATTTACAACTATCTGTATAGTTGTAAATTGTGGCATTGCTATCACGTGCACAGAAACGCACAGAAACGCACGTTACCCTACCTTACACTTCATTACGTGATTACAAATAAATCACATGACCACACGTGACCATCCCTCCTTCCAAAATCCTCCCAAACCCAAGCCCACCCATAGTAAAGAAAAAACACACACACAAATTCGCGGGAAATTTATTGTAACAAATGAAATGAAAAAAATAATAAGTGTCTCCTTTTACAGCTATGATCTAATTTAGTATATAAATATATATATGTATAAGTACTAACTACTTTTATTAAAAGAGGTTATGTTAAATTGGTTTGTTATTGTCTTGGCAAAGCTCTGGTGTCACTGAACAAGATCTGTTGAAAATTATTTTAGTTTAGGTTCTTGTGTCTTTGTTGTTGTTACTCCTCTAACAATGAAACTTTTATTTTATGTGCTGTCCCTATTACTAAACTTTTCATTATTTGTTAATGCTAATAAGGAAAAGATCAATGAAAAATATTATAGAAAATGCTCTGGTATGTACTCCAAGGAGGACTACAGTGGGAAAGTAGACCCATTCATCTCTTTTAATGTTAAAAAATTATCAGAATTAGCAGAAAATGATCCTGGCTTAATTGTAGCAATTTTTGATTTCCAAGATTTTGAACATTTAGGTGTTAGATTACCTGATGACGAATATTACTATATCTGTGATGAGTACGCTATAGATGCTAAGTTATGTAACGAATCCTCTAAAAACCAATTTATTATTCAGGATGTCGTCTATGATCCTTTTTCAAATACTAATAAATCTATAGTACATCCGATTATGACCTTTTCCCAAGATTTCACAGGTTTGCACGATACTAAATACCCTGTTACCAAGACTGGTTACTATTGTGTTACTGCTTTCACATACTCGGAAGGTACTAACTTCGATGCTGTGGTCAATTTCAGAAATGCTTACGGTCACTTAGCTGCTGCTGAAATTAACAAGTTGCCATTGTATGGTTTATTGGGGATCTTCTACGTGATAGCAATGGCTTTATACTCTTTTGCCTTCTGGAAACACAAACATGAATTGTTGCCTTTGCAAAAATATTTATTGGCTTTCTTCGTATTTTTAACTGCCGAATCAATCTTTATTTGGGCTTATTACGATTTGAAAAATGAAAAGGGTAATACCCCAGGTATTACTGTTTATATGGTGTTCTTGTCAATTTTAACTGCTGGTAAAGTCACCTTCTCTTTCTTCTTACTGTTGATCGTTGGTTTGGGATATGGTATCGTTTTCCCAAAACTGAACAAGACTTTGATGAGACGTTGCCAAATGTTCGCGGTTTTCAATTTCGCCATTGCTACTGCTTATTTGATCCAAAACTACTTGTCTAACCCTGAATCAACTTCATTGTTGATCTTGATCACTTTCATTCCATTAGGTATCACCTTGTTCGCTTTCTACTACATGATTCTAAGATCTATGACAAAGACAATGATATATCTAAGAGAGCAAAGACAAGTAGTAAAGTTAGGTATGTACAAGAAATTGATAACGATCATTTATGGTTCTCTGTTCTTAATATTCATGGGTACCATCGTTTCTTCCTTTGTTTATATCGGTACAAACACTATCGAAATGATCGAACAACATTGGAGAACTAGATTTTTCTATACCGATTTCTGGCCAACATTGGTATATTTCGGTGTATTTGTAACTTTGGCTTTTATCTGGAGACCAACATCAACCTCTTACATGTTGGCTTCTTCCCAACAATTGCCAACTGACCCAGAAAATGTCGCAGATTTTGATTTAGACGATCTACAGTCATTAGGTGAAGTCGATGACTCTGTCCCAACTGCCACCACAAATGCAGACGATTTAGATTTAGATTTTACAGATGATGAACTGGATATTCAAAACACAAACACTACAAAAATAGATGATCAAACTCCAGTGACAAATGATAACAAATAGTTTATTTCCAAATTAATCCCCTCCAAATAGCTCCTACGATACCACAAACAATGGTACAATAATTAAGATAAAAGTTAATGAAGGGGATTCATATATTCAATTATGTTCATATTAGCGTTGTGAAGCTTCTACCCAGCCAACAATCGATCTTAACGAATGACGAAGAGCTTCTTGTAACCCATTCGAAAATGAAGTTGCTTTTGTAACTAACTGGTGTTCATCTATCCATTCTCTGTATATGTATCTTTTAGTCAACACCTTCTGACATTTAATTGTATATAAAAATGTTTAATATATAAGTATATTTCTTTTTTGTCATTGCAAGCCAAACAGCATTGAGATTAGAAGGAGCGTCTAAAAATGAAATCAAGTAAGATTGATGATAATGATGATGATGATGATGATTTTCAAATTTACAATTAAGTAGACTATATAGAGTTGATGAAGAGAGTCCAACTATCAATCTTGGTTTGCCATTACGATCGTTCATCCTGAAATTGCATCGTTATAAATATTCTATATTATAATAAATGATAATATTTAATGGCGCTACCAATCGACTCTAACAGGGTAACATTTCCTCGGACATGCCGGGTAATAAACCCCTTTTAAACAACTTTTCATTTCAAGTTTCATTCAGCACTTTAAAATAAGTAGTAATAAAGTTAAAGGTAATATTTAATGTTTAATAAATGTTGTTTAAAACTACTCAATTGAGACAAACAATAGGACCATTGTGGGATTTTGTATCGTGAATTAGTGCAGTATTAAGTTTCATTTGAAATAAGGAAATTGATATCCTTTTTTAATTCAATCAGAAATAATTAACTGCGGTGCAATATACATATTTGTCAAACAAAATAAAAAAAAAATATTATCATTTAATCAGTTATGTCTTATTTGAATAATCCTGCCATTGTTATGGATAACGGTACTGGTTTGACCAAGTTAGGTTATGCCGGTAACGATTCTCCATCCTGGATTTTCCCTACTTCTATTGCCACTTCTCAAGCCAGCGGTGCCAAGACTAGTTCAAATCAATCGAACACTGCTAGCGGTGCTGCTTCTTCTGGTGGTTCTGGTCAAATTAACAACCCTTACTTTGGTAATTCCACTTCTGCCACTTCATTTGGTAACAATTTGTCTTCAAATAATCTATTATTATCAAATAATTTAGCTGGTAAAAGAGGTACCGAGGATTTAGATTTTTATATTGGTAATGAAGCTTTGATAGCATCTCAAGGTCCATCCTACTCTTTGAGCTATCCAATTAGACATGGTCAAATTGAAAATTGGGATCACATGGAAAGATTCTGGGAAAATTCGATTTTTAAATATCTAAGGGCAGAACCAGAGGATCATTTCTTCTTATTGACTGAACCACCTTTAAACCCTCCAGAAAACAGAGAACAAGTGGCCGAAATATTCTTTGAATCATTCAATTGTGCAGGTTTATATATTGCTGTGCAAGCTGTTTTAGCCTTGGCCGCCTCTTGGACATCCTCACAAGTTACCGATAGATCATTGACAGGTACTGTTATTGATTCTGGTGATGGTGTCACTCACGTTATTCCAGTTGCTGAAGGTTACGTTATTGGTTCTGCCATTAAAAATATCCCAATTGCAGGTAGAGACATTACTTTATTTATTCAATCTTTGTTAAGAGAACGTGGTGAAGCTGATACATCTTTAAGAACTGCCGAACGTATTAAACAAGAATATTGTTATGTTTGTCCTGATATAGTAAAAGAATTCAATAAATTTGATAGACAACCTGAAAAGTTCGCACAATTCATCATAGAGAATCAAGACAAGACTAAGCAAAAAGTTGTTGATATTGGTTACGAAAGATTTTTGGCTCCTGAAATTTTCTTCAACCCTGAAATTGCTTCTTCCGACTTCTTGACACCATTGCCAACCGTTGTTGATCACACCATCCAAGCTTGTCCTATTGATGTCCGTAAAGGTTTATACAATAACATTGTACTATCTGGTGGTTCAACAATGTTCAAAGATTTCAGCCGTCGTCTACAGAGAGATATCAAATCCATTGTAAACAGCAGAATCATCCAGAATGAAGCAGTAACAGGTGTCAAATCAACTGGTGTTGACGTTCAAGTTATTTCACACAGAAAACAAAGAAATGCCGTTTGGTTCGGTGGTTCCTTACTTGCTCAAACCGCAGAATTCAAGAGTTATTGTCATACTAAGAAGGACTATGAAGAATACGGTCCTGAAATTGTCAGAAACTTTAGTTTGTTCAATATGGTTTAATAGCCATATCCTTGTACAATAAGCAACTTCCTCTGTCGAAGGTTAATATCAGGGTTTGAAGATGCAAAGATAAGAATAAAATCCAACGTCATATGTAGATGTGTATATAAACAACACTGTTTATGGATCTATAATATTTAAATAAGAATTTTTTAACGAATTAATCTTTACTTCCACTAACTGTAAAATAAAACACTGAATCTCAGAAAGTTTAATAATATTCTTATTTTCTATTACTCTTGATATGCTATACAATGTATATAAAATAATTTACAGGCTTCTCTTCTATTCTAGTCTTGGCCTTTGGTTTATAATATAATAAAAAACAGATGCAGAAATGAGGTTAATTGTTGGTTCTAAACTTGTAACTACAAGCTGGACAGGTATAGAAGACTGTAGCACCTTCATCTGCCGATCTAAGTTGTAAAGTATGATATTGCATTTCTTCATTACCACATTTCGGACATTTTTCCTTAATAGTAGCACCATCCTTCAATTCATCTTTCTTCAAACTGGTCTTGACCACAGACTTCTTAGATCTCAAGGAAGATGGGAATGCATCTTCTGCCGTACTTGTAACAACCTTTAAATTAGAAAATTTACTCTTAGGATATGTAGCCTGGCATTGTGAACATTCTAAATCAGATCCTGTAACAGCACTCGGATTATCCAATAAATCACCACAATCTAAACAGAATATAAGAGAACCAACAACAGACATTTTAGGACTCAACTAACACACTCTCACTATCAACAATGTGAACAATTATAATTAATTTAATACCATTTCTTATACTTTTAATGATGGTTTCTTCAGGTTCATTGCTTTTAATCTCAAATTTTGATCAAAATTTTTCAGCGATGAGCTGAATGATATCGCCGTGTATAATGATAGATATTTTTTCAAAAAGAGACTCAAATTTAAAGGTCAAGATCGTTTGGCTTCTATCATACTTGAAGGTTCGTTAAGTTAAGTAGATTGTAGATATATAAACCGAATCTATGGATGGAATGTTATCCTTGTGTTTGATAATGGGATCGTTTTGAATGGGTCAGCTTAGTTTGTGCTAGTTAGATCTGAAAAACTGAAAAAGTGTAGCTAAGCTTTTTATAGGAGCAACAGAAGATAAATCAAAAATAAAATAAAATAAAAATAGAAGTCCGATTGCTAAAAGTTTGATGAATTCTAGAAAAATTTCTGTGGGGTTAAATATTGCAATTGTTCAATTAAATCCGCAAATTGGACAGGTGAAGCAGACGGTTTCCAGGGTGTATGAGTTGATCGATAAGTTTAAGGGGACCCTGGGATCGCAAAAGACTCCAGATTTAGTAGTATTTCCAGAGTTCGCCCTCACTGGTTATAACTTTCATTCAAGAGAGCATATTCTACCTTATTTAACCAATGATCCAAGCAAAGGTGTGTCTTTTGATTTGGCGGAAAAGGTATCCAAGATGTTTAACTGTTATACAGTTATAGGATATCCTGAGAGATATATCGATAGTTCAGAAAAGGAACATTTATATAACTCTGCAGCAGTTGTAGATCCAGATGGAAAACTAGTATTCAATTATAGGAAGTCATTCCTATACAATACTGATGAAGAGTGGGGCTGCGAAGAGAATCCAAATGGGTTTCAGAATTTTAACTTGGACTTCCCTGGAAAAGGTACTGATCTCAGAACAGGGGAAAAACTCGATGTCTCCTTAAATTCCTCAATTGGTATTTGTATGGATTTAAGCCCGTATAAATTTCAAGCTCCATTCGATAAATTCGAATTCTCAACTTATAATATAGATAATAATTCCGAGTTAATTATTTGTCCGATGGCGTGGTTGCATTCGTCATCATACACTAACCATTCAAATGATTCGAAATCAAAGGTAATGCATGGTATTGAAACCAACTTGAAGAACCATAGCTTGCCTTTACATGGATCGCAAGGTAAATTTGTTGTTGATATCGATGAAAACAATAAAACTGAAAGAATTGAAAATGATTCAGATTCAATTGAAATTAGTTATTCTGAATTAGACAAACCTGATATGAGCAATGTCAACTATTGGCTTTTAAGATTTATGCCATTTTTATCCTGTATGTTTAGAAATAAAAGGTTTGTTGATGACAGCTCTTTTCCAAGCTATGATTTAGAATATTCTTGTGGGGAAAAATCCTATATGGGTAGCACTAAAGATTCACCTTGGGCATTCAAGGATAAGAATGCAACTATAGTGTTGGCCAATAGGTGCGGTGTTGAAGATGGAACTACTATATTTGCTGGTAGTTCTGGAATTTGGAAATTTAATGGTCAAGATGTAGATACAGAGACAAATTTGAATTCGCTTAATGAAAGTGTAGAATTACTAGGTAATTTGGGGAAATGCCACGAAGGTATAATAATGCGTCATGTGGACTTCGAGATTATCAGGTAATTTGTGATGTTCATAATTATAATGCAATAAGTTAGATTTGATTAAAGTGAGTGTATGAAAGTTTACAGCTCATTTATGTAAATAGTTTAGTTTTGGGCTTTTTTAAAATATACCATAATATATATATAGATTATATGCAGACATTGTCTGAATAATATTACAACCTACAGCAAAATTATTTGATGATATAGACTTCGCCTTCATTTCTTTAAGAGTGTCCTTCATTTTAAAGCAACAATTGCTATTATGATTTATTAAGTTATTAAGTTTTATTTTCATCAGGGTTCTTTTCATCAGGTTTCTTTTCATCAGGTTTTTTCTCATCAGGTTTCTTTTCATCAGGTTTTTTCTCTTCAACCTTCTTTTCTTCAACCTTCTTTTCTTCAACCTTCTTTTCTTCAACCTTCTCCTCTTCTGCCTTCTTCTCTTCAACTTTATTCTCTTCTGCCTTCTTCTCTTCAACTTTATTCTCTTCGGAGACCTTATTCTCTTCGGAGACCTTATTCTCTTCGGAGACCTTATTCTCTTCAGATATTTTATTTTCAGCATTGTTATCTTGCAATTTATTAGAATCTGAATCAAGTTGACCTGCTTCCTTTTTTTCTTGCTCTTCCTTCAATTTTCTCTCTTTTTCTTGCTCTTCTTTCATCTTTTTCTCTCTCTCCTCTTTTTCTTTTTGTTCCTTCCTTTTCTTATCTAACTCTATCTTTTCCAATTCTTTTCTCTTCTTTTCTTCTAATAACTTCAATTCTTGTTCTTCACTTAAAATTGGATCATCCTTGAAAAGTTTTGCTGTTTTGTTTGAATGGAAAAGATCCATACCTGATAAGTTTATATTGCTTAATTGTGATTCATCTGAAATCTGAAATAATGACACTTTCCTTTCCTTATACTCATCTGTTAGTTCCCATAATTTCTTAACAGTCTGTAAATTAATCGTAGTTAGTAAAGTGTCTATGTCGTCACCCTCAAACTTCGATTTCATAGTCTCATCCCATAATCTTTTTTCATACTTAAATAAATATGGATCCTTAGCAGGGTTTCTGACAGCTGGCAATATGGTGCTTCTTAATTCACTTAAAAGTTGGGCTTTTTCTGCTGGTTTTAACTTCTTATCAAACATAATTTCGTTTTCTTTAATCTTATAAGAAAAAACATTGGACGAAGAATGTGCTAAAGAAACTATGTCAATGTAACCACTTTTCATCATATTGTAATATAATATCTTAACATCTTTATAATCAAGATCATCTAGTGTAGAATTTAGTTTTTGTAAATTTGGATACCATCCAAGGTGGTTTGCAGCTTTATCAATAATACCACTTTCAACCCACATACGTATTTCAGGAACATATTTCCAAGTCTTGAATTCTATTACTCTGTTCTCCTCCGGAACACCATACTCATTTCTTAATATTCTCATAAATTGGTTTGGAATCAATACAGGTACACCATGGAATTGTGTGTTATATAAAGGTGATAGCATATCATGTTGGTAGAAATGGGTATTTCTACAATTGTATAGTTTCATTGAACGATGAACCATAAAACGCATATCTGGAGATAATTCCTTTTCTAAAGATCCTGTCTCATTCAATTTGACCTCTGCTTTATAGACATCTCCGATTTTATCTCTTTCTTCTCTGTTAAACTTCGAAGGATTCTCTTCAGCAAATTTATAAAGATCAGTAATATTCATAGCAGCATATCCGTCACCATACTCTAATAATTCCTTGACCAATTTACTTTTGTCGAGTTTAGAATAGTTTTCTCTGAAGTAACCGTCCATTGTATATCTAATTGGAGATGAACTGACACTCAAACCTGTAATATCAATATATAAACCTGAATCAATATCAATAAAACGTGCGTCAATGTTATTTTTCTTGTTTCCGTTAACTCTAACAGTAATCGAATTACCTACATCTAGTAGATATCTTCCATTGCCTTCTCTTGGGTCTTCCATAATCAAACTTTGATTGAAATGCTGTGCCATCAAATGCAATTGTTTAATAGGCATTTGTAAATCGAAATCATTATCCCATGGAAATGTAGCACCATTGTGGAAGTAACCATATAAAGTACCATGAGATAACCATGAAATTATACCGTTAGCTTTGGTGAACTTTTGGAATGTTCTGATCAATGAGTTCATTCTTTGAGCATAAGCCATAGGATCATCAATAAGAGCACCATTAAAAAATCTACTATCACGATGCCAACCTAAACCGGCAAATTGTTGGACATTCGATGGTTCTACAAAATATTTACCCATTAAAGCAGGATGGATTCTGTTAGAATTTTCAAGTGACTCTAAATAACGGGTATCATGGATTGATAATTTACCATCTTTTCTTTTTTCATCTAGTTCCTTAATTTTAGCCTTCACATCGAAATAGAATTCATCAGGAGCCAAATCAAAGGAATCTTTATCGAATGCGTCATAATGAGCACCTTCGATATTTAATTTAATATTTTCAATAATGGAACTATTCAAGAAATCTTCGTATTTCTGGTTGAAGTCAAAAATGTGATCTTTATAAGTTGGACCGCTGTCAGCAAATGGTGAAGCTTTTTCATCATTAGTAGCTTTTTCGACGTTTCTTTCCAAATATTTCTTTAACATTCCAGATTCTATAATGTTTTCTCTCTTTGTTTGCTGGACGTTAATTCTGAAAGCCTCTTTGTCACTATCCAAAAATGTAATAGATAAAGGATTTGGGTATGATGATAGGATATAGTTTCTAGCTTGAAGTTCAAAAACTTCTGGTTTAACTCTATCATGTAAGTAAATGATCTTAAATGGTAGTTTAAACTTCGGTTGACCGTTAGCTTTTCTATATTTTGCTGTAGATAATTCACCAGGTTGGCAATAATTCTTGATAGTTTCATCGTTAAAGATTGGGATATCAGTACCTTCTCTTGCAATTTTATACCATTTTGGCAAGTCATACTTATGACGGTCTGAAACAAATAGGTAGTCACCTAATTCCTTTTCTATCCTCAGTAAAGTCTCCTTTTCAAAAGCAGCATCTAATAGGAATTGGCATGGAATACTGGTTTTATCGATTGAGATCAATTTATTTAATTCATGGAAATCTGCGAAATCATACCAGGAAAATGGCAGTGCGGTACCGAATGAAGATTTTATAACAGCTGGGGAGATGTTAGCAATATGATCCAAATAAACCGCCCATATCAATCTTGGATCACTATCATAGAAATCTAAATCATCAATCGAATTAACGGTCTCACCTTTACGCTTACCAATATTGATTGTCAAAAGATTGCTCAACAAAGAATATCTATCTGGCCAAGAAGGAGATGTATCAAACATCATTTTCTTGTAAAGTTTAGTAGGAGACAGCACATCATCATCCAATTCGATTTTTGAACCAGTAATATCAGAAAAGGAACCTAAGGGATCGCTCAGAACACTAGAGATCGAATCAGCATACGAAGCCACACCGGGACTTAGATAATCTGCCAAAAATGGATTACTAGTATTTTTTGTTTTCTTATTAGATTCCTCACTATCAGCATTACTATTAATATACTTTGAAGAGTATAGGACTATTAAGTATAGTAAAACAACAGTTAATATCCTTCTCCTAATGTTTCCAAAAACTGATCTGTGCAGGTTACGACGAGCCAACATCGGATGAATCTGAATAAAATAACGAGGGTATCTACCAACTAATATCCAAATATGAATAGAGATATAGATAAGCTAATAAATCTCTTTTCAAAGTCTGTTGTGTTGTGTTGTTGTTGTTTTTGTCTACCAAAAGCTAAACTAATAAACTTATATCGATTTTCAATAACAATAGCAATGCAACGAAAAATTCCCCACTTGAAGCACAATGACTTGGGACCCAAAACAAAATAAACAAAAATAAAATAGCACCTATATCTATTATATATATATCGATCTGCTCTTCGACACCTTGTTGTATATCCTAAACCTCTATCTTACCTCTGTTAAAACAATCTTAAAACTATTTTTAAATGTTACTTCTTTATTTTCCACTTTCTTTACTTCCACGTTTAAATTTCAACATCGATCGAGCCAAGCAAAAATTGGCGTTCTTGGCAGCGTCGGTGCATGCGAGGGTGTCAGTAAATGATATAAAGATAATGTTCAAGAACAGATAAGATTTGTTGTTTTAAGATGGATTGGATGATCAGTTCATGGATACATGATTTATTTTGAGTATTATATGTAGGGGAGAAGGCTATATAAGTGTTCTATGTTATGATTCATTTCCTTTTGTTGTTGATAGAGGTCAGGAAAGTGGTAGGGGTAGAATTGAAATTTGAAATTGTAATTGAAAATGTAGATGGATAAAAATAGAAATAGAGATAGAAATAAAAAATATATGATTTGTTGAGAGTGAGGGAGGTGGGTGGGAATGCGTCTATGAAAAGATTACGTTTGCTTTTTAATGGATTGGTAATGACGATTGTTTAAGGCTGTTTGTTATGTCTAGATGGTGATGGATGATATGTTTTTTCTTGGACTTTGAAGAGGTAATGGAAGATGCAGAGGATGAGATAGATTCAGGTACTGGACTCTCGCTTATTCTGATGCTTCTTACTCCAGATTCGATGGATTTGGAGTCATCTAGAATCTCATCTAGTGTTTTGTTCTTTTCTTCCTCTTCACGTTCATCGTCGCCGTCTTCTTCTTCTTCATCGTCATTGTCATTGTTATTGTTTACTGTGAATTTTATATTATGGTGTACAATATCGTCGATGTGGTGTTGACATTCTTGTTCGGTAATTGAATTCAATGCTGGTGATTTGTTACTTGTCTTATTTTTCGGTATATGGGGTGACTGTGCTATTTCAACCATAGACCTTGGCTTTCTTAGACTATGTCCATTTTGCACGATAGAGTCGGATATTGATACCTCGGTGTTGATGCTGCTAGCATCACTGTAGTCCCCAATAGTTTGATTAGAATGCATAGGTGTCAAGTTGGCTTCTGAAGATGTTCTTCTTAGTTCGGGTACTCTCATTTTAAGTTTATCATTATATTCATCGTCATAAGGATCGATGCATGTTTCGATGCCTTGGAACCACGGGTCATTAAATAAATCATCTATAGTGTAACGCGTCTCTGCAACTGGATCAACCAATCTCCAGGCTACACGTGTAGCTTCAGTGTTTTTGAATGCTCTAGCTAATTTGTATTCACCACCGGGTCCTGGTTTATAATTACCCTTGTCTCTAAAGTGTTTATTTTGATGGTTGATGAAGTTAGAATAGGATAACTCGAATTCTCTGAATTTTGGATCGCTAGTATAAGATTCAAAAAATGGTAAGCTACCGTTGATCAATGCAAAGAAAACAACACCTAGTGCATAACAATCCATTAACAACGGATCATATGGTTTTTGAAGTTCCTTTGGATGTGGTTTTCTATCATCATATAACATGACTTCTGGAGGAGAGTATGGAGTGGATCCAATAATACCTTCACATCTTTTAGTAGGACTGGTTGGGTCTTCAGGATCGGTATGATACCAATCTGAAATACCAAAATCTGTTAATTTAAAGACACCATCTTTGGTCACCAGAACATTTTCTGGTTTGATATCACGGTGGACTATACCATTATCATGCAAGTATCTAATACCTTGTGCTATCTGTTTGAAGATACAAAACTTATAGTTCAATGGAACATCTTTCCAACCAACCTTTTCAATCAAGAAGAACAGATCACATACACATAATTCCATAATAAACCCCCAACCTCTTGTAGTATAAGTAGTGGTTGGGATTTTCAATAGATAATAAGTGCTAGCAATATGAACATTCTTACTAACATGTTTAGCAATGATAAATTCTTTAGAACATCTTTTGTAAAATTTTTCAGGAGTTTCATTATGAACCATACGTAATTTCTTCAATGCATATATATCTTTCTGTCTATATGAAGATTTAACCTTTTTAACTTCACTAGAACCACCTGAACCTATGCTTTTATTTTCTGAATCAAACATGAAATTATCAGTCAATTGAACACTGAATTGCTTTATTTCATCTGGTAAGAAGGAATTAGGATCAGCAATTGGCAACGGTAACAATTTAACATTATCAGAACCATCATGCATATAGAAGCCAATATCATGAGAAGTGTTACCGTCATGATCAGTTCCAGGCCCAGTGCCTACAGTATTATTGATACCATACGGGTTGTAAACAATGTTTTCATTATGCAAATGTCTAGATTTCAAAGGATGGTCACTTCTATCGACATTATGACCGTGACCTCTACCTTCTCTTGGTGATGCAATTGCAGTACCACAGCCTAATATATCGTTTGCTGCAGCACTAAATGGGTTGACATTATGAGAAACTAAATTGCTTAAAGAACTTGAAGAGTTAACAGGAACTGGAGCTCTTAAATTTGTAGTTGAAGGATTTTTCTTAAAGATATGTGATGATAAATGATGACTTGAAGCTTCGTTAGGTGGTGGGCTTTTCCGAGAATGGTCAGTAGATGAGGTTTTTTGAGGTGAGACTGGCTTTGAATCAGGTTTAGAATCTTTAGAACTTCGTGATTTACGTCCAAACAACTTCATACTTGAGAATGATGAATTATGTTTAATGTTTTCCTTGTTAGTGGGCATGACAAAAAAACTACTAGAAGGATAATAGATTTTTTTAATTCAAAGAAGAAGAAAAAAACAAAATACAACAGTCGAAATTAGAAATTTAGCTTTATTCGAAACCTTTTTAAAGTTTATTTAAAGTACTTAAAATGGTTAATTTCCCTCTCTAATATTGATCTTCTTTAAGAGGGGATAATGAAGATATTACAATGGTAATAATTGATCAGTTGTATAATTGTGGTACCTGTCAAGTGTGAAAGTGAACTGATGCACTTGCAACCGATGATAGTTCGAAAAATATGTAAAATATTCTTGGGATTATTATTAATGATATATAAGTTTTTAAAAGTATATAAGAGTGACAATTAATAAGAGGGGTCAAACAAGTGAATGGTAAAGGATATAGAATCGTGGAAGATAGAGATAAAATTATCGAAATTATATTAAAGAAATTCTATCCTTTGCTTTTTATTCCTGCATATTACAAAATTTCTCTTAACTTGATACAACGATAAATGCAATACGTCTATATATGGAACAATTAGTTCATAGGTTACTTCAGAAATTTTGAATTCATAAATCTTTTTTTTTTTTATTTTTTAGGGAATTAAAAAATATCTGTCAAATCCTTCTAGTGCGTCCAATTTAATGTTATGCTTGTTTAGTTTTATTTGATCAAACAGTCTACCCCCCAGGTATTTATTGTCAACAAGTCATAACCTATAAATTCCACTCCTATATTTCCAGAATTCTCATAAAATTAATTAATGGATGTTGTTGCTTGTATCGGCCTGGTCCCCCGTTACAATCCTACCAGTCATGAAGAAGGGAGGACATCGAATAGACATGAACAATTGTAACTGTGGTGATTCGGCAAGGCCTATTGATTAGTAGTTTTTCCACGTCATCAGAAATATGCCTAGTTGAGGTTCAATTCAGTATCGTGTTGGTCTTATCTATCGAAACGAGTTTTACTTTTTCTGGTCTTTTCTTGCATATTTTTTAAATTTAACCCATCTTTCGATTAATTTGTACGATCATATGTGTTTAATCTCCATGGATTATGAAAAAAAAAACAAAAGCATGCCGAACCGAAATAAAATATATATGTTACTATTGAGGCATTTACATTAGGGATGTTCTTGTTCCTACTTCTTTTGGAAGTTCCCCGGTAGGCATCTTTCCGTCTCTATCGTTTTGAAACTTACTATAGATTTGATACAACTTCTCAAACTCGTTCTTCGAAATACTTGGTTTGGACTCTTTGACAGCTTCCAATAAATCTTCTGTAGAAATTCTCACTGTGATTTGGTCATTATCATCTTTTGAGTCTAATCTAGAATTTAGGTTATGCTCATCTAGTTTCTCTTGAAGTTTATTTTTAATTTTTGTATAATCTTGTATGGAGTAATTTGAAGTCTTATTGATTATTTCTAAGTTTAATTCTTCTTTCGAAGACGTAGTAGTTGCTATCTCCTTTATTGAATCCTTATCTGAAAGATACCTATGAACCCCCTTTAAATATGCAGTATAACAAAGACCTTGTAAATCAGCACCAGAATACCCTTGAGTTAATTGTGAAATTCTGTTTAAGTTTGTCTCATCAGTGATTTGTAATTTCTTCCCCTTATCTCCAGTAGTAGTGATTGCCTCTAAAATATCTTGTCTTTCTAATTCATTAGGCAAACCACATAGAATACTTTTATCTAATCTACCAGGTCTTAGTAAAGCTGAATCGATTAAATCCGGTCTACTTGTGGCAGCCAGAACATACACACCATCTAAACCTTCAACACCATCCATTTGTGTTAACAATTGATTAACAATACGATCAGTCACACCAGTTGAGTCATGTCCTCTTTTTGGAGCAATCGAATCAAATTCATCAAAGAATAGAATGCACGGTTTTACTGATTGTGCCTTATCAAATAATTCCCTTACACTTTGTTCACTGGCCCCAATATATTTGTTTAAAATTTCTGGTCCTTTGACAGAAATGAAATTCAATCCACATTGTTGAGCTACTGCACTAGCTAATAAAGTTTTACCACAACCCGCATATCCATATAATAAGATACCTGATCTTAATCTTAAAGGACAATTTTCAAAGATTTTTGAGTACTTTGTTGGCCATTCCAAAGTCTCGAGTAATATTCTTTTAGCTTCTGATAAGGCACCGATGGAATCCCAATTGACACCGGTATTTTTAGTTAAATTTACCCCACGTAAGGAAGAAGGAATGAAATCGATTAAAGTTTCATCAAATAGTGATTTATCGATGCTACAGTTGTTTAAATCAAAGTTTTCATCACCTACATGCTTGATCTGTGATTGATGAAATAATCTTTCGATAAGAATTTTTAAATCTAATGGAGAATAACCGTCAGTGTCTATTGAAATGTCAGAAAAGGTGATATCTTTTTCTAATGATAATCCAGAATGGCTGTGGTTTTCCACGAATAATTTGATTAATTCTGTTCTTTCATTTGAATTTGGTAATTTTAATGACCATATTTTTGAGATGAAATGTGTTGAGAATAACAGTTTATTCAATGAATTTCTTGATTTACTAGATAATACAATTTTAATTGCATTTGAATTCTTCAAAGACAATTTATTTATCTGTGATATCAATTGTAATGACAATCTTGTAGATAAATCATTTTTATTCTTATTACTCATTGAGCTGGATTCATTAGAGTCGCCATTCGATTCGTTATTACTGAACCAAATGTCTGCGTTATCTAACAGTAGTATTGTTGGAGAATACCAGTATGACAATGAAATGTGATCGTTTAATATTTTTAGCAAGTCATCGAACTTAAATTTATCATTTTTTGATAAATTATCAGAGCAGTCGATGTATTCGATGTGATATGAATGGTTTGAAATTAACGAATCTTTCAATTTTTTCAATACTGTCGTTTTACCAATACCTGAATGGCCTTCGATTAGAACACAATTAGAAGGTAATACTGGCAAAGTGATATAATTTATAATATCATTGATTTTCTCATTGTATATAACATCATTATAATCATTAATCTGAGTTTTTGTTGATGAATTTCTTTTGCTGGTGACAGTTGGTGAGGATACCTCGATATTAAGTTTGTTAAATAGATTATTTTCATTTTGAAGAAATAAAATCGAGCCGTTATTATTTTTTGTTGTTTCGATAATTTTAACTTTTAAAGACATATTTTCCATTATAATATTGGAATTACCAGTTATGACACTGTCATTTGGTAAGTTTTTGAAAAATTTGATAATGTAGTTTGATAGATCTGTTGTAGATTGTTGTTGTTGTTGTTGTTGTTGTTTTGTAGAAATCGTTGGTTCCACGATTAGACGAATATTATCTATACTTTGGAAATTATTGCAAGAATCTTGATGGATATACTCTAATTTTATGTTCAAACCATTATTTGGTGTTAATGATAAAGAATCATAAATAGAGGAGTCGATTGAAATTGAGTTTTTTGGTATAGTAGTTGAGTTTTGCAGGTTAACAAATATTGAGTTTGTAGATTTTTCAGTTGATAGAGGAGGATTAACGATGGATAATCTTGCGATATTTGAATAATTTAAATTGTTATTATTGATGAAACAAGTTGGCTTGAAGGTATCTTCGTTGTTAATTGAAAGTGTTGATCTTTTAAAAACAGTCTTGACGATTTGAATTTTCTTTTTTTGATTTTTTGATCTTAGTTTATTTTCTAAAGGTGAAACGATGATCAAAGAACCATTTGATAATCTTGCGATATTTGAATTAAGTTTGGAACTAAAATTAATTTTTTTAATTTTAAATTTACAAAACAGATTTGTTGAATTTATATAACAAATTAATATTTTATTTAATTCGACAAATCTAGTTTGATTTAGTATATTATCTTGTAAATAGGATGCATTATTTTCGATAATTTCCCAATCATCTGAAGTTACTGGTTCTATCATTACATCAATCGGGCAATAGCTTTCGTCATACCTATTGGCAACTAGATCTATGCTGGTGTTGGTGTTGGTGTTGGTGTTGGTGTTGGTGTTGGTGTTGGTGTTTATGTCTGTATTTGTGTTTGTTAGCCATAAATTCGGGTTGATTTCGATAGTAGTGTTATCTGAAGAGGGCAAGCCATTCCAACCAGCGGTAATAATCTTGCTGTCTCTATCAGATATACATATAGTGAAACCGAATTCATTAATTGGTAGGTTAGTTGATTCTATTGCAGATATGATATTTAGAGGTAAACGGATGAAGTTTCCCTTTATATCATTTGCCAATTTCAACGGTATATTTTTGAAAATCAATGAATTTTCATCCATGACTTTTTAAGTTGATTTTTCTCTTGTAAGTAGTGAATAGTCTATGGCTTTGTGAGAGACTTGATATACGCTGTTAGTCGTGTATATATGTGTATATGCGTATGACTATTTATTTATATAAAGAAATAAATGTGATAAAATATCTTATAAATAAGTATATATGTGTAGTTAGTTAATAGTGAGATTAATTTTCAAATCCAATGTCTAAGCGAAATCGCTTTTCGTTATAACAAAGAGAGAGAGAGGGAAAAAAAGGGAGAGATGATTTAGAAAATGGAACAAAACCCGAATCTCCGACGAGTGATCGCGGCAGAACTGTAACCATATAAATACATACAAAATATGCTTACATACACACACAAATGCACAAATGTGACCAATAAATCGAATATATGTGGGATTGGAAAGAGATGTTATCAGTATATATATATATTCTCATTATGGGTAGGCAAATATATCGTATGCAGTTGTGAGAGCCAACTTTTCAGTTGACGTATTCTTTTGTTTCAGAAGAGAACTAGAACCAGAACCAGAACCAGAACCAGAACTGGGACAGAAGATGGAATGAAATCTGCCAATGAGAGGGAAAGAACACTGTTTATATACCCCAAGACTACTTGTAGAGTAAAGTGACACAAAAACAAAAAAACAAAAAACAAAAAACAAAATAACGTCTCCAAAACCCCATTGCCAAATTTAGCACCCTTGCACCCCACATTGTCCATTACCTTTCCCAGTGTAGCCGCCCAACAGCAAGCTGGCAACAAGCCAAATCATAATGAATAGTAAAATAGAATAAAAAATAGGCGTAAGTTCGTCCGTGCATGTGCATGTCCCGTGACCACAAACGCAAACCCACCTTACCCTGCCTCCCCAGGTCCCTGTCCAATCACATCGAACAAAAAACACAATATACTACATTGCACTCTATTGTACTCTACACTGCTCCATTGCATTATTGTATTTTATCGGCACCAAGAAGACGGAAAAAAACCCGCGTCCACCAACAGAACAAACCACCGCACAAAATACAGACAGAAATATCCTATTCTTATTATTGGACAGCAAGAGACCCACCCGCACAAACACAAACACACACCTCCACTGCTTCCTCTCACAGGGAACTATCGTTCTTTTTTCCACATCCGGGTAACATACACCACCACCACCACTGCTCCCATTCCCTCTTCCTCTCCCCCCCCCCAAATGGATACGCCCATAATCAAATCAAATACATCAAAATTCAACCAGCCATAACATAACGTACTGAACAGAATCGATTCTATTGAAAAATTTTGTCAGTTTGGAAAAAAAATAAAATATTCATTCAGCACATAGTTAGATTCATTATTATTACTATTACTATTATTATTATACTTTGCAAACTAAACTACTTACTATCTTGCTTGTTATTATATCGATTTTATTCTTTCTATTTGCTATTTGCTATCTTCCCACCTTAACCTTTGTCTTTCTTACTCTCTCTCTCTCTTGTTTTTCGATTTGATATATATTACTTACTAGACTTATAACAATTGACTTTTCTCTGTGTGTATGTGTTTGCTTTTTCTAATCAATCCTTTATTAAACATCTAAACCACACTCACATTCACACTCTTCAACCGATACCTGTTTGTATATACACACATATATATATAATTCCTGTATCATCCCTCCCTACACACACTTCCCAATCCAATCCCAATTCACATAGTCACATATACCTACACCTACACCAGTAACTGTCACATATATTCCTCCCCCTCCCAAGGATAATTCAATATAAACCAAAATAATAATAATAATAATAATAATAATATTATATATATAAATCAAGAAAAAAATGTTGGCTCAAAGATTAAACGGTGCTAAGCTACTCTCCAATTCCTCAAGACTGTTGGGCTCAAGATGTCTATCAAGCTCAATCGTCTCAAGAAACAGCACCTATCGTACTCCTGATTTCGGTTCAAACGTTAAACAAGACAGAGATGCTGATAAATCTCGTTCTTACGCTTACTTCATGGTAGGTTCTTTGGGTTTATTGTCCTCTGTAGGTGCTAAATCCACCGTCGAAACTTTCGTCACCTCAATGACCGCTTCTTCTGATATCTTGGCCATGGCTAAAGTTGAAGTCAACTTGGCTGCCATCCCAGAAGGTAAGAACGTCGTTGTCAAATGGCAAGGTAAACCGGTCTTTATTAGACACAGAACTCCTCGTGAAATTCAAGAAGCCAACAGCGTCGATGTCGCTTCTTTAAAGGACCCTCAAACTGATGCTGACAGAGTTCAAGATCCTCAATGGTTAGTTATGTTGGGTATCTGTACCCATTTGGGTTGTGTCCCAATCGGTGAAAGTGGTGATTTCGATGGTTGGTTCTGTCCTTGTCACGGTTCTCACTACGATATCTCTGGTAGAATCAGAAAGGGTCCAGCTCCTTTGAATTTGGAAATTCCAAAATACGAATTGGACGGTGATAAATTAGTCGTTGGTTAAGTTTAATTCTTTGCTTTCTTTATTTTCCCAAGCCTTTTTGTTTCTCTCTCTCTACAGTAATGATTACTGGCAAGAAAACAGAAAACAGAATGCAAAGAAAATTTAGGAATTCATTATTACACAATTCTAATGCACTTTTATATAATCACATCACCTCACCTTAGCCATTGTCAATAGTACATAAGGTGTTTTGCTTCAATATTCCTGTTTTTATATCATAAACTTTGGTCTTTCCTATTTATTTTTACACATTAAAAGGAACACCCAGAAAAACCCTTTTTTTATATTTATCAGAACTATTACTATTCTTACTACTACCACTACTATTGATAAAGTATCTATACATGTATACGTATACGTATACGTGATATCAATTGTCAATTCAGGTTTATGGTCCCCAATTGCACCATTGATACCTAACTTATTTTTATTTATTTATTTATATATGTATATGTGTATTACATATTATTATTTATCAGTAGAATAAATCCCCAAAAAAAAAAGATTTATACATTTAATAACCTATTTTACAATCTATTTCCAGCAACCTCGAACCTCTAGTGATACCCCATCAGGTACTGTTCCTTGTTGATCTAGTAATTTAAGGCTTTTACAAATCGATGAATATGGTGATAGTTGTCCTTTTAACAGTAGTTTTATGTTACCCGCACTCGTGTCTGATCCGTTTCACAATTTCACCAAGATTTAAAATCAACGCTATAATATATTAATATTATAAGACTATCACATATAACAGAAAAGTCTTCATCTTTAAATTGGATTATTATCAGATAAGTACCAGAACATCATTGGACTGCTGTGATATTTTTCAATTGGTCTTTCTTAGTGTAGTGGCTCATTTCTGTAAATTACTATGGCTGCTGCTGCGCTGGCGAATGCCACAGATCCTGTTACAGTGGTGATAAAAGAATGCATCAATTTATCAACTGCAATGAGGAAATACTCTAATTTTACCTCTCAATCAAGTGTTTCTGCTTTGTTGAGTGGTAGTAGTGAGATGTTCAATGAGTCGAGGAATGAGCCTCTTCAAAGCTCGTTATTAGATAAGCATAAGCCAAGAGATATGAAAAATGACCCTTTACTATCTGGTTTTATACAATTAAGGTTTATGTTGAATAAGTTGACTACATTGGATGATATAGATTCTTTGACGCTTATTCAACCATTTTTATTAGTGATTACAACAGGTTCGATTTCTGCTTATATTACTTCACTAGCATTAGAATCATTACAAAAATTTGTTAATCTAAATATAATTAATAAGAGCTTAAAGAACTATGTGTTAACTTTTAGAGAAATAGTCTATGCATTGACTCATTGTAAGTTTGACGGTTCAGATGAGCAGAAAAAAACAGATGAGACTATACTTTTAAGGATTGTTAATTTGTTAAACACGATTGTTAATTCTGAACATTGCAATATTTTGTCAGATTCTGCATTTTATGATATAATTCAAACAAACTTATCACTAGCTTGTAATAAGAGAAGATCTGAATTGTTGAGGAAATCGTCTGAATCCACTATGACTTTTGTAACTATAAAAATATTTAAAAGAATGAATCAAATCGATTCAAGTCCTTCAAAGCAAATTTATATAAGCGATGAATCATATTCGAAAGATGTATTAAATGCAGATACATTGGGCACTTCAGAAAGCACATCCACATTGGATACCACTCATCAAGATCAGGATGAAGCTGAAACTACTCAAGAAAATCTCGAAAAAAACAAAACTGTAATAAACGAAACTGAAATAAAGGAAATTGAAGAAAGTAAAACTACAGTTGAGGAAACTCCAGTGAAAGAAACTCCAGTGAAAGAAACTCTAATAAAAGTAGCTCCGGTGAAAGAAACTCCAGTGAAAGAAACTCCAGTGAAAGAAACTCCAGTGAAAGAAACTCCAGTGAAAGAAACTCCAGTGAAAGAAACAAAAACTAAGGTTAATATCATTGAAAAAGAAATCGAACCTTCAAAAAATTATACATTAGAAGAAAACTATGGTTTACCTGTAATTAAGCAATATTTAAATTTACTATTTTCATTGATTGCACCAGAAAATCAAACAAGACACACAAACTCAACCAAGATTTTGGCATTACAATTATTGAATACCGCAGTGGAAATTGGAGGTGAAAAATTCTTATTACATCCAAGATTATTTAATATCATTTCTGATCCAATTTTTAAAAGTCTCTTCTTTATCATTCAAAATACAAATAAGTTATCTTTATTACAAGCTGCGTTACAGTTTTTTACTACTTTGGTTATTGGGTTGGGTCATCACCTAGAGATGCAAATTGAGTTAACATTAAATAGCATATTCCAAATTCTATTGCAAGGTAATGTCGATCCATTTGGAACTGGAGACAAAACATCTAATGACTCTTCTATTCCTTCAGCATCTGATGATAAAGAGAAGCAAAGACCAGCAAAAGTTAAGGAATTGTTAATTGAACAAATTTCAATACTATGGACAAGATCTCCTTCTTTTTTTACATCATTATTTATTGCATATGATTGTAATCTTGATAGATCCGATGTGGCAATTAACTTCTTGAAGGCTTTGACAAAGCTATCATTGCCTGAGTCAGCATTGTCTTCAACAGAAACAGTCCCACCAATTTGTTTAGAAGGACTGATCTCATTTGTTGACGATATGTATGCAGAGTTAAAAGATGTGGATAGACAACATTTTGTAACAGAAAAGGATAGTATTGAATTACTAAAACAGAGAGATCGTAAAACTGCATTTATTAAATGTGCAGAAGCATTTAATGAAAAACCAAAGAATGGTATCCCACTTTTGATAGAAAAGGGATTTATTAAATCTGATTCAAATTCAGAAATTGCCAAATTCTTATTCGAAAATAATAGTCGTTTAAATAAAAAAACAATAGGTTTATTGTTATGCCATCCCGATAAAACAGATTTATTACAAGATTTTATTAATATGTTCGATTTTAAAGATCTAAGGGTAGATGAAGCAATTCGTGTGCTTTTAACCAAATTTAGGTTACCTGGTGAATCACAACAAATTGAAAGAATTGTGGAAAGTTTTTCTTCAGGATATGTTAAAGATCAAGATTATGAATCCCATCCTGTAACTGAATCCATTGAAAATGATAATTCAACAGTTCAGCCTGATTCTGATTCCGTTTTTGTTTTAAGTTATTCCATTATTATGTTGAATACTGATCTGCATAATCCTCAAGTAAAAGAACATATGTCCTTCGAAGATTACTCCAGTAATTTGCGGGGTTGTTATAATTCGAATGATTTCCCACATTGGTATTTGGATAAAATATATTGTTCAATCCGTGATAAGGAAATTGTTATGCCAGAAGAACACCATGGAAATGAAAAATGGTTTGATGATGTCTGGAATAATTTGATTTCCTCGACTACGGTTATGACAGCAATTGCTGATGACGGATGTATTATAATAAATAAATTGAGTAGTTCGGAAGTGGCTCATTTTAATAGAGCTATTTTTAGAAATGTTGGGCCAGCTATATTGAGTACATTGTTTAAGATCTTCGTTGCTGCTTCCGATGAACATATTACAGTTAGAATGTTATCGAGTGTTGAAAAATGTGCCTCTATTTCAGCTTATTTCAACTTCAAAAGTTTGTTTAATGATGTTCTACGTAATATTTCAAAAATTACAACACTACTGGTTGGTGATGATGCAAATAGTAATGATGATGTGGAAGAAATTCCAGTGGTTGAAGTAACTGTGGAAAATTATGACCATAAAATACCTGTTAGTACCAGAGCAGTTAGACTTGGTCGCTCTTTGAAAGGTCAACTATCAACTCTTGCATTTTTTAAGATAATCCAAAGGAATAATAGCACTAATATTATTAATCCAGGTATGTGGACAGATATTGTCAAAATGATTGTAGACTTATATCAAAATATGTTATATGGTCCTGATGTCTTCCCAGACTTCCAAAAGAGGGTTAATTTAGATAAGCTTCCTCCTGTATCTCCAGCGGTATCTCTAAATAGAGTGAACGAAAATAGAGGTTTATTCTCAACATTTGCTTCATACTTAAAAGGTGATGAGGAACCAACTATTGATGAAATAGAAGCTGCAGTTAAAGCTTGGGATTGTATTAAAAACAGTGATATTACATTATCCTTATTTGGGAATGAGGCAAGTATAACTCCAGATTTGATCAAGTTATTCATTGAAGCTATTCCTGAAGAGAAAACCAGTAACAACGAAAGATATTTCGAAGCACAAATACTATTTTTGGTCGAAATCTCAGTTACTCTATTCTTCTATTGTAAGAATGAAAATGAATTCGGAGATTTCTTATTTCAAACCATAGTTAAAAAATCTCAAACTCCGAATTTGAAAGATGTTGTTATTCGTAGATTAACAAATTATTCATTTATTCTACTATCTGTCTTAGATAACAAAGAAGAAATTTTAATTGACCTCTTAGAAAATCAAATAACAGCAAAGAAAGAAGTATTTTCCAATGAGTATTTCAATTCAATGGATGGTGTTGGTTTAATTTCAAGACTTTTGGCTCTTGCGGATATTGCTAACTATAGAAAATGTCTGTTTGAAAAAGAATCATTCTGGAAATTAATCAGATCAGTTTCCCCAATTTACAATCAAGGAATTATAATTTATGAATTTTTGAATAAATTATTGCTTGAATCACACGCCGAAATACAATCGGAGATTTTTGTTCATATACTTGGTATATTGGATGAAATTTCTTCAATTGGATCAATTGGAAACGCATGGGAAATTGAATACGAAGGATTAGTTAAAAGTGGACATAAAGTTGCTAATGAAAATCCTCACGAGGTTCAAATTGAATTATCTATTAATGCAATCAATTTAATTGGTAAATTAATGGATACTAATGAAATTTTTTCTAAAGTGAACTTAGAAGGAAAATGTATCTTAGTTCAAGTATTAGTTCATCAATGTCAAAATCCATGCAAACAATTGCAAGAAAATTCATTGAAAGTATTGGAAAACTCGCTGACAAGTAATTTAAACGATGATAAATTAAGTATCGAGTTAGTTGAAACGTTGATTGATAATGGGTTTTCGCCAGTATTAAATCTAAATTCAACCAACGTTGAACAAATATTAAATGTAGTATCTAAAATCTACGCATATTATTTGAAAGAAGGCAAAGCTACAAATGATACCTTTTTAAAAATCCTAAATATATTTAACAAATTTGTTGAAAACCCAGAAGTTGAGAGACGATTGCAACAATTAATCATGGACAAAAAAGAGGTAGAAAAGGAATCAAGAAATTCCCCAAGTTGATGGAGGCAGCTCTTTTTAAACCAAATAAAAATAAAACCTAAAATATATGTAGTATTAATATTATGTATATATGTGTATAAAGAAAAGATTCAAAAATTAATGAAAGATATAAATTAAGTGTACCATATAAAAAATAAGCCTTTGGAGAGATTAGATACATCTAGACCAATCAATTGAAATCAAACATTGATCCATTGAAACATTCATCCCTTCCAGTGGATCTTGTCCATTAGCTCCTTCTTGTTCTTTTATTCGATGGTTCTTTTCATAGAAAAGAGTCACTGTAATGAAAAATTTATATTGAAATTTAGCGATGAGCTGAACAATTTTAAAAAGTTAGATAAGTAATTGTATTGATGATTAGGTATAATAAGGAAGAGATGTTGTTGTTTATTGGTTGTTTATGGTGGTAAAGGAGAGCTGATTAGACTTTCGATTAGAAAAAAACAGGAGAAATGAGTGTACCAAGTTATGAATCAAGAGCCGAGACTCATCCAAATGCAGTTGCCTCTAAATTATTGAGACTAATGGCTGAAAAGAAAACAAATTTATGTGCTTCTTTGGATGTCCATTCTACAAAGGAATTGTTGGAATTAGCTGACAAACTAGGTCCATATATCTGTTTAGTAAAGACACATGTTGATATCTTAGATGATTTCACTATTGAAGGCACTGTTAAGCCACTAAAGGCATTAGCTGAGAAGCACAAATTTTTAATATTTGAAGACAGAAAATTTGCTGATATTGGTAATACTGTCAAATTGCAATACTCATCTGGTGTCTATAAGATTGTTGAATGGGCCGACATTACTAATGCACACGGTGTTACAGGTGCCGGTATTGTTGCAGGTCTAAAACAAGCAGCAGAAGAATCCACAAAGGAGCCAAGAGCTTTGTTGATGTTAGCAGAATTATCATCCAAGGGTTCATTAGCTCACGGTGCCTACACTGAAGGTACTGTTGGAATTGCCAGGACTGACAAAGAATTTGTCATTGGTTTTATCTCCCAGAAAGACATGGGTGGTAGAGATGAAGGTTTCGATTGGTTGATCATGACACCGGGTGTCGGTTTAGACGACAAAGGTGACGCACTAGGTCAACAGTATAGGAGTGTTAACGATGTAGTCTCCACTGGCTCAGATATAATCATCGTCGGTAGAGGTTTGTTCGGTAAAGGTAGAGATCCAACTGTCGAAGGTGAAAGATACAGAAAAGCAGGCTGGGAAGCTTACCTAAAGAGAATTGGTAAAAATTAAATGGAAATTCCAGCAATACCCAACAGTATCGAGGAATCTGTCCCCCATTAGGTACTAAATAGACCCTTATATAGCAAATATTCTATCACTAATCACCCATTATTTAGTGTCCTCATTAACATATACATATTCAAACTCATTATGTACGTCGTATTTACTTAATTTCAATATTCCGAATATCAAAAATTCGATGTAAGAAAATATTTTAAAAGTGAACATTTCACCTTCGAACAGCATAAAAGGTTTAACTTATTTAAAGGGATTAGCTATATTTGGGTCATTAGAGATTAGTTTTGAATATAATCCAAGGAATTATACGGCAGGTACCTTTGTTAATAGAAGAATAATCGATTTAAAAGAGACAAAATGGAAGCTTTGAACACTAGAGAACAACAAGAATTTCAAAAATTGGTTGAACAAAAACAGATGAAAGATTTCATGCGTTTGTATTCCAATTTGGTTGAAAGATGTTTTAACGATTGTGTTAACGATTTCACTTCTTCTAAGTTGACCAACAAGGAACAAACTTGTATTATGAGATGTTCAGAAAAATTTTTAAAGCATAGTGAACGTGTTGGTCAACGATTCCAAGAACAAAATGCTGCTATGAGCCAAGGTTTACGTTAGAATTGTTTTCACAAGATTTATTGTGTAAAACGTATTGTTATTATTAGTTATAGTAATTGTAATAGTGGAAAAAATAGAAAACATATGCTTATATGACAATTTTTTATGGCAGCTATTATATCTACCTGTATTAGATTTGTTCGAAGTTATTTCTCATGTACATATATTTAAATAATTGGAATATTTAATGACAACAATGAAATCATATCCATTATTATATATTAGTGTTTCTTTTCCTTATTTACAGGATCTTATTTTATATATATTATATACAAACCAGATGTGGGAGATATTTCACTACTTATAGGTCAATATTACCAGATGCGGCTCTATAAAATGGGATCGCATCTCTAATATTATGGTTACCGTATAGATAGGATACAAATCTTTCTAAACCCAATCCAAATCCACCATGTGGGACACTTCCTTCTTTTCTTAATGATAGGTACCAGTCCAATTCGCCATTTTTATTCATTTGACGTCGAGACACCTCCTTGGATAATAGTTCGAAATTATCCTCTCTTATACTGCCACCAACAATCTCACCAATCCCAGGAACTAATAAATCAAAACATGCAACTGTCTGTCCATCAGGATTCAATTTCATATAGAATGCTTTGCAATCACGAGGATAGTCAGTTACAAACGTAGGACCTTTAAAATACGATTCTGATAGCCATCTCTCATGCTCAGATTGTAAAGCTTCCCCCCAAATAGGTCTGTAATTTGGGAAAGGTACCTCTTTATCCCTCTTTTGCAGGATTTCAATTGCCTCTGTGTATGTGATAGTATTCCATGATTCATCTCTTAATAATGTTTCCCACCTTTCTAATAGCTCATTTCTTGGTAGACAGTTTTCAGGTATATTCTTAGGAATGAAATCATCAAAGTTTTTATATGATTCACGAGTAATATATTGAATCATATCTTTTACAAAAGTGGTCAACTCTTTTGTATCTTTTGTAAAACACCATTCTGCCTCCATCATCCAAAATTCACTCAAATGACGGTTAGTGTCACTTTCTTCAGCTCTAAAACATGGAGAAAGAGACCAAGCTCTCGAAAATGCCATTGCTAATATTTCTAGTTGTAATTGCAAAGATACTGTTAGATAAGTTGGTTTCCCAAAATAATGTTGCTTCTTTTCAACATAACCATTTGCTTCGACCCTAAATAATTCACCAGCACCTTCACAATCACTTCCGGTTAAAATTGGTGGTGATGCCTTTGTAAATTGATTCAGTTTGAAGAAAGTGGCCATATTATATTCTAATTCAGATCTAAACCTCAGCAACGAACCCAAATATGATGTTCTATGCTTTAATGTTGGCAATGTCCTGAGATAAGGCAATGAATGATACTTCTTCTGCAATGGATATGATTCGGAGACATTACCAATTATTGAAATATTGTCTATTGGATCAGTAATGTTCAATTCAAACCGTTGTTCTCTACCTTCAGTTTCCACTAACTTGGCATCTTTTATTGCAATACTTTGGCCAGTTCTTAAACTCTTCAAAAATGTAGCAACTTCAGAGGATAAATTACTTTGAGAATCGAATGGAACGACTATTTTTAATTCTTTCAATATAGTACCATCTTGTATATCAATGAATGCAACTTTTTTCAATAGTCTCACCGATTTAATCCAACCATTGATATTTGATACTTTGCTAGGTAACGAATCAACTTGACCATAGAGAGATTTTAGAGAATTAACGTGATACCTCCTACAAAGCAAACGGCCAAACATGGTTAAAAGTATTCTATGATCCAATTAGAGTCACTTCAGTTTGGGATCCCACTTCCTTCCAGCTCAAGTTCCTCTCTTATCTCAAGTCATTCTGATGATAAATTACTACAACTTAAATTATTTTTCAATTTAATTAATTAATCATTGTTCATTATATAAGCTGATGTATAAATTGTTATAAATCATAAGAGTTTAAAGCAATGGCTTGTGATAATCGCTTTGGGTGAATGGTATCAAAATCTAATTCAGAGTACATCCAGCGCCTCTAGTTTCATGTTATTGTTATTTTCATTTCTCTTTATCTGATAAATTTTACATCTCAATGACATTATTGTATCTGGAGAGAAATCATCCATTGAAATTTTCTTGGAGCAACCATCTTTAGCACAATCTTTCTCCATATAACGATTAGTGTCTGAATTCTTCAAGTACTCAGTTAATCCACTTTTGTCAAAAGTATGTTGACATTTTTTTGATATCATTGGTTCTTCATAGATCAAAGTAGTAATTGGACATGTCAACTCTATAGACCCACCAGCCATCTCGATTTCATCTTCATTCGCATCATTATTGAACCCATCTCCAAGTAAAGAGTCTGGGAGAATACACTTGGGATCTTTCCAGATATATGGGAATGCTCTTAATATCCTATCAACCATCGTAATAGATATCTTAATCTTTGGTATATAGCCGTCATTAGCTTCTTTCAATAATTTTGAAAGCTGGGGCGCTGTAATATCCCTTTCAGCATATCTATCCATCGTATCTAAATCAAACACCTCACAACTTTCAGTCATCTCCTTATAGTTTTCTTTAATCGTTTTAAATTTCGTTTGAAACCCTTGCGATTCCTCTTCTTGTTCCAGTAACTGTATATAGGTGTCACAATTAGACTTGACCAAGGGACATAAATCTTCATAATCTATCCCGGACTCTAGAAAGAACATTAAAGTATCATAGATCTCCTTCTGGCATGAAACAAAAGATGAAGAAACATCAGAAACCCTTATGTCATGAAACTCTCTAATTAATCCCCTATGCAACGGAACCGAATCAGGCAACTTGATGCTCATCTCTACCCAAAACCTAAATATAAACTACCGTAACAAATATATCCCAAATCAATGTTCTTGTATTGAGCTTTATCGTTGTTATTCATCTTGGATCAATCTCATCTCATCTCATCTCATCTTCTTTTTATATCTTGAATTATTTTCCAGCAGTATATGAAGGCATTGAAAAAAAAAAGTAAATAAAGTTGAATAAGATGGAATGAACCAACAATATAATACTAAAGTTTAATCAGATCAAGGGTTATTAACGACTTAGTTGATGGGTATTAGGTTTCTTTGATGGGGGGTTAGACTCTGGAAACTGCTATTGAAGATAAGGATTACATAGATTTGGTTTTTTTTGGTTCTTGTTTATATTAACTTTTGGTTGATTTGGAAATAGCTGATAATTTTCATAATAATAATAATAATAGCAATAATAATAATAATAATAATAATAATAATAATAATAATAATAATGGGACCTGAGTTACGAGAATTAATTGTTTTACAGGTTGTTTATAGTCTTTTAATAAGCAATGGTCGGAAATTGAGTGATGTTAATAGTACTGAGTATGCTTCTTCTGTTTCTGGTTTTAGCAGTGGAGCTGTTTATAAGGTTTCCTTAGTGAAACTTGCTAATGAAGTTCAAAATAATATTTTGATTAATCAGATGGTTGGTAGTAGTGAAGCTAAGCTGGATATTAGTGATATATTACAAATAATACGAGCACTTTTCCCCAAGAATAGAACTATTTTGGTTGATGGTCAGATAAATTTCCATAAGCTGGAGTTGAACAAGCTGCGAGAAGAGCTGTTGAGGAGATATACGATGTTTAAGACTAATCAAATTAATCAGATCAAATCGTTGGAAGATGAGCTTATTAGTGGTGGGAAAACTCAGGCTGCAAAAGCTTCGCCATCTATTGCGGAATCGAGCTCTGCTAGTACTTCTACTGCTACACCAGCAGCCTCATTGTCACCTACAGCTACTACAGGTAAAAAGAATAAAAATATTGTAGTGGTAGATCCAAAAAGAGAGAAGCTATTACAACTTTATCGTGATACTGTTCTAAATAAATTACAGGGTAAAAACAAGCTATTCGATGAATTATATGATAGACTGGATAAAATAGATGAAAATGACATTAGTTCAGGTATAGTCTATGAAGATATCCAATTGGATAGGATTAAAAACGAAACTCCAAGCAGTGTACATGACTTGCAATTGATCTTGCAAAGAAGTATATGTGATAGTTTAATGAGATTCCCTGTAGGGAGTGAGAATTGGAAATTAGCAAAGCAAGTTCAAATAGATCTTGACGAGACAGTTCAATTCATGAGAAGGGCATTAGAATAGTTTATATGGTTTTATCTGGGTATTCATTCTAGTGGGTGGGAAATGGTACTCCCACTTGTAACATTGTTTTAAGACATTTAGAAATCAAGCTTTAAAAGAAATGGAAAAGAATATTTGTGAACTCACTGACATTACTCTACAAGAAGTATATGCATAACTATATCTATATATATTTGTAATTATTTAGCATGTTGTAATACAAGAGCATTTTTGGACGAAACTTAAGGTAACGATTTTTCTATGCAATTTTTATATTTCAATTGCAATATGGACATTAGCAACATTCTTAATGATGATGAATTGAAACTTGGCTTGTCAAAAATAATGAATAATTAAAATTCAAAACCAGTTTTATTTAACTCTATAAATTTTACAAACAAAATATGTTGTGGTTTCATATATTACTAATACAAACTATCAAAAGATAATGTTTCTCGATCGTTTAAAACAAATATATCATATTTGCTCTCACAATGAAACAGTAATCAACGATCGCCATTATACGCTGATGATAATACTTTATATTATACTGAATGTTATCGTGAAAAGACCTTTTCCTTCTTAGTAAGATATATCTTCGGCATTTAGATTAAATGAAGGAAATCAATTAAGCTCTTATTTTGCAGACGGACTCACTAGGTCTTCTATATCTTCTACTACATCGTCTATTATTTCTTTTGTATCATCATACCAGTTCATAGCGTCACCTAAAATGTCGTCTAACCAACCAAAGAAACCACCACCATTTGATGAATTCGATGTCTCACTTGTATCAGTTTTTGGCAGAGCTGAGCTTACTGCAGAACTATATGTGGAATGAGATGTCATAATCTCTGTCGTCAGAGTAGTTGGTACAATAGAAGAGAAGGGAGTGGTGATAGACAATGCACTGGATTCATTTGCAATACTTTTCTCGTTGTTGTTTTGCTCGTTGTTTTGTTCATTATTTTGACCTTCTTCTTGACCTTCTTCTTGACCTTCATTTTGATTCTCATTTTGATTCTCGTTTTGATTCTCGTTTTGATTCTCGTTTTGATCCTCGTTTTGGTTCTCATTCTGGTTCTCATTTTGCCCTTCATTTTGTTCGTCATATTCTTGAGATCCTTCGCCTTCAGAATTTACTTCATCATATTCAGCTGGGTCTTTCCAAGCATCAAATCCACCCCAAATATAGTTATATGAACTCCATGGACCAAACCTCTCTGATAAATAATCAAAATCATCCTCAACTAGCAGTTCGATATCATCCTCTAATGCAAATATATCAGCACCGATGTCATATACATCCTTAGATTTAGATTTATCATCAGTAACCTTCTTCTGTCTTTCATGGACATGTCTATCCTTTGGTGAGACACCGCAAATATCACATAAAAGTTTATAAATTTCGATATTTTCAAATGATTCCACATAACCGTGGTTAAAGTATGGACCAACACCTATGAATAAAGCTCTCATATCGATACTATTCTTGTCATACCCATGAGAACCAATGATAGTCTCCTTTCCTTTCAGGCTTGATTTGCTCATAATTGCAAACCCTGGCTCTGGAACAATCCAAATTGGTGCAACTCTTCTCTTACCCATTGCATCGTTAGTACCGCCATTGAAATCTAAGCCTTCTGGGAATTGACCATTCAAATATATTTTGAAATATGGAGATAGAAGATGTTCGTTCAAATTTGCCTTCAATTCCTGATACACTTTATTCGTGTCTTCGACTTTATTCATATATAATGCCAACATTGGACCTTCGAAATACACGTGTGAAACATGAGACTTACGTGTTTTAGAATCTAACAAGTTTTCCCAAACGATTGCATTTTCAGGAATTTTAATATCACTCATACCATGGTCACTTAAGATAACGATATTTGTAAAACTTTCCATATTTCTTTCTTCAATTCTTTCAAATAGATTTTGTATATACGTATCGACTTCGGTTAACATGGCTGCAAATTTTTTACCAACTTTTGTATCTTCTTCATCTACACCATCTCTTGTTGACATTGGATACCCATGGGCATGACCAAAGGCATCGATGTTAGGGATATAGTTCAAAATCATCTGTGGTCTATCATGGATCGAATCTATATCGATATATTCCATAATTTTAGATAATTTTTTATCCAATGGCTCTGATGGATTGAATTCATCGGCATAATATGGCATTCTTTCCTTTGGCACATAATCCAATTTAGTATAATTAACAAAACTACCAGGCCACATATGAGTTGCGACTTTAAATGGGAAATCCGAATGGGAACTTTTCTTGGCGAAAGCAGATTGGACAGTTTGCCAAATTGGTTCACTTGCATTAACCCATATCAACGGATCCATAATACTTGGACTAAACTCTAAATCTAGTTTACTATCCCAAAATAAGTTTGAAACGATACCATGTTCTATTGGGTATTCACCTGTTACTAAAGTCCAATGATTAGGGAATGTTTGAGTAGGGAAACTAGGTATCATGTAAGGAGTAGATGTGATATTATAACCATCTAATTCCAACGTAAATAGTTGATGTAGAAAAGGAGTGTATCTTTCTGACACTAGTGAAGGATGGAAACCATCTAAAGATATAACGATAGTCATAGGATAAAAATCATTAGTACCATTATTATATTTCATATATGGATCGAATTCATGAACTTTCATAATATCGACTAAAGAATTTGAATTACCATTTGTAAAAGAACGATGGCTATAATCTGTTTTAAAAGTATCTCTTAATAATAGTGTAGCTGGCATGACCAATATGAAGATTGCCAATAATAATTTTATAACAGGACCCTTTCTCACTATCCAATTGTGGCGGCCGAAATATTTCTTCTGAGGAGTTATAAATTCATTTGAATCATCATTTAACCTATCACCATTCCCATCTAAATCATACAAAGGTATACCTCTACCACTAGATTCGTTAATTCTATCATTTAGCCCACCACCATTTTGCCAATAAAGTCGATTCCTATAGAACCAATATTTTACATTACGCCACCATTGACCACCACTACCACCACCAGAGTAATCTGTAAACTCTAAATCCTCATTACTCAAAATATGTTCATCGTTATGATCATCTCCTTCAATTTCAAAAGAATCGACATCAGTAGTCATTATCCTTGTTGTTCCCACAAAACTAAAACCAATAAAACCTAAAAAACCAAAATTCACACTCGAATAACTCAGTAAACACAAATCTACAAGCCAACACCTTTAAAAGACCAACACAATAAGTCCTAACCTGTCTATTTCATCTCTATTTTGAACCCCATCAAGTTCAAAACTTCTTGTTCAAAACTTCTTTGAGCTGTCCTTTTATAAATGGTAACCGGGAGATTTCGATATTTCAATCAGTTTGAACCCTGGAGATGACAAGAGAGATCTGGCAGTTTGGTGTGTTCTGGATGAGGTGACAGCAATTATATCTTGATCAGGAGGTCAGAGAGTTGGTTTGAGGGCATTGTGTTCTGGTTAGATGTATATATTGCAGTGTTGTTATTTGCGTATGTAGTCGAAGGAAGAGCAGGGACTGGGACTGGGAGAAATGACAATGTCTGTCGGTGACAGATGTTTTATAGACTTTTGAAACTTTGTTTGGTGAGAATGCTGAATAATATTATATTTAAAAGATTGATACACTATTTATATAGATATATATTTGAGTGTCTGTGACTGTGACTGTGACTGTGCGTCTGTACGTCTGTGCGTCTGTGCTTGAATTTGTTTCTTGATGACATGGCAATATGATGAATTTGAGTTTGAATCTGAATTGGAATCTAAACTTGGTTATTTGAGAAAATAATAATGTTACATTAAAACACATTTGCTATCATCCCCATCAAAGGAATTGGTAGCTTTCTGTTCCATTTTTTTCAACGACAACATGATGGCTTCCTCGATATTGATATTTAATTTCGCACTAGTCTCTATGAAGCCAAACTTAATCTTATTGCCATTGCCATTGCTATTGGTTTTGATTGTTCCCGATAACTCTTCTGCCAATTGTTCACCTTCCACTCTTGTGACTATCTGGTCCGGCCTATACTTTGTATTGGTCTTATCTCTAAGATCAATCTTATTAGCCACTATTACAACTGGGATATCGTCATTTCCAACTTGATCCACTATCTTCTCCCAAATCAACCTTACCAACTCAAACGAGGGCCTGCTCACAACACTGTAACACAAAATTATACCTTTGCAACCCATCAAGGACCGCATATTAACCATAGACGACTCATCTTGCCCAGCAGTATCAACTATCTCCAAAGTATACTCATTATTCTTGTACCTTATTAACTTGGTAAACTCATTCTGAACATTAGTCGGATAGTGAGACTCAACAAAATGTGACTCAACATATTGAACACTAAATGAAGTCTTCCCAACTGCTTTACCACCAAATATACATATCTTGAACTGCAACAACTTAAGATTATTCAAAGGGGTAGTATGAGTACCACTACTAGCCATCAAAGTCTGAGGATCCATCCTGATCTAACCTCTCTTTCGTTCTCTTTCGTTCTCTTTCACTCTTTCTCTTTCTCTCTCAACCAATTTAAAACAAAAACCAAACAAAAATTTAACAACAGGAATATACAAAATCAACTACAATATCCCCCCAACGATACCAATAGCCCTCTTATCCTTCCATCAACCTATTAAATCAAGATTCTTCCATCAATGACCTGTCTTGTCTCTTTATATTAGAATTCCAAAACCTTGCAAAATTTGTCGATGTTTGTTTGATGGTTAGATATCGAAATATGAAATTTTAACGAAATTGACAAAGGTTTTTTGGTTTTAAAACAACAATTAGTTAAGTTTTATAGCAAAGAAGAGGTTATAAAGATGGGTAAGCAAAGGATCAAAGAGTTGACAAGGTACTGTTGAATTGTTGTTTCCTTGTTTTGTTTTTGTTTTGAATAACTAGGTGTTTTATTTTAATTTTATTGGCTCCTTTGAAGAAATTGGTTCTGGATTGATGTCTCAATTTTTTGGTTATGGAGTTCAGGTAGAACTTAAAGATGGGAAATTGATTCAAGGTAAGATAGTCAAGGCTACTTCTAAAGGTCTTACTTTGAGTGATGTGAAGTTTGGTGATGGTGGTACCTCTCAGGCTTTCAAGGTGCGTGCTTCTAGGTTGAAGGATTTGAAGGTTTTGTTTGTAGCTGCCTCCGGTGGGAACTCGTCAATGTCTAATGGTGGTGGTAAGAAGAATGGTAGTAGACCTCAGTCTAGACAGCAGCAAGGTGGTGGTGGTGGTAAAATCGATTGGGAAGATGACGATGTTGCTAGGATCAAAGCCCAGGATGATTTTGATTTCGAAGGAAGTTTGCGTATGTTCAACAAGAAAGATGTTTTTGCTCAATTGAAACAGAACGATGAGATTTCTCCGGAATCTAGATTGGTGTCTCACAATAAGAAGCAACGTATCAACGATGATGGCGAGGCTAAGTTTGATATCAAGGAATTGGTTATTCCTAATGCCAAGAACGATGCATGGAACGAATTGGATGACGTGAATATTAATACAGCAAGAAGTAACAGTGGTGGGGAGCGCAACGTTGAAGGCGACGATGAAGAGGAAGCAGAAGAGGATGACGACGACGACGATTATGAGGTAGATGACGTTGATAACCCAGATTTTTTCCCCATCACAAAATCAATTAATATCACACATTTATTGCATACTGCGTCTGCTTCTTCAAATAAAACCAGTGACAATGAATCAAGCACTTCCGACAATGGCCAAGAAGAGATATTAACAAAGTTGGGCCAGATGCTCATCAATCAAACTTCAAAAGGTGTACAAAAGTCTATAAGCCCTTCCGACGTCTCTAAATCACAAGTTTTAAAGGCAAAGAACATAAATCTATCTGTCCCTATGGCAACGCCTATACAACTATTAGAGATTGAAAGAACCGCTACCGATTTTTTTGGTATTTCCTCACAAATTGTATTGGAAAACTATGCATTGAGTGCATCTTTTTTCATAAGACAAAAACTAGGTGGCCGTGTACGTTTACATTCTCAAAACTCTAATGCTGAGCCATTAGTAGTAATTATGACTAGTGATACTAGTAGAACTGGGCCAAGAGCTATAGCGTTAGGTAGACATTTGTGTCAAACCAATGCCATTAGGGTGATTACGGTATTCACAGGTCTACAAGAAGAAATATTAGATAAACAAGTCGCTGAACAATTGGACATTTATAAGAAATGTGGAGGTAAATTAGTCACAAGCGTGGCGGCACTAGAGAATGCCATCTCAAAGCTGAATAGTCCTGTAGAGATAATCATTGATGGTATCCAAGGGTTTGATTGTACATTACGTGAAATTTTCGATAGTGAATCATACTACAACATAAAGAATGAAGGTGAGTCGATTAAGAAGAGAACCATAGATCTGATAACATGGGCAAACTCCAACCAAAACTCACGCAAACAAATATGGTCACTAGATCTTCCAAGTGGCTACGATAGCGGATCTGGATTATCAAGCGAAATATCGATCAACTCAACTGGTATATTATCTACAGGATGGCCATTGCAATGTTTACATACGATCAAAGCATCCATGCCACATTTACAAGACATTGTAGTCGTAGACACAGCTACTCCTCAAGGTGTTTACAAACAAAGAAATTCGTTAAGAAAGTTCCAAAATTGCGATTTATTCGTTACCGATGGGTCATTATCTCTTCAAATCTGAAGAAACTAAAACCCATCCTTCTCCCCCATCCTCTCCGCTATGCGGTATTGTCGCATATATCTTGGTATAGTATAATTTAATATGATATATAGCCTACATAGTCCTAATCCAACAGTTGTATAAACCATTTCATCCTTAAAAACTCTCTGTCGTTCGTCGTTCGTCGTTTGCCATTGTTTTAATTCGATGTGTTACTAATACTGCTAACGTTGGTGGCGCTATCAACTCGTCGTTGCTAAAGGGGAAATTTGGATATTTTATATAAGAAAGGAAGAAATTAATATAAAAAATTATTATTTAAGGTAAGGAGTTATAAAAAAAAATAGAGAACGATAATTGTAAATTAACAAGGTAAATATAGGTTGAAATAGGAGGTTGAAATAGTTATTATAGTTCTAATATACTATAACTCGTATTATATTTTGTTCTTTCCTAAGATTCTGAGGTTGTCTGGAATATTTTTTGGAATTTTTGTTGTTTTTGGTTTGGATATTTAATATTATTTTTTTTTGGAGACTAATAATAGCATATACGATACTAGATTGAATATTTGTCTATCCTATAATACCTACAATACTAGTTTAATATATTGGGAGATAATTATTTTGGTTGTGACTTTAGGTGTGGCTTCAAGATAGAAATAGTTAGGTTTATTCTTTATTGCGGGACTGGAATATAATATAAATTTTGTGTTATCGTTTGTTCTAAACGTACTACATTTAAAAAAAAATTATTTTGCTTCTATCTGTACTTGATTTATTGATTTTAGAATTGGTAAAGTGTGCATTGGTAGAGTTATTAGCAGGATAAAAAGAGGTATTGCAATTTGATTACTTTAAAATTTTTTTTTTTTTTTTTTTTTTTTTGGTTAAGAAAAGGAAGATAAAATTAAAAAATATAAATATAATCTTTGCAAAATACTCGAGAATTCAGTATTACTGGTTGATTTGGTTTGGCAATTTATCATTAGATTTATCTTCTTCAGTTCCTTGAACTAGTTTTGGGCGGAATTTCTACATACGCAGAATAAGACAAATAGCAATCGTAATATTCGACAAATTCTGACGAAAATCAAGTATTTTAGTGGGATAAAGATAAAAAAAGTATAAATAAAGAAAGGAAGGAGGAAACTACATTTATATATATATATATATTTAGAAAATTGCAATGGGTGGTTGTTGCAGTTGTTTGAGAGAGTCTACTTCGGAAGAAACCAATGTATTACCAATCGCTGATAATGAGCGTGAAGCTGTGACAGCTTTATTAGGATTTTTGGAAGATAAAGATCGTTATGATTTTTATTCTGGAGGTCCTTTAAAAGCTTTGACCACTCTAGTTTATTCAGATAATTTAAATCTACAAAAAAGTGCAGCTTTGGCATTCGCTGAGATTACTGAAAAATATGTACGTCCTGTTGGTCGTGAAGTATTAGATCCAATTCTAATATTATTAAGAAGTTCAGATCCACAAATTCAGGTTGCAGCATGTGCGGCTTTGGGTAATTTAGCAGTTAACAATGAAAATAAAGTTTTGATTGTAGAAATGGGAGGATTGAAGCCATTAATTAATCAAATGATGGGAGATAACGTGGAGGTTCAATGTAATGCAGTAGGTTGTATTACAAATTTGGCTACTCAAGATGATAATAAACACAAAATCGCTACTTCAGGAGCTTTAATCCCACTAACAAGATTGGCAAAATCAAAGCATATTAGAGTTCAGAGAAACGCCACAGGTGCTCTATTAAATATGACACATTCTGGCGAAAACAGAAAAGAATTAGTAAATGCTGGCGCAGTCCCTGTTCTAGTATCATTATTGTCATCTACTGATCCAGATGTTCAATATTATTGTACTACTGCATTATCAAACATAGCTGTCGATGAATCAAACAGAAAAACATTAGCTCAAACAGAACCCCGTTTAGTATCTAAACTTGTTTCCTTAATGGATTCTCCTTCCCAAAGAGTTAAATGTCAGGCTACTCTAGCTTTAAGAAATTTAGCATCCGATACCAGTTATCAATTAGAAATAGTTAGAGCAGGAGGTTTACCACATTTAGTCAAACTAATTCAAAGTGACTCGATGCCTTTGGTATTGGCAAGTGTTGCTTGTATAAGGAATATTTCCATTCATCCTCTAAACGAAGGTCTGATTGTAGATGCAGGTTTCTTAAAACCACTGGTTAACCTATTAGATTATAAAGATTCGGAAGAAATTCAATGCCATGCAGTATCTACATTGAGAAATTTAGCTGCTTCCTCAGAAAAAAATAGAAAAGAATTCTTCGAAAGTGGTGCTGTTGAAAAATGTAAAGATCTGGCTTTGAACTCACCAATAAGTGTACAATGTGAAATTTCTGCATGTTTTGCAATTTTGGCATTAGCCGACGTTTCAAAAATAACATTATTAAATTTGAATATCCTTGATGCATTAATCCCAATGACTTTCTCTAAAAATCAAGAAGTTTCTGGTAATGCAGCCGCTGCATTAGCAAATCTATGCTCTAGGATTAATAATTACTCAAAAGTGATGGATGCATGGGATCAACCAAATGATGGTATTCGTGGATTTTTGGTTAGATTTTTACAAAGCGGTTACGTTACTTTTGAACATATCGCTTTATGGACTATTTTACAATTACTTGAAAGTCATAACGATAGAGTTGTTCAATTAGTCAGGAATGATAAAGATATAATAGATGGTGTTAAATATATGGCTGATGTGACATATGAACGTATTCAAAGATCAGATGCTGATTCGAAGAATGCTGATAATGATTTAGTCAATTCGGCAAATTCAGAACAACCTGAAGATGCTAGTATGGACTTGTACAATATTACACAACAAATTCTACAATTTTTGAATTGAAATAATGATTATTCAAAATAATAATCTAATACTAATAAATTATAGGTACGCATGAATTTATTTATAATACCTTTGGTTAAGTTGTCTTTCATTGCATCAAAAGAGGTCAACATAAAATTGCGTTGTTTTAAAAATAAATGTTCTACATGATAAAAGGGAGTTATATTAAGATAAGGTTTATTGGAAAAAATCATGTATTTTAATAATTATCTGGTTTTGATCACTTTTAATTTATAATACATCAATTTCGCAATTGACCCTCTATTTGTTAAACTGTATAAATACTTGAACTAATAAACAGGAAAAAAATACTAAAAAAAAGAGAGAGATAAAGATATAAAATCTTAATTAATTACCTATTTCATTTATAATTTTATATACTATGGTCGATTATAATACAAACTTAATAAGCTTAAATCCTTGTTGTGATTTGCGTTAGCTTGGATTAAGAACTCCATCACTCATGAGAAATAGGTACCTATAAGACACAATGCCTTAGGGATCTAGGTATTGTTAATGTTATCCGTATTGGTTATAAAAGACAATATGGGATACCAGGATTAGAAGTTATAAAAAGATTATATTGATCATCCATAAATGCTGCTATCACTTGCATTGATTTATCAAAAAATAATAGGTCCTACCCGGATTCGAACCGGGGTTGTTCGGATCAAAACCGAAAGTGATGACCACTACACTATAGGACCAATATATTGTGTTTGTTTTGAGAAATTCATTCCTAATTTGAACAGTAATATTAAAACTCAAATCTTTCTGGAAAAGTACATTTGTGTTCAGATGTAAAAGTAATATCTGATTGATTCATTTTGGTGATTGATACAAGATGTTTTTAATATAATATTTATATTTATTTCTCCGTAGTGTCTTATAAATGTAACTAAATAAATATATATTAATATTTGGAATAAACAATATTCTAGATGTGCCAAAATGTCATGCCTTTTTATATGTTTAGATCCAATCTCATAATCTTAATATTATTAATTAATTATAATAAAAATAGTGATGCCTTTGCACTCCACTTCCTATGACATGATCATCAATTGCTCAGATGATCAAGTAGATCATCATTATCGAGCTATTGGAATCTATCATAATAATTGCTGTCAATAATATTGACAGACTATTTCTTCATATCATTAGTAATCATTGTTCATTAAAATGATTAGGGTTATAAATATAATCTTTCAGCTCATAAGAATGTTCTAGAACCATACAGATCTATAATCTATCTCTTAGGTCATATTGTTAATATTTGCATTTATGTCATTAGGGCAACAAATGTCATTTATCACGTGATATGAATAATCTGTAAACCTATATATGGAATTCATACATTTAGGTTACAACAATTTGCTACTGTGTATATAATATAACCCAGTATCAGTCAGTATTCTATATGTTGTAACCTAAAATATAGGTAATATATCTATAGAATCCCAGAATATGCATATCATGTGATACATGATATCTATTGCCTTAATAATATTAGATCTAATTTTAATGATATGACCTAAATGATAGATTATACATCTATAAGATTCTAGACTATTCTTATAACCCGATAAATACTATTTATTGTCCTAAGTATATCCAAAAATACCATGGACTTATGTTTAGATCCAATTCCATAATCTTAGTATTATTAACCAATTATATTAATTATGTCTTTGCACTTCACTTCACTTCCAAAGATTCAATTGTCTTTTATCAATTGCTAATTATAACCTGATATCAATAATAATGCTAATGATCTATTGGATTAGTAATATCTGATTGTATACTGTTATTGCAATTAATACTATTTATTACGTTATAACAATATTTTTTGAAAATATAGGTATATTCCCTATATTTTAGGTTACAACAATATGGGTATATGTGGTGTTTAAGCTTCCACATACCATATTCACTATTCATGATTATGGCGGCTCGCATATTACTAATGGTCCAGTTGATATGAAAAGTTTTGCCGAAATATTTGACATGTAAATAGAGGTTAAATATTCACATTTGTAAGTTATTTAAGATCTGTTATTGTATAGGAAAGACGAGGGAGGTTCTAAATACAGAATGTTGAACTAAATTATTATTTATAACCACAATAATAATATATATATTGCTTATTTCATTGAAATTTTATTTTAATATTTAGTTACTTATATAATTTATGAACAGTTTGATCTCAATCAATCTTTAAATCTTTTTCAAATCATCCCAAATATATATCTAAATCACGAAGTGGGGCGAATTAAAATTGATATCAATTATCACCAAGGTTAATACAAGTGCTTACCAAATCTAATACATTACATTCCATAACCAGGACTTTAAGTGGTGGAAACTAACTAATTACCTGTGTTAGCAAAATTATAACTGCAAATTGATTATTAATGATCTAGATGACTGGATAAATTATTTAGAATTATGTGTATAAATATGAACCTAATTCCCATGTCCAGATATTAGGTTTATTTCATAAAATATATATATTTGTATTCTGTCTAAGACTGACAAGGGTACAGATTTTTAAATATTTGTCAGAATTATGAGGTAACACGTGATATAGACGTATTACGACATTATTCATATAGGATAAAGAAATGTAGAAAAACTACAACATAATTCTCTACAATATTAATAACATACCAATTTATAACTAAAAAACAATGAACTCATAAAACAAGATAGTGACATTAATGAAATTTTATGCTGATGAAAAAGTTACCTATTTACTTTAACATTAATTCTGATTTAGGTTCGTAGCAACAATATACTATTTAATATTATGAACTCATATTTCAGTTTCAAAAATATTTAAAAAAATAATGATTTCGCCCAGGATCGAACTGGGGACGTTCTGCGTGTTAAGCAGATGCCATAACCAACTAGACCACGAAACCACTTGATTTGTTGAATCTATTGATTTTGAGTACACTAAGTTATAGAAAGAGCAGCACATGATTTTAATTCGTATAAAGCTATTTATAAACAATATAAAAAAGTTTCATTGGTGGACCTCCAGAACGTCTAGGAGGGTAACTAAGTAATGACAATGGTCGTAATGACAGGTGCATTCTTTAGTTAGAGATATCTTAAGAGTACCTCAAATAAGTGTTGGTGTCGCGGTTATTTTATTAGTCTGTATTGTGGAGACTAGTATGAGTTAGCAGATGTATTTAATATCAAAGGAATTTTATATCGTCTTTTCTAATATATAAGGTAAGTAGACAAGCTACAATTATATATATACGATGGTTTCGAATAGTAGTTACTGTTAATCTTTACTCGTGTCTGCGATAGCGACACGTATCGTAGGTCGTCATCGAGATGCGATCATTCTTCTAAAGTTATATCGAAACAATGCATTGATTTAATCTTTTTCTACAAAGTAAAAGTTACGATACGATTTTATTCAATGGGGTAAAGTAATTATCTGTACAGTGATTTACTGACATTTATGAACAACCAGGGACTATATGTAGCTACTCACACATCATTTTGTCATACACTATCCTATTATGGGTTATCAAAAGTTTTTATAGATTTAAACTGAAAAAAATTCCTTAGCTTATCTAAATTTTGAAGCGGTTATTTTTCTATATTCAAATCAGTTATAATTCAGTATAATAATTATCATTACTTCAGTATTACCTTTTTCTTTCTTTTGTAGCTTCAAGAATGGGAAACCTTAAATAAAGGATCCAGTGTCATCAAAAAATTTATATCCTTAACCTTTAACAATCATTTACCGGAAAGAACAACACCTTTTATTTCATTTGATGAAGTTTGGCCCTAAATATTATTCAAAATAAAAAATAAAATTACGGAAACATTGATTCTTAGTTACCATATATGAATATAAACAAATAAACAGTCTCAGCAGGTTCTATCCAAGGTATTTAATTTCAATTAAATATTTATGCTCTATTTCTATATTGTTGTTACAGGTGTCCTTAATTAATCAAAAATCATAGAATACTAGTTTACCGTTAGGATAAATTGGATTGAAAGTATCCCGATTTGAATTTTTACAACTTTTTGGTAATATTAATTGAGCTCTTAAAGTTTTATCTCTTGAACCAAGTAAAATGCAACAACCAGAAAACCCCATCATCAATGCCTTATATTAAAGATAATTAAAAGGAGAATGATTCTAGGAAATTGATATCTATAGGTTTGTAATTCCATAAAGAAAGATGGGATATTTTAGAAATACTTTTGAAAGTATCTGATCTTAAAGTAAAATTTCTATGACACAAATATTATGTATAGAACAATTAATTAGTTAATATCAATACTTGTTGAGAACTTAACTTGGTTTAATGATCATATAGTCTCATGTGGCTATATACAGAGTATAATCTGCCACATACCATATTTAGCGTATATATAGAGGTTAAATATTCACATTTGTTTGTTATTTAAGATCTGTTATTGTCTAGGAAGGATAATGGGAAAAATTCTCACACATTAATACTAAATAACCTGAAAAAAAGCAAATACAAATGAATACTCAAGACAGAATATTAAACTTGCAGTAGTAATAAAGTCGAGAATACATGTATAAAAATAATAACACATTCTGTGACAGCGGAATATATGAAATATTGATTTGTTACAAAATGAATGAAGTCACTGAATCTTTATCACATTTGTCAATTTGTCAATTTAAAAAAATTAGGGACTAGTTTTGATTACTTTGGTATTTATTGAGAAATTTTGATCTCGAATGCAACAGTCCATATCGATCCACAGTTATCAATTATATTTAACAAAATTCAAGTACAGTAGATATGTAATTTATAGAAGTAAGTGGATTCAGTTAGAATTATGAAGATGGGCTCAATTTCACTGACACTGGCTATTGTTCAACAGTTATATAGGTAAACTGTGCAAAAGAAAATGAGGCCTAAAAAGAGACAACAAATTTTATAAGAGCAAGGCTTAAAAGCTTTATATTTGCTGACATTGGTCATGTGACGTTTCTTATAAAGCCATATTATCATGTCTCACGAGTGTCTGTCCGAAGTGAAAATTCTTCAAGGCATCTTGAAGTATAAAAGAACCTTATGTAACGTCATATATTAAGTAACTATGTATCAGAATAAAGAAATGATCCAGTTATCTAGTAAACCAGTGACAATGACAGTTGAGACCAATCCTACAATCCAGTAATATTGATTAGTGGTTATTGGTGGTAATATTCAACATATTAAAAAAAATTAATTTGATTTCGCCCAGGATCGAACTGGGGACGTTCTGCGTGTTAAGCAGATGCCATAACCAACTAGACCACGAAACCTTATTAATTGTTGTGAATTTTGTTTTTACACATAATCGAACAGAAATTGCAGAAAATTTTGATCTGTATTGTTTGTATTATTTGGCCTGTAATTATTATTTGTCGAAGTAGTCTCGAAATAATACATGTTTGGTCCGGAATATTAAATATTAATGTATCTGCTGTGTATTTACTGGTTTGTAGGATTACGTTGGCTCATTGTGGTCACTCTGTTACTAGATAACTGGATCGTTCTTTTAGTTTTATACATAGTTACTTGTTATATTACTATATATATTCTTCTTTTATACTTCAAGATACCTTGAAGAGTTTTCGGTTCGGACAGACACTCGTGAGACATGATAATATGGCTTTATAATGTATTATTTCGAGACTATTTCGAGGTTACTTCATACGAACCTTGAAGGTGAAGAAATATGTGTCACTACAAGAATGTTGTTACATGCTATTAACATTGATATTTAAAGAGATCATTGTATATTATTGTACATTATTGTATATTATTGTATATTATTTAGTATCTTACTTTGTACATAAAAGATATATAGAAATTTATTATTATTAACAAGTATATTTACTTTAACCTACAGATCTCCACCCTTAAGATCCTATAGAATAAACGCCTACCAGCCTTCATTCTAACGTATACTAAATTCAATATACAACTAAATAATAATAAAGGCCAAATAATACAATAAGAAAAAGTCACATGACCAATGTCAGCAGTATTATTTCGAGACTATTTCGAGGTTACTTCATACGAACCTTGAAAGGTGAAGAAATATGTGTCACTACAAGAATGTTGTTACATGTGTCAGAATTATGAGGTAACACGTGATATAAACGTATTACGACATTATTCATATAGGATAAAGAAATGTTACTTTACACGAAAGTATTACTGACGCTGAAAACTTTTCCAACACTTTATATAAGAAATGACAAGATCTTAATTGATACTTGTCATGTTAATTATATTCCCATGTGTATATTTTATACTTTAATACACCGGATCAATATCAACTTATTAAAAATGTCCTTGCAAACAACTAAACAATCTAATACTATTAACGATTCGGTAGAAAATCTACAACATAATTCTCTACAATTACAATGGGTTATGAGAACCAAATCTCATAAGTACAGATATGACCAGTAAATACATAATCTAATTGTTCTGTTACCAAAAACTAATATCTAAAAATTCTTCATTGCGCTTTAGTCTCGTAATAAATATATCATGAAATGAGAAGTGTCACTAACACCAGAAGGCCGATAACAAGTTACTGTCTACAGAAAGATGACGTTGACAAATAGTTCATAAAGGAATTTCGAGACCCTATCAGCTAATAGTTTTGGCTGCTTATCCAGATAAAAAAATACCCCAAAGGATTAGGGTTATATAAAGTATGAAATATAATGTGGGAAGAATTCTTTCTTACTTGGATAACACATTTCCTTTTTATCAGCCATATACTACTCTATACTGCAAGTCCAACCCCTTGTCTTGAGCATTCATTTGTATTTGCTTTTTTTCAGGTTATTTAGTATTAATGTGTGAGAATTTTTCCCATTATCCTTCCTAGACAATAACAGATCTTAAATAACAAACAAATGTGAATATTTAACCTCTATATATACGCTAAATATTTCAATAAAACTTTTCATGCCATCTGGGCCATTGGTAACTGACAAGCCACCATAATTATGAATGCTAAATATGGTATGTGGCAGATTATACTCTGTATATAGCCACATGAGACTATATGATCATTAAACCAAGTTAGGTTTTCAACACTATATCAGAAATAAAATTGCTAAATACAACTATCTGAAACTACTGGTCGCCATAATTCTTATTCATATATTGGCATAAAAATCACCATCCATTTTGATTATCTAAGTCATATAATTTCACTTCAACAAAGTATGATTAAGAATCAGGAAATTAGCAGTTCAATTAAGTAAAAAATATTATAATTCCTACAATTCTTTAAAACTCCGAAAGAGACACATTTACATTTATATTTGGCACTGATCTATATTTTCATTGATATTGATCTAAACATCCAACGCTATACCACCAAGCTTTTTAAATCCATTTAAAAATATGAGAATGAACCTATCGTATAAATGAAAATAATTCTATAGTATCTAAAGAATGATATATAATCTTGAAATAATATATATTCAATCACTTCTATAGTTTCTTTACTTGAATCTAATGCTAAAATATTTTTCTTCAATTCAATTTATCTTCGATATAACCAGCTGACTTCTTATTTGATCTCTAATAATTATTCAAACTAATTCAAAGTTTCCTTCAAGAATTTTGTATAAGCTCACTTAAGTTCAAATTTAATTGAACTTAATTCAAGGTTCAAACTACCTATTATTCAATCAAATAGATCATCTCTTTATAAATTTTAAGAAAAATGACGTACGGTATTTTATCATAATTTCGAAAATGTTTAAATCAAGAAGCTCATCTCATCACATCTCATCGCAGCTATTTCGAAAATAGAAACACAATTTAGGTACAATATCTAACTAAATATTATCTAACTTACGAGTTGGTAATGAAAATTGCAAAGTTTAAGGTATAGATCAGTTGTCAACTTTTGTTTTACTCAATGAATGAAGGACTGAAGCTTCTATTTGAAATATTCCCCCATAAGGATGAACCGAGTTTAAAGGAAGCACTCGAGTCAAGCAATGGCGATATAGAATTGGCATCAATGATGATACTAAGTGAGGAAAATATCGAACATGTAGAATCTGATTCTGAGAAACAAAATAAAGATCTTGAAAATTTATATGATATGTTTCCTAATATCAAAAGATCACTAATCACATCTATGTATGAAGATAATGCTGATGGTAATGATTTAATCCCAGAGTTGCTAAATTTAGATTTGTTAAATAGGGAATCAATACATGATGAGGTCGGATGTGATAATGGAAAATGTGGTGGAGATAATCAGACTCAAACTAATGGAATTGTGAACTCCAATAATAAATGGAGTGAGAGTTCTTCTGATATTAAAATTATCGTAGATTACACAGATGTGTCCGATTCAAAAGCTAAACATTATTACTACAAGAATAATCATGATATTATACTTTCAATTATAGATATAATTGATGAATATTCTGAGAAAAGGGGGACAATTGATTCTAATGAATCATCAACAATACATATGACCTCTAAGAGCACCAACTGCATAAAAAGAGGAACTGTCCAGAATAATAATGGGTTCGCACATTTTAAAGGAAAGGAAGCAAGAAATTCCCAGAATTTGTATGAAGTGTTATCATCTGAAAAGGATAATACATCTAAAACAAATACAATCGATAATGATCAGAATTCCAATTTAGAAATACAATACAAAGTGTTCCGATCAGAAATCATAAAAGGCAATGAATTATCCAAAGTGATAGATAATAAGGTGCTATACAGAGTGTACTGTTTTTACAATGGAAATGTAGAACGAACCTTATTGTTGGTGACCTTACTTATAGACAATCATTATACAAATATAACGGTTCCAGTAGAGGAATATAAAAAGATAAGTGGTGTTGGCCTAGAAATTGAACGAAAATTTACATTGCCTACTACAAATAAGATCATAAAAAAGAAAATTGAAAGCCCACAAATCTTAGAATCTACACAATCCCACTTAACAAATAGTGGATTTAACTCTACAACAAGTTTCGAGGAGGCCAAAAAAATGATGAAAGATATGTTTCTGACCAGCAAGCTTGACTTTCATGGGTTCCAACCCAATGAAGCTATATCTACCTTAGATGCATGTTTAAAAGTATGGTGGGAGAAGGAAGAATCAGAGAGAGAGCTAACCGCCACAAACAAGAAATACTCCAAAGTACTATTTTTAAGCCCTATAACTGTAGTAACCGGCAGAGGGATTCACAGTATCAATGGTGTTTCAAAAGTTAAATTAAGAGTTAAAAAGTATTTGGATGAAAATAATTATCAATATTGGGAAGAACCGTCATATTTTAGAATTGAAGGTAAAAAATAAAATTATGAAACCTCAGTGGTTGAAATCTATTCAATGAACTACAATATGTCCCATTTATTAAGAGCTAAAGGTTTCTAAAATTGTAACATTAAATTATATAAAATAGTTATATGTATATGATATATACCGTGCATGAAAATTTATATATCAAGACAACAGAAAAGCACCCGATCCCTCCTTTATTGCTTGAGATATTCTTGAACTCATTATCAATTTATCAGAGTATTTAGGTAGTTTTAAATAGTTTGCACAGGTCATCACACTTGGCAAATATTCATCTGGAGAAGAGCCATCCTCTGCATGCTTCAATACTACCGTTAATTTCGGTTTCAATGATTTAAATCCACCGATTGGCAATTTTGGGGAACCAGTTATAAATTGCAAAAATAACCTCCTATCTTGATTATCAAAGTTACTGATAATATGAACTAAGTCGTGAATAGTTTGTGAATCCATGGTATAACCATGTTCAGCAGTAATACATGAATATAAAGTTTCTGCGGACCAATCTTCTTCTGCTTCTCCAAACATAGTAACAAGTTCATTTGGTGTTAGAATCAACATGTTTCTATAAGGGAAGACCCTAGAAAATCCTTCTTTGAAACAGTTCAATTGCTTTTTTACCCCATCTTCAATCATCATGCTCAAAACTCTACTGATATATTCTTCAACATTAGCTGACGTAATTGGAACATTTTTTCCATGTTCTATAAGTTCCAATCCATAACCAGGAAGGACAAATGTTAGCTCTAGGTCTGAAATGGCTTTATTATTATTTTTTTGATCAAAAATATATTGCAAAGATTTTGCCAGTTGGTAATCAACTACTGATAGCCTCTTCAATTGAGTTAAGACGTCTGAGTTTCTAATACTAGTTTCATTATAGCTTTCCTCAATTAATTCGAACATTAACCTGTTAAATCTGAAATCAAGAATTCTACCATCTAAAATAGCTTTTGCAACAAATTCACCCAGGTAAGTGAATAGTTCTAGGGTCTTTGTTTGATCTGTACAAGTTTCTAAGGGACGTGGAAATAACGATCTCTGAATGTAGATTTCATTTTCATCTTCAGTTTCCCCAAAAGACCAAATGTCTAACGATTTCTTTGCAAAATCTCTTGACATTGTTGCATAGAACTCCAATGTTGGACCCAGACCCGTACCTGCTTCATCTTGGTACTCAATCTCAATAATATTTGGATTAGAGCCATAATTCTCTAAAATTTTAAGACCGCTCGCAAATAAATCTGATCTAGTAATCCTTAACTTTCTTTTTAACACAGTACCAAGTTGTTGAAGGGGATCATCACTACTTTGTTCTATTTTTTTACCACTTCTATTTAACCATAACTCGATTAAACGACCATAACCAAAGGAAGTGCATTGCAAAAAGAAAATTCTAGTATCTAGCGGAAAAATGAAAGGGTATTGACTTGTTAAATAAATTACCCACTCAGGCAAAACCCTGCTTGCCACAATCAATGGCTCATCCAATTGTCTTGATAGCTTTGCACTCAACTTCATGTTGATAAACTTTTCTTGAGGTATGTCACTATCATGAAGAAATTTCAATAACCTTAAGACCATTTCTGCCGCGTGTGAATCCAAGATTTCTTTAGAGGCATCTGGAATAGTATAAGACGAATCTAATGTCTGTTCCATTGGTTCATCATCAATTGGCGAAATTTTATTTAGTTTCTTATAATAGATTGTAGGAGTTTCATTCCATCTTTCAGTTATACTTGTTCCATTAGCCACCCATTTTTTGTAAACTACACTAAAAATAGTAGTGTCAAGACCCAATGGAGTTTCATTGTCATAAAATTGAAATGTGATATTTCTCAAATTATTTAATGATCCATCTTCATTCCTACTGTTATTGCTTAACCCTGATAGCAAAGAATCCAGGAACATTGATTGAGTTACCTTATGTTTTAAAAAGTCGTTCAAAGTAGATAAAGAAGCAATAGAATGAATCGAAAGGGTGACGGTACTCAAGTTAGGTACGATACCATCCTTTTTTGCATCTCCTTTATAAACAAGTTTGATATTCATTTCTTTCCCTAATGATGCAACTCCCCCTTCATCACCTTGGAGACCGCATTCTAAAATTGTAAACTTCTCTGCTTTTGATAATGCCATATGCAAAAAGTTAATGAATTTATCCATAACTGGTTCGAACGAAATAAAAAATGATGTTTTGATCACCGGATTTAAATTCAACCCCATTCTAAGTATATCAACTAATAATTTCGGCAGGTCAGATGAAATAAAGTCATGAACAGAAATGCCATTTTCACCCAGGAAATCTTGTTTTAAATCATCCCAGAGATCATTCCAGTATTCCTCTTGTAAATTAGAAACATCTGCTTTTTGAAGTTTAAGAAGAACTAGCTGCAGACTTTCTGAGGATTCTTGAATTACTTCCTTGTTAGAATCCAACAATAAAAATGCGTCTTCACATAAATTATTGATACTATGCAAAATTTGGTTATGCGATTTCCTCTTAAGTAATTCAAAAGATATTTTTTTTGGTTTTACATATTCAGGAATATTCATCTCATCATACTCATACTCACTATCACTGCCTTTATCCTTTTTTGTCTTTGATTCATCAGTTAAGAAACTTTCAACCTGAACTTTTTCACTTTCTGTGTCATATGTGTCATTTTCAATGTCATCACTCATCATGTCATCCAAATGAGAATGCAGTAATTCAACACCTTCGAATACCCCTTCTCTTCTTAAAGTAGAAAACAGTTCATCTTTGAATTTCTCATTAATAGTAAGTAATATCCCCAATAGTATTTGTAAAATATTCGCATTTATCATTTTTGTTTTATTTCCATTATATAGATTATCTACCTTAAAGTAGGATAATTCAAATAATGTTACAATTTTGGACTTACAGGCTTTTGCCGCTTCTGAATTCATGTTGGAAACTATTCTTAAAATTGCAATCAATATATAGAGACGAACACCACTATCAATAGAGCTTGTAAAAATGTCTACCATCATATTTATAATTTGGACGTTAAAGTCATTTAAATTTGACTGATTAATTATAGACTTTTCTCGGTTAGGATTTTGAATTGTAAAACAATTATTCATCTCTGGGGGAAATAAGAATGCCAAAAATCTAGAAATGGCCATCAAGAGATTATCAGGAACAAACATTAAGATATCACCTAATAATGCATCTTGTGATTTCTTGTAAGGGTTAAAACATGAGTATATCATGCTATTTACTTTATCCCCCTCTATCATATGCTCGGAAATTGTTTGTGATGATTGGACTAAAACAGTTAGTATCTCGATTGATTTTAATTTGTTATCAATTGGTAATTCAGGCGAGGATACTAAAGAAAAAATATGATCAATGAATTCTTCAGTGAATAGATCATCAAAATTAATATGCTTTCTTAACCCGCCACAAATTCCATAAACCGCATTTACTAATTTCGTTATCAAATTTTGATCAGTACTGTTTATGAAAATGCTTTGCAACAATGGAAATACTTCACGAATAGTTTCGAAATCACTTAATTTGACCTTTGCGCAAGCATTGGAAACAATCGTAATAGCTTTACGTTGTGCATGTATTGTGAAAAAATCCAAAAACTGTATGTATGAAGTCAAGTTTCCAGCTTCCAAAACTTTTCTACTTTGTACTCTCGAGATATATTCTAAAGTTTCTAAAACTTGCTCGGCTAAATCAATATAGCTTATTTCCAATAATTTACCCTGTAACACTGGAATGATATTTTCCTCCACAGCAATGCCAATGCAATCTGGACTTACTTCAAACAAGTTATAAATGCAACGGCAAGCCATTAGTTGCAATTCTAATTCTTCAATTAAAATAGGGCTTGAAAAAATGACACATATATCTTTAATCAGAGATTCTACTGGAATGACTCTATCAATAGCAACACTATTCATCATCAATAATGATTCGGATAACTCTCTTAGACTTTCAAGTGCAATGTAGGGATCTTCAGCAGCATTACGGATATTAGCTACTAATTTACGCATACGATCAAATCTTCCGTTGCTTCCTTCTACTCTTCTAGCTCCCAGCATCGATAAAAAATCTGGGAACCCGGTCCCAAAGGGAATTCTATGGTCTCTATTAACATCATCACTTGAACTATTACTATCATTGTTATTAGCTCTTGCTTCTAAATCATGTGCAAGGTGGCCTAGTAATTCTTGTAAAGTAGCTGCACGACTTTCCATATGTCCACCTATTTCAATATCGTCGGCACTACCGTGATTATAATCATCTTCATCATCCTCTACACAGTCTAAATTTCTATGTTCTATGTCATCATTGTCATCCTCCTCCTCATCCTCTCCTTCACTATGATTAGCATCAAAACCACCTTCCTCATCATCATTATCCTCTCCATTCATGTTGTCGTACCCATAATCACTAGAATCTTCGTTTCTGTCTGCCCATTCATCATAATCAGATACAGATTCCAATCTGTCATCCTCTATATCATACTCGCCTCTTGAAGAATCACTCTCACCGTAGTAATTCATACTTTTAAATCAAAGAAGCAAAGAAGAGAGGCAATAATAATAAATCAAAAAAAAAAAAAGTAGAACAGCTCCTCTAAAAAAGCAGTAAGAACTATCAAATCAAAAACTTTCAGCTCTTCAGATATATTTAAAGCCCTCCTAAAGTACAAATATGATCCATTCACCTATCAATATCTTCAAGTACTAACTCAAAGAGATGAGTTCTTCTTATATTAACCATTATTTAAAACTTTAATACCTTTTTTTTTAAATTTTTGGATATCAAAATTTGAACTATAAAAAATAAAAAAATATCCAAAAGCACGTGACCCGCATTTAATATGAAATATCTTAAAGAAAATTTTAAAGCTCATCGATTTTTTATTCACGTAGTTTAAAGTTTAACATCTGAATAAAATTTTGAAATGATTTTATGATGGTATAAATTAATGGTACTTGGTCAGAGGAAGTTAAATTGAAGGTATAATTGAATTCTAATTTGTTCTTTTCTAGAATTAATTTATATTTTTATTTTGCTTTTATTTTAGTTTGATATTCAGGACAATAATTAGCAATATATAGCGATGCCAAGATCTAAACGTTCTAAGTTAGTGACATTATCTCAAACTGATAAGAAAGGTAGAGAAAACAAGGAGAGAATCTTTGATGAAGTAAGAGCTGCTTTGGATACTTACAGATACGTTTGGATTTTATATTTGGATGATGTTAGAACTCCAGTTTTGCAAGAAATTAGATCCTCTTGGACTGGCTCGAAATTAATTTTGGGTAAGAGAAAAGTTTTAGAAAAGGCCTTGGGTACTACTAGAGAAGATGAGTACAAGGAAAACTTACACAAGCTAACTAAGGAATGTAGCGGTGTCACTGGTTTATTATTTACCAATGAAGATATTGACACTGTTAGAAGTTATTTCGAATCATACGCTAGAATGGATTATTCGAGACCAAACTCAAGAGCTCCATTAACTTTTGTTATCCCAGAAGGTATTGTGTATTCTCGTGGTGGTCAAGTTCCTATTGAAGATGACGTCCCAATGGTTCATTCTTTGGAACCAACTTTAAGAAATAAGTTAGATATCCCAACTAAAATTAAAGCTGGTAAGATTACAGTCGAATCTCCATACTTGGTTTGTAACAAAGGTGATAAGTTAGACGTTCGTCAAGCTTTGATTTTGAAACAGTTTGGTGTCGCCGCTTCTGAATACAAAGTTAAAGTAGCAGCATATTACGACAACGAGACCTCGAAAATGGAAAAGGTTAAGATAAATACAGAAGAAGATTAAGTAGATCTATAGGATAAACTTTAAGTATCACTTTATATTTGTACAATAAATGTCATAGAGATTATATTAATTTTTAAAGAATCATATTCATGGAAGGGTTTTATAAGATAAACAAATTTCCATATCATGAAAGTAATTTTTAATCATATACAGAATTATTAAAAGGCTAAACAGACCTACGTTTATTAAAGGAGACAAGCTGGATGAAACAATGTCGTAGAACTTGAAAAAAATAAACAACCATCATATTGCCTCATTTATAAATACAGATCAATGGTCAAACCAGTAGCTAAACTTTCTAGAACAATAAAATTAAGTCTATATTCAAATTGTATATAAAATATATAAAAACATGTACACAACTGCCAAAAAAAAAAATATGAATAAGTTCTAAACTTGATTTATCAATGATCAAAATGTTTAGATCTAATATTTAAGAATTTTTAAATTAATTGTTTTTCTTGTTGTCATTGTTACTGGAGGTTTCAGCCGGTTCATCATCATCATCAGATTCACTGGAGTCACTTCTTTCATCTTTTTGAACACCTTTCCAAACTGCTCTATACAAGATTCTTAAGATCAAAACCAACCAGTATAAGTTGACTAATTGTAATGCAAAAATCAAAATGAAAACAATTGGTAGCGATATCCAACATTTATATTGCTGGGTAGCATAATTTAGGACATAATTACCTTCAGTACGGAATTGTGTTAAAACCGACCATAAAATTTTAATGTTAACAATATGACGTAAATAGACCCAAGAAATGACGAAAATAATAAATACAACAGGGGTATATTCATATTCCAAATAGTTCAAAGCTTTTGATAAAGCAAGAAAGAAATCTGAGACATCCATTGTAATATAAATTGCTAGACCCATTTTAGTGAAATGGAAAACATACGATGACCAGATCAGCAATAGGGTTACAATATGATGGAAAACCAATTCTCTACGATCCTTTCTTGGCTTTTCTAATTGCAGAACCAAAACACAAGCTTGTTGAGCCCAAAATGCTGCTTGACCTAAATAAAATAATTTATAAAGGTAAGTATTATTCAAATCTGGATAAGTACGGTACATTGTTTTGGTTTCAAATAACCATAAATCTGAATGGTACATGATATATAAACCGAATGGACCTGAGACACCACAGTAAATAATTGAATATACTTGCTCCATCATTCTATTGATTCTATGTTTTGAAGTGATCTTCAGTTTTTTGATTGTAATTGGACGAATAACGACATCCATTAGAAATTCTCTTAGAAATGTGAAAAAGATCATGTAAAAGAATATAAAGGATAAATCTTTGATACCTTTACCATAATAATCAGTGTCACCAACTTGATAAGAAACTGCAACAAATTGATGTAATGGATTACTTTCAGTTCTATTGCCAGAAGTAATATATGCACTATAAAATATGATTAAAAGAACCAAAGGTGTTAGCCATGTATGGCGATAATTCATTTCTCTATAAGATAACCAAATTTTTTTCATTAAATCCATATCATCACCATCACCTTGGCAGATTCTTTGCATTCTTTCTTCAGCAGCAATCTTCGATGCTTTGGATTCATCCATGGTTCCTAAACCTGGAACGGTATCACCCACATCAATCTTGCCAACAGAAGATGTAGCTCTGTTTCTCATTACAGGTGCACTTAGACTACCCTTTTTATTTTCACTCATATTGTAAAATCTGATATACTAAGTCAATAAAACAAGCAAACAAATAAAATCCACACAATACCTTGGAATCAAAGGATAAACAAAAATCAACAATCTCTTCAAAGAATGAGTGAGAGAGTAGTTACTCAACCTTCTACCGTTCTCTGTCTGAATTTGAAAAGTTCAAAAGAAATTGAGTTCAATTCAATCCTTGCTCAAAGTATGAAACTCTCCAAACACAATTCCAAATTGTACTTATAACAACTTGAAGCTCCTAATTCAAACCCAAAATAAACTGAATTAAATTAAAATTGAACAGTTAAAAGTCAAACTATAATTTTATTTTTATTTTTATTTTTTTTAAATTTTGCCTTGTTCTTCTTCTTCTTCTAAAATAAGTCAATTTTTTGATAGTGCGGTAATAGTATGATATTATCAAGCCCAAAAAAAAAATAGAGGACAATAGTAAATATAATTTGTATGGTACTGAACAGACAAACAGATAAGTAGAGACAGAGAAACCAGAACTATAAGATGACTCGATCTATATCTGATAGGAATCCTTAATTTACTTGATATAACTACTACCTCTTGAACCTAATGCACAATCTTGTATTGGATACTTAAAGATTTTTGGAAATCAAAACTTCGATGCCAATCCACAACACAAATGACGGATACTTTAAGACCTATGGTTGTATTCTCAGAAATAATTCCAGATCGAATACGAATTAAGCAATTGTAAAAGATTAGTTAACAGTTTCTTGAAGTTTCTCTTATTAGAATCACAATCACAATCACAATATTTATTTTGGTTCTTTGACGTAATTTGGTTTGATTTTCTGGCCACCCTTGATTCAAAGTATAACCATTAATTTTTGTTCAATTACCTCCAACAAAATTATCCTATTGATATAAATAATTTATTCACAGTTCTAATTTAGCAATCTTTAGATTATTCTGTGATGATTCTTGCTTTGTCATTAACATCATCTCATTTAAAGTAAAAGTGACTGTCTTTCTTAACTTTGCTGACTGGGCTTGGCTTGGCTGATAATAGCGAAAATTTAACTATGCGAACTTTAAGATAGTAAGATAGATACTAATTAAAAAATGGGTTTAGATAATGTTATAAAAGGGGAAAGTAGCTCAAGTTATTATTATTGATTGTGTTGTTGCTATTAATAAGATTCACCTAATACATCTGTGATTATCTATTGTTATTCCAGATATTTCGATAGCAATCTTTTTGAATAATTTATTTTGTGTGGGTGTGGTGCTATAAGTACTATTGATATCTATATTTGTTTCATTGGTATAGTAACCCCTAATCAAAAAAAAAAATTGATCTCTATCTCTATATATATTGTTAATTGAGGTTGAGTAATATATATCTGGTTGCTTTTATTCTGTTTTACTTTAGTTGTATTTTCAACAAGAATATCTCTGCTAGAATAGAAAAAGTTTAGTCTGGATTCATCTTTTAGAAAATGAGTGTGGCCAATGTTAGAAAAGCTATATTGAAGGCAACTGATGCTAAACTAAGAAATGATAACTGGCAATATATTTTGGAAGTTTGTGATTTAATCACTGAGGATCCAGAAGATGCTGGTAATGAATCCATAAAGGTTATAGAAGAAAGATTACAGCAAGACGATGCAAATGTAATCTTAAGAACTTTATCGTTAATACTATCAATGGCTGAAAACTGTGGTTCAAGAATTAAGCAAAAGATTGATTCAAAAAAGTTTACCAATATTTTAAAAAGTATCATAGATAATCAATCTATTCATTTGATCGTTAAAAAACGAGTCGTTGATATCACTAAACAACTTTCCGTATCCTTTAAAGATGACCCATCTTTAAGATATGTAAGTGATCTGTATCAAAGTTTGTTATCTGATGGATCTTATTCTTTTCTATTTGCATCTGATGACAATAGTTCTAGTACCCCAAAACCGCAGGTAAAATCAAGTGTTAAGGATGATGATGATGATTTCCAAAGAGCCTTAAAATTATCATTATTAGAGTATGAACAGCAAAAACAAAGTATTCCTGAACCAAACCAACCGCAGCAACAACCACAACAACAACCGAATCATCAACCAAATCATCAACCAAATCATCAACCAAATCATCAACAACCACCACAACAACAACAAACCGTTCAACCACCTGTACAGGAGAAACCAACTGTGGTAAGAAAAGTAAGAGCAATGTACGATTTGAGCTCTAATGAACCTGATGAATTATCATTCAAGAAAGGGGATATCATTACTGTCTTAGAACAGGTATACAGGGATTGGTGGAAAGGTACTTTAAGAGGTAACATTGGTATTTTTCCATTGAATTACGTAACTCCAATATCAGACCTATCTAATGCTGAATTGGAACAAGAACTGACTCGAGAGAATAAGCTATTTTCACAAAAAACTAATATAGATCAACTGCACACCATGCTAAGATCAACAAATAATGGTCAAGAATTATCCCAAGATCCACAAATAAATCAATTATATGGAGAAGTGACGCCATTGAGACCACAGATTGCCAAAATGATTGGCAAGTATTCACAAAAGAAGGATGACTTGACTTCGTTACGTCAAATTTTGGCAAATGCTGAATCGACATATAATCAAATGTTAGACCGTGCGGCTAATTCATATATCCCTCCATCTAATACCAACATAGCCCCATCTGTACCTCAAGTTCAAGCTCAAGTTCAAGGTCAGTCTCAATTGCAACCACAACAGACTAACCAACAAATCCAATATCAGCATAATCTCCCACAACAATCTCAGAACCAAGCATTTTACCAACCTCCTGTGTACACTCAAAGTCCAAGTTATCCACAACAAGTACCTGGTACTGTCAATAGTACACAAGGAGCCCATAATCAACCGGTTCCTCAAGGACAATTGAACGATACTCAACAACCTACTTACCAGCAAAATTACACACCTTATCCTGTCAGTAATCAGCATACAGGTATGTAAATAAGGGAAACTTTATATTGCCATTGCCTTATATTCTATAACATCTATAAATCTATATTGTTAGATACAATTTATTGATCTCAGATATAAGCAAGATAATAATGATGATAAAAATAATTACTACATATGACTGTTTCAGACAGATTAGAAAACCATACCAACCAATTGAGTAGTTATATTCTTCTTCTACTGTTTATATCTTATAGGGTTGTATGTGCTTAAATATTGTATTTTGAGATATCCCGAACTTGACAATTTAAAGCTTTATTTCGACAGTTTTAAAATAAAGTAGTTATCCCTATTCTATATATTAACTAAGATAAAATAATTATATAGATATAGGAATAGCTTTCGTTAGGATTAGAATATCATAGAGAAGTGTATGGTAAATCATGTCTCAATCTAAATTTGAATCAATTATTAATGAATTAGTTTCCCACAGTTCTTGTGGTGAAATAAAAGAGGTTTATAACGATTTATTAACCATTACTGGTGAAAATTCAAAATCTACTATTTTAGATGCAATTGAACAATATAACATATCAAATGCAGTTCCTGTTGATCTAGAAGGCAGATTTGTAATAATTTCCAAATACAATAAAGAAGGTAGTAAGTTCTTTGATCCAAAGACCTCAAACCTTTTTTCAGTTGATCATTTAAACTTGATAAGTTTAGACATTGAGAAATCAGAAAATAAGTTGACTGATGAACAAGAAACTATCGACAAAGAACTCTTAGAATATTCACAAACAGATTTTCCAGGTGATATCACCTATGGTGTATTCTCTGTCCCTGGCGAACCAAATAAAACAGCTATACTTATCAGTTGTAATAGATATAATACAGCTAATTTTTGGACAGGTCGTTGGAAATCTGAATATATATACGACAATGAAAGCAAGAGTTTGCAAGGTTCTATAGATGTTCAAGTTCATTACTATGAAGATGGTAATGTGAAATTCAAGTCTACAGAAGAATTTAATGAATCTAATGTGTCCTCTGTAGTAGATAAGATTAAAGAGTTGGAAAAGAATTTTGAACGTCAATTGGACAACTCATTTACTGATTTGAATGAAAACCAATTTAAACAATTGAGAAGAAGATTGCCAGTTACTAGATCAAAGGTCAACTGGGGTAAAGCAATTGGTAACTATAGATTAGGTAAAAACGCCGTTGAAGGTAACTAATAATTTTCTGTGTCATAGACTTTTATAATTATATACAATAACTATTACTGTAATGCAGATTATATAAAACATATCTAATTTTTCATACTATATATACGATTGTCTCGATAATAAGGAAACTAAATTTAAAGGTCAAGTCAAACCTTGAACTGTTTAGAAAAACTTGTATAGGTTATAGACTATGAAAAATAATACTAGAGAAATACCAACCATTCTCCATATGTTATTTCCTGCTCTCATAGACCTAGTTAATCTCCCTGAAGTATTTCTAACATTGTTTAACATAGAATCAAAAGAATTCGATAGTTGATTCATTAATGAATTATCATTTATCGCCTGATCGCCAATTTCTTGGTTGATATTTTTAAAAGTAGCTAATTTATTAGCAAGACTTTCTAATCTCTCGTCATTCTGTTATTATAGTCACATATACATTCATGGCGTTAGTAATACAAATGTAAAAGGGGTTTGGATTATGAGTTACCATCATTAACGTTGAAGTTAAAGCTAGAAAGATTAAAAATTACCTTAAACATACTCTGCTTTCTAGTTGGGAATAGTTTGAACTAGACATTTCCTTTCGAAATTACATGCATAGTAATGAATACTGTTAAGGATTAATAAAAAGCTACAAACAATATTATTCTTTATTATATCTTCATCAATTTTATTAATTCTTGTATATATATTCCCATATATATATTTAAATATATGTGCAGAAACCGCAGAAATTAATCGTGTCGTCTTTCTACATTCAATTTCATCAAGAGTAAGAAACCTAGGACCTATAATTATAATGTTTCGAAAGCATTATCAGTGTCACGTGATTCAAGAGCATGATATTATACCAATAGTTAACGAGGAAGGTTTTAAGGTATTGTCAGAGCTTTTGGAATGTCAGTTGCCCATCAAGTCACTTAGTATTTAAGTTACATCTAAATCAATAGCCTTTTCAAGATGTACTCAAGCTGTACATTGTGATCCTGCTTAGTTGCACAAGATGGTCCCAACAATTGATCAGAATAGAAGAAGTTACGAGACTAAATAATACTAATGAGAATAAAACAAAATAAAATAAAGCATAAATAATTTCAGAGTAGATCTTGGTGTTAATAACGTTTCGTTTTTCATTTAAAAATCAATAAATGGCGTATTTTTTCATCACATTAATAGCTTTGTTTTATTTTTATTTTTATTTTTGATTGCATTCTCAGTTAATATCTTACTAAAATAGTGTTAACATATGAACCCATTCTATAATTGAAATGATAATGATGAAAAAAATTGACTACTTTAATTAATGATTAATATTAAAGCTCTATTCGAACATAAAGATCAGACAAAAGTTTATTCGCATGCCACAATATCCCCTAAATGAAAACATGGCGGTGTCCTCAGGGAAATCGTCCTAGATCGCAAATTATATCATCCTTTTACAATGTCACTATTATTAAACATTAAATTGAATAATTATTAAGAACATTAAAATCAAAACATTAAAAATAATAGTCAACTTTTTGCGACTACTGTCACAACATTTCATAATTATAGTAGGAATTAAAAATCAAATATACAGAGGCACTTCTACCGCATACATAGATGCATGCATAAATGAAGTTGCAAATGTTATATAGACTATCAATTCCATAAATCAATCGTTAAACACAATTTTGTTGTTGATAACTTGAATATATATTCTAGATTTCAATTACCCAATAGATGTGAAATATGGCAATCATACTAACTATTGAATACAAAGAACAAGAATCACTTATTTATATACGTACCAGAAATTTTAGTGAAAGCCAAAAACAAATTGGGAATTAACCAAAACATAACTGGATGAGGTTAGGTTAAACTATCTTGTAATATTTCAGGTATTGTAAAGCTCAAATTGACCCACCACCATTGATAATTAAAATTAGTTACCAACTACTGGTATAGTAAATTCTTTAAGAGAGGTGATGTAGGTAGGGAATATTGTCTACTTCTTAACTTGAAACTCTTCAGTTCGTACATGACTAGCACATCATTGAGATAATTACCATACTTAGCTATTGTCCGTTTACTAACTGTAGTATAATGATAAAAATTGACTAGCTGACATCCGTACAGTGCATATATTAAATTACATATGCATCTGTACATCACACGATGTATTTTATTTTAAAGTGACTGTTTTCGGCTTCTCATCTGTAAAATAAAAATTGGAAAAAAAAATAGATGTTGAATACATAAAACATTATTTTCATTTCTTCGAAAACCATTAGATTTCTGCGTCATCGCGTTTTTAATAGAAAGAAACTAGCGTAGAGTGCAACAAAATTCTAATGGACGGCAGACCATGTAATTTTTCACTTGTTTGGGAAGACGCAAGCACGCAAACAGAGGTGTTGGAGACTATAATGAACCAATTGATGAATCGATCACTCAGAAATAACAATGCAGTACTCTACTTCTCTTCCACAGGAATTTCCTACCAACAGCAATCCACATTGTCATAAGCACACTCTTCCCATCATAACCATTACTACCGAGTAACTCTTGTTAGAAGGAAAAACGCTCTCTAGCTTCTAGACTGAGTTCCTTCTAGAATGAAAAATATTTTCCTCTTTATACCACCAAACTCTCTTTCTACAATTCTTATTCTTTCTGTTTACAAACTTCCACCGCACGCATAACACACTCAAACATTGTTATCCTACTGGCCCTCTACCTCCATTGGAAAATTAAATTCCAATCTCTTGACAAATTTCATCAAACAATCACATCTCAATTTTATCCATAACATCTATCATCTATATTCTACCACCAAGCAATAATTTTATTCTGTTATTCTTATCGCAGTAGTAGTAGGGTTCAAACAATTAATATCGAATTTACTAACATTGTAGTAAGTGGTAGCATATTGTAACTTTCTTGATAATACCAATAATCAAATATTGATTGATACCTTTAGTTACAGTTAGTTAAAAGTATTACTATAAACTTAACTATTAGTTTATTACTATATCTTGATAAATTTAAACCCAGTTTCAAACAGTGAACAAGGTTAAATATAACAAAAATGTCCACCGATTCTGTTGTCAAGGCTTCTAACTGGAGATTAGTTGAAGTTGGTCGTGTCGTTTTGATCAAGAAGGGTCAATTCGCTGGCAAATTGGCTTCCGTTGTTGAAATCATTAGCCAAAAGAAGGTATGTTCTATATTCTAACAATTATTTGCAAATGAATACTATAAAGGCTCTTTTCCAAAATAAATTGCAATATGATATATTTTAATCCAAAGAAAAAAAAATATTACCAATGGTAAATCTATTGAACAATCATCAAATTGATCATGAAAGATGAAGGATTATTTAATAGTTTGAGTATTAATTTGAATTGAAATGGCTAATTCAGCATTTAAGTGAAATCGTTTCAAGTTTCAAAGTTTCGACGATTTGATTATTTATTCATAGGAAAACTAGCTTTATTAATATTTAATAATCCAACAAAGAGTTTTATTTTACTAACAAGATATAATTACATTTTATTTTTTACAGGTTTTAATCGATGGTCCAGAAACCGGTGTCCCACGTCAAGCTATTAACTTGGGTCAAGTTGTCCTAACTCCATTAACCTTTGCTTTGCCAAGAGGTTCCAGAACTTCTACTGTCTCTAAGAAATGGTTAGCTGCTGGTGTTACTGAAAAATGGAACGCTACCTCTTGGGCTAAGAAGATTGCTCAACGTGAAAGACGTGCTGCTTTGTCTGATTTCGAAAGATTCCAAGTTATGGTCTTGAGAAAGCAAAAGAGATTTGTTGTCAAGAAGGCTTTAGCTAAGGCTTAAATTTAATAATAATATTTAAATTATAATTGTACCATTTTTTTAAATATTATATTTTATTACAGGGATAACCACAAACAGTTAAGGCATATATCAGATATCTATATATATTTTTCCAAGAGATATACGTAATAAATAAAATCGTTTAAATATATATAAATATATATTACAGTTGTTTTATTTTCATAGCAAAATGGTTAAAAGTAATAAGGTTCCTACCTTGGTCAAGGAATGGTCCAATTCCATCAAACTGTCATGTCTTGTAAGAATATGAAAGATGGATTTCAAATATTAGCTCCGTACGAATAAACGTTTTTAACAGGATATTTAGGTGAAATCTATAATTAATGAAGCTAATTTGCACATATTTGAATAGAACTCATAATTTGTGATAAATTTAAGTGATTTCAACAAACAAGAATATTTATATAAACTATATTTACAATTTTCAACCCTTTGATACGATATTCATAAATCAGTAGCTGTACTTGGAAGGTTTTACTTATATCGATATATCTATAAGTAATATTCTAGTAATGGTTCTCAATTAAGACTGGTATGTTTAAAAAGAGGGAAATGGTTATTTTTACTAAATTGAAATTGTACGTACTTGTTTATAATTGATTAAATATAGTTTTAAGAACAAAACGAATTCGAGTTAGTAATAAATAAAAAGAAATACATATTGATGATATTGTATAAAATGTATAGCATTTTAATAGTCGACCACTTAGTGACCATATGTATGTCATGTTTATAAACCAAACTAAGTGACTTAGCGTTTACCCACATTGTAGTTACTGACACTCTAAGAAAATATATATATTTTTTATGAGACAAAGAAATGCGTATTTCTCAGTGTCAAGTTGTACAATTGTTAGTTAGTTAATTCTATTATTTTGCCATTATATTGTTTTCTTGAAAGGACAGTAACTTTGTTACAAGCATAAATAATGAAGACACTACAAGGGCTACCAGTACCTTTTAGTTTAATTGTTCCTATTAAGTTAAAATAGTTAAAAGTGGAGAGCACTACATTGTAAATTAATAATATCTGAGAAATTTTATAGTAACAATGATAGATGAATAGTTGATAAAATAATATTAATTTAGTCAGTTAGTGACGGACGTAACTCTAGAAACTTTGTTCATTGGTTCTATTTAATATTACTTCTATAATGTTGAAGGGGTTCTTTTTCATCTTTGGAGAGATGAATAAGAAGAAACGAATGTAACAATTCCAATTCATCTGATGTTTATATATATGTGTGCTTTCTCAAAATGCAAATTGTACTTAGATTTCTGATGCAGTTTATCCCATTTTACCCAAAAGGGTAAAACCAAGAAAATATTTTAAGTGGGCCTAACGAAGTGAAACTTCAAAAAAAGAAAGAATACAGTCAAATTTCAAGAATATTCACAGTAATCATCTTAAACAAATTTACAAATAAGCAAAGACTTGAGTAGAATAATTTTATAATTATCATTTACGCAAGTGAAAATATACACATTAAATTTAATTTAGAATTCTCTAGAGAGATAAAAATTATAACCGAACACACATAGAAGGAATAGTAAGTCTGTTGCTAAATAAATGTGTAGATAAATTATATCTCTTGGGATCGTAATGAAGTTTCACATAATTGTCTCTGTTGGCAAGTTGCCCCCCTTGTTACCAATTGAGTCTTAGTGATGGAAGATGATGTGAATCAAACTACTATATTTACATTTTATTGTTCCCCCGATTACAGATACACTCACAAGGATGATTTATAAAATATTCTATCGTAATGGGATAAAATATCGAGATGTTTAATTAATAGGGTGAAACTTGTTGCGTAGTTATAGTATTTCCGTGGGATAAGCTAGACGCTTTATTCTATCTACGGGGCCTAGAAGGAGGTATCTACAAATTTACTAGTGTAATACGTAAAAACTACCGCCATGAATTAAATACGTAAATGCTTGACAGATAGGCTATGATTTCTTGCTTGGCGAGGTTCAGGGGAACCAGTTCCGTCTAAAAAAGACTAATTCAATGTTTCAATTCTTCAGTATTGAAATCTCTATATATATAATGAATAATATTCTGTTATAGTTTTTTGAAATATTGAAGGTAATTGATTGTACTGGTCAATAATTTCATTGGTTTCTTTCTCCCTTTACGCAACGTTTTTTTTCCACGTTATTACTATCAGTATTACCATTTACCTGTTTCGTTTCCCGCATTTAATAGCATTTTCTTTTAGTCCTTTAACAAAGATTAAGTACGGGTAATACTTTGAAGAGGCTACAGATCTAATTATTATTAGTGATAATTTTATCATCACATACTCAAATAGCCTATATTTGCTAGGATAAACAGCGTCAGTATATCGCCATTATAATTATTTCCAAGAGTAATTTGAAACAGATATATCAAGTACAAAAGATAACAAAAGACAAAATTAAAGGATCCATTGTTGTTTAGATATATATAAAAATATCTAAAGTTCCTTTTATTTTAACGCACAATCACGACGATTTCTGATCAATAAATATCTAAATCATAGTAGATTGATAGAATACTATTATTTATATTTTCATTGATTATATTATCTCTTATTTATTATTATTATTATTATTATTATTATTATTATTATTATTCTCTTTTTTAGTTTCGTGTCGTGTCCTGCTCTACTTACTTCTTCACAAGATCAGACTAATTTTTAACATACAGCTTTTGGTAGTTCTGATTATAAATAAGACTTTATTTTCATTTTGCCTTCCTTATAATAGAATACTTGACCTCATTTAGTGTTTTTCTGTTACTGATTCCGGTTCGAACGAACGCATCTCAATCTCGATCTCATCTGCAAGGCGTAACTACGGTATTGCTCTAACCCATATCTTACGCCATCCATACTCAATATAATTTGGTTTGTTTTGTTTTGTTTTGTTTTTTTTGCTATTTATTGTACTAGTGCTCTGTGTTTTGTTTCTCTGTCTACCTGGTGTATTGACAATTTTCTCGAAACGAATATAGGAATAAAACAAATTCAGAGAAATTGACGCAATAGCCCCCGAAACGTAAAACGGAGCAGTTTCGAAAATTTTTCAAAATTTTCAGTTTCTTCTTTCTTTTTTCTTTTGCTTTTTGCCATTTGCCATTAGCCATTTGCCTTTCTTTTTGATTAAGCATTTTTTGGCAATTTATCCCACTAGCACTGCCAGAAGACCATTGAGTTCATAGCGTAATAGTCGAAACAAGTTCAGTCGAGTCCCCCCCCCCCCCCCAAGCCTAAGTACAGTCAAAACAGACCCACATATACTACCGAACATTACTTATTATTTTATTTTTTTAATCAACAAAATATAGGATAACAAAGACAAGTCAAGAGGTTAATTATTCTACTATCGGAAAGTATATTTATATTTACATTACCGTGGTGTGCACTTATAGGCTTTGGATAAAAAATATATATATATTACTTTCCTTTGACTATTTATTTATCAAGCAAGACTTGGGCTTTCCTTTTTACGTTTGTTATTATTATTGTTACTTTTTATTATTTCTTTTCCCTATTTCTCTTTGGTTCAATTTCCAAGAGAAAAGCGTTGACGATATTTATATATAAAACAAAAAATATATCTATATCTTTTCGAAACTTTGCTTTACTTTAGATTAATCTGTTTGGAGGTTGAAAATTAAAACGTACAGAAAACTTTAAAATTAAAACTAATACTCCAATAAGAATATAAGCAAATACAGTTTTAGCCTACTTTAAATCGTTATTACAGTGTACTAATCCTGAATTAACTGATACTGTCGAGTTTTTGATTGAAAAATAAAACAATAAAAAACCTATATTCTCTCTTTAAGTTATTATCGTTTCGTATAAGTTCCAGTCCACTCATTCATTATAATTCTCTCTCGTTATTCCTCTCATTATAGATAGTTATACTAATATTATTATTATTATTGTCAAGAAAAAAGAAAAGCTACATATAAAAGATCAAAACTATGAGTACCACTAATAAAAGTAATTTCTTTGTTAGATGGTTTTTATCAGAGAAGCCAACCGGCGCCACTGTATCAGATTTAAATTTAAGTTTTAATCCACAAATTACTTTACAAAAGTTTAAACGTTATACTATTACTAAGAAAGATGTATTACATTATTCCTTTTTAGGTTCAATAATGTTATTTGTCTTTATTACAAATCCTGCTCCTTGGGCTTTAAAAATATTATTTTACTTATTTTTATCAACTTTATTCATTTTGCCAATTACTTCACAATTTTTTTGGAATGCATTGCCAATTTTAACTTGGTTAGCTTTATATTTCACTTCTTCATATTTTCCAGCAGAAAAAAGACCAAAAATTACAGTTAAGGTTTTGCCTGCTGTTGAAACTATTCTTTATGGTGATGACTTAAGTGATATCTTGGCAACAACAACAAATACTTTCTGTGATATTTTAGCTTGGTTACCTTATGGTATTTTCCATTTTGGTGCTCCTTTTGTTGTAGCTGCTATACTGTTTTTATTTGGTCCACCAACTATTTTAAGAGGCTATGCATTTGCATTTGGTTATTTAAATTTATTCGGTGTTATCATGCAAAATGTATTCCCTGCCGCTCCACCTTGGTATAAAAATCTATACAATCTTCAAGCTGCTCATTATGGTATGCATGGTTCTCCAGGTGGTTTGGCAAGAATTGATAAACTGTTTGGTATTAATTTATATTCTTCTGGTTTTGAAAATTCTTCTGTTATCTTTGGTGCATTCCCATCTTTACACTCTGGTTGTGCAACTATGGAAGCTTTGTTTTTCTCATACTGTTTCCCAAAGCTAAAACCATTATTTATCTTTTACGTTTGTTGGTTATGGTGGTGTACCATGTATTTAACTCATCATTATTTCGTCGATTTGATGGCTGGCTCTGTTTTAGCATATACTATTTTCCAATATACAAAATATACCCATCTGCCTGTTGTAGATACCAATCTGTTTTGTAGGTGGTCATACAGTTCAATTGAACATTATGATATTGCAAAGAATAATCCATTGAATGCTGATTCAAATGATATTGAAAGTGTTCCTTTAGCCAATTTAGATACTAATTTCGACCTGAACGGTTTAAGAGAATCAAGCAGAAGTCCATCCATTTTTGACGTTCCTTATACTTCAAACTCTTCTTCAACTTCGAATACTTCATTAAATGAATTCAGTGATGAATTCCGCATAGCCTCTCCAAGATTAGGTAAGATTAGTAGATATGAATAGATTCAGTTGCAATATCGTCTACTTAATACTTTCTCTCATCTATTGTAGAAGTGGTTAATACTCTACAAAAATCATACACAATACCCTCAAAGAGACTTTTTTTGGGAAAGTTTCTTTGAAATTAGCATACTCGTCGTTTTGAACCAATTCAACCGCATATAATTATAAACAGATATTACATACAAACCTTGTAATAATAAATGATATGATAAAAAATCAAAGTAAACTTTGATCTTGATTTTAAGCTATCGTAGTTAGTATATACTTCTTAGGAAGATAGTCCTTAAGAACTAATGTTATTCTATATATGTTTATAACTAAATTTACAATCTACTTCTGACTATATAAAATAGTTTTTAAGAGCCAAGAATTAAATGATATCACAAGTGTTTATATTATTTGTAAATCAATTTGCATCACTTTACTAGAAGTGTCTATTTGTTTTGACTACGCCAGGAAATCTTGCTTCTCTCTAAACAATTTCTTGAACAACAGGTCAAATTTGCCTCATGACTTTCAATTCAATCCCATTTCTAATTCTTCTTAAATATAATGTCAGTAATTTAGTTACATTTCCTGTTAGATACTAATTAATAGATTATTGTTGTGTCTTTCATAAATATTTTTTTGCAGAAAGATTCAAAGCGAGATCCTTAATGAGGTTAAGTGTATAGGAAACCAATATATGCTTGTAACAACGCAAATTCTCGACAGAAAACTTGAATGAAATTCAATAGATATTTATTCAATGGTTCTATTGTAAAAGTTTGGTTGTTTTGGAGAGAATTTAACAATTGTAATAGGGTTGAAGGGCTCTATCCTAATTCATTACTGACTTTCAAAATCTGAAAATCGGATCTTGCCTTCCACAACCTAAATCAAATTTAAAGTATATGATTATAATATCAGTATTATAAAATGATACTAAAACAACCCTTAACAGGTAGAAAAAAATATAAAGAATTTATTCAGAATAATTCTCAACCGGATTAAATCAACAAATATTAGGATATAAGAATGAGAAATAAAGAAATATATAGAAACCAATAATAAAATTTAGAAAGTACCGTATACCAAAATAAAATCTATGACACTTGCTCACGTATAAGAATATTTATACTTTTAACACTGAAAAATCATCGAGACCTTAAAAGGTTATGTATCAAAAATAATAAATTCTATGCTAGAAGCCAAAAAATTAATTCAGATTTGGAATAATTATATTCACGTGCTATATTATTCTAACCTTTTTTTATTCTTTTAACTTTTCAATATTACATAACTTAATTATAAATGATATTTTTGTTTTTTGTTCCATTCCGAACCTATTATCATGTTTGAAAATAAAGATGTAAAATAATTAATCAGTTTAAAATATATTTAATATACGATTTTGTGGTATCTGAACTTAATAAGCTTTTGTACCACTGTCTATCTATGCTCTTATACGTTTATATAGCTCTAAATCAATATAAGATACACAATTATTATACATTTTTACTTCTAAGCTGTTAGAATAAATTAATAACTACTTAAAACTAAACTGAAGAAACAATTTCACTGGCATGCTTTAAAATGTCAACCATCTTCTTACATTCATTTCTTCTTTGTATAGTACCATCATTTTCCTTTGTTAGTTCAGATATGTTTTTGTCAGTGTATAATTTTTCAAGCAAAACTTTCTGAATTTCAGTTCTACTCTTGACAATCAATTTCAACATGATAGCTTTTGGAATAACATCTGCAACAGTTCTTTTAACAATGTTAAAGTAACTACTGATTAACAATTTGATAACCTCAGTTTCCATTGTTTCCCTCTCAGTCATTTGACCAGTAGCCTTTAATACAGGAGGTGGTGATTCTAGTGCTGCCAATTTCTTTTTGTTTTTGGTAGAGAAGAAACCACCGAAGAAACCTGACTTTTCTTCTGCAACTTGGACCGGAGCAACAGCAGGTTGGTTTGGTAACGGTTTACCAGTCTTTGGATCAACTGATACTTGACGTGGGTGCAACTTCTCTTCTACCATGACCATAGCTTGTGAACCTTTTAATAAATCAGGATGGGCTGTGTTGATATATGTTTCTTCTGATTTAATAACATCCACGACAAACTCATTAGTTGGAATAATAGCCTCCTTTAAGTATTCGATGAACTGGTTGGAGATAGCTTCTCTTAAGGCAGGATATCTGGAGTATTTCATATGAGAAATAATTTGTTTTAACATACGAACCAATTCTTCAAAGACCAATGTGACTAAACGCAATGAAGGTTCTTCGAATCTTTTAATCTGTTGTTTTACCAAAACTTCGAAAGCATCGGTACCAACAAACAGAGATGGAGCAGAACCAGAACTATTGTACATAATAGTTCTAATATCAGAATCTTTGATCTGATCAAAGGGATCTAAAGCTTCTACACCATTTTTGAAGACTTCGTGGAAAACAAAAGATATTCTTGCACCACCTGACAGTTCATTACTGGATAATTCTTTAGCTTCACCATCTAGAATACCAGCATATTCGTTTGCAAAATCGGTAATCATGCTTAGTACAATGGAATTAGATGAATCCATTGTTTCGGGGCCCAAGTTAAACAATTCATTTTGATATTTCTTTAAAGTAGCTTCAATTTTGGCTTTGATTTCTGGTAAGGTTTGTCTAATATGATGTAATAAAATAGAGTTTAATTTTTTAGCTAAATATGGGGTACCACAGTATTGAGCTTTTGAACTGTAAGAACTATGGTTTTCGAAGAATTTTCTTTCATCTTCTAAAGCTAATCTAATGGTTTTCTTACCTTCGATATCTTTCTGACCTCTATTGATAACAGGGACATAACCGTATCTTAAAGGAATAACTCTACCTGCTAAGATATCGATGACATCTGTACCTTCATCCATTAAATCGACTTTAGTTAAAACACCAATAGTTCTTGTACCTTCAGGGTCTACTTCTCTAGCTAATTTTAAACCATCACTGTTAGCCAAATCTGTGTTTGCAGCATTGACTGATAAAATGATTGCATTTGGTTTCGAAATATATTTCAACAACATATCTTTAATCTGTCTTTCGATATCAGGAGGTTGGTCACCGACAGGGACTTTAGTTAAACCTGGTAAATCCACTAAAGTTAAAGTTAGAACGAAAGGAGAATAAATTCTTAGATTGATTGGAACTGGAGAAATACCCAAATTACCACCAGTAACTTTATCTGTTTCTCTTACGATTTCTTGTCTAATTTCTTCAAAATTAAAAAACTTTTTACCTGGCAAATGTAAGAATTCCCCCCATTCTTCTGAATTATCTTCGGATTGACCTTTAACTATATTTTTTTTATCCTTATCATCAGTTTTATTGTTGCTGTCATTATTTAAGCTTAAATCAAGTAATTCTTCAGTAGTGGAATCGATTTTTGAATCCTTTTTTTTTGATCTTCTATTTATTAATTGTAAAACCAAAGGTCTTCTAGTGACGATACCAGTACCTCTTGGCAAAAAATCTCTACCTACAATATTTTCCAAAACTGAAGATTTCCCTGAGGATTGAGAACCAACAACAGTAATTTGTGGTAAATCGATTGGAGATTGAGAACCACCACCTAATGGGGCTAGAGCATCTTGCAACTTGTTAATGGTATTAATTAGAGACTCGTCCATTTTTATTTCTTGGTAATTTTCAATTTGAATAATCTGTTGCTAATAATGCTAATCTTGTTCTTATTCCTTTTATTATTCCTCTTATTCTTATTCTTTCTTGTCCTTCTTTTTATATATGTATAGATTGGTTGATCTAAAAAAGAAACAATAAAAGAACCAGTCAGTGCTTGAAGATAGAAAATGATAAATGAAATATAAAGAATACCAAATTTAACAATAATAAGTAAAGCTATTTGATATTACGTATTCTTGTCAGAGATATGATTTAATAGTTCTTCGCCACAGTGATTGTCAAATATCTCTGGGTGTGATTTTTTCTTGAAGTTAAATGTTTGTTGCTGATAAAAGAATAAACTTTAAACGGTAAATGAAGAGTTCCTTCAGTTTGAATTCAAAGTGGACTTGATGTTAACAAGAATGAATGTACTGGATACAACGTAAATTGGAATAGAGTAGGTTACGTTAGCCTAGAATAAGTTAGGTCTCTCGTATTATATTTTATTAGAGAATAGACTGGATTAGACCAGATTAGACTAGACTAGATTAGATTAGATTAGATTAGAAGTTGAACTAGATTAAAAAGGGGTCCCGTCCCATTTTCCGTTTGCAATTTTTTTTTTTTTTTCGCTGGAAAAATTTTGTTTGGTGAGGAAAACGGAGAGAAACAGCCGGAGAAACCACCAAGACAGAACAGAACGGGAAATAAAAAAATTTTGTTTTTTTTGGAGCAAAAATTTCTTCTGCGCCTGTCTCTCTGTTTCTTGTCTTTACTGTCTTTGTCATGTGATAGTCATGTGTATGTCATGTGATGTTTGTTTCCTTGTCTCTCTATCTTGCTCATATTACCCTGCCTTAATTGCTTCCTCCGTCATTTTACTGCGAATCAATCGAAACTACCACTGCTACTCCTACTCCTACTCCTACTGACCCACCACCACCACTATAATAACTGAATATATGTATATTATATATATATATATATATATATATATACAATATACAACAATAGGTTTCTTGACTGTATACACACTCACTTAATCTTACTCTCACTCACCCTCTCTCTTTCTCCCTCCCTCCCTCCCTCTCGTATTAGCTGTCCTGTGCTGTAACAATACGATCGATATACAAGACAAGACGCTTCCACTATCCCACCTTAAATTTTATGATATTGTAAAATTATATAGCCCAAAGCAAGATTACACTTCATTTACATACTTGACTCGACTAATAAGATAACAACTATCGAAACTGTTGGAAAGGAAATTAAACAGGTACCTTGAATTGAACTGAATTAAATTGAATAGTCTAAGTTGGGTTGGGTTTGTTTCTTCCTTATATCGACTGAAATTTATAGAAGACGTTCCCTTTGTTTGCGAAGTCAGAATTTCAAATTAGTATATCTCTTTTCAAATCAAGTTTTTATTCTATTATAACCGGTTTGTTATATATCCTCATCCTCTCATTCTATCTCCCTCTATATATACTTGGACATCATTTTGTCATAATTGTATAGGAATAATTTTAGATTAACAATATATTATTATTTTCTATTATATTACGAGAGATCTAGAACTGCAATCGCAACTACAATTTACAATTACAATTGCCATAGAAGTCAAAGTCTGGTTGAGTAGATATAAATCGTAGTGGAAACAAAAAATCACACACACACGCATACGCCTATCTATATATACATAGACTCATCAAGGATTATTCTACTAATAAGATCTATCTCTGTTGGTTGGTATTGTATTGGCCAGAAAACATAAAGTGAAAAAAAAACTTTAAACCATAATAATAAAAGTAACTAGTAATTATATTGCTTTAGTTATTGTTGTCATTGATATCTATATCATTCGAATATTATACCTTGATTGAGAATTCTGTGGTTCTCTTGGTTTGGTATTTATATTCGTAATTGCAAGAAATTTGTTTTTACTGATCTGAACTTTCTTTAAAACACAAAGTTATTCTGTTATAGTGTTTGGACTTGTCGACAAATTATTGAGCAATTTTGGATTAATCAAGTGCTATACTTTCAATAACGGTTTATTTATTAATTCCACTCCCTACTAGTGAGAATACAATAATATTTAATTTCATTGTTAGCTTTTACCATTTTTTGTGCGGCGATTTGTCTGAGAAAGGAACGAATAGGAATTAAAACTATAAAGATATTATTGTTATTATTCTTATTATTCTTACTATCACTAATAATATTATAAAACTGAAGCTAATAAGAATTACTCTAGTTTCATCGAATTACATTTGTTACAAAATAAATTAAAATAAAATAAGTTTGTTGACTAATATAAAGAATTTTACCTTTAATTAAGGATCTAAAAAGATAATAAAGTAATAAATAATTTTAAAAAAAGAACAATAGAAAAGTAACAATAAAAATGAACTATCAAAAAGTTTATGGTATAACAGGACCTGTCTCAACAGCAAGCCCAACAGCTGCAGAAAATAAACTAAATGATGAACTTATACAAGAATTGAAAAAAGAAGGTTCTTTTGAATCTGAACAAGAAACTGCTAAGAGGGTTAAAGTTTTAGAAATTTTTCAACAACTAGCTCAAGAATTTGTATACCGAGTCTCGAAATCAAAAAATATGTCAGATGGTATGGCAAAAGATTCTGGTGGTAAAGTTTTCACTTTTGGTTCATATCGATTGGGTGTCCATGGTCCTGGTAGTGATATTGATACTTTAGTGGTTGTACCAAAACATGTCACAAGAGAAGACTTTTTTACTGTATTCGATGAATTATTAAGGAAAAGGAAAGAATTAGAAGAAATAGCACCTGTACCTGATGCATATGTACCGATTATTAAAACAAAGTTTGATGGGATTTCTATAGATTTAATTTGTGCACGTTTGGACGTAGCGCAAGTCCCCCAAACTTTAACTTTAAGTGATAAAAATTTATTGAGAAATTTAGATGAAAAAGATTTAAGAGCTTTGAATGGTACTAGAGTTACAGATGAAATATTAGAGTTAGTACCAAAGCCAATTGTATTTAGAATTGCACTAAGAGCAATAAAACTTTGGGCTCAAAGACGTGCCGTGTATGGTAACGTTTTTGGTTTCCCTGGTGGTGTTGCATGGGCAATGTTAGTAGCAAGAATATGTCAATTATATCCAAATGCTTGTAGCGCAGTTATCCTGAATAGATTCTTCAAAATACTTTCGGAGTGGAAGTGGCCACAACCAGTTGTTTTAAAACCAATTGAAGATGGTCCATTGCAAGTTCGTGTGTGGAATCCAAAGATATATGCCCAAGATAGATGTCATAGAATGCCCGTAATTACTCCTGCATACCCTTCAATGTGTGCTACACATAATATTACAGAATCTACTAAAAAAGTAATTTTAAAAGAATTCGAAAGAGGTGTAGAAATAACGAATAATATTTTCTCTAATAAAGCAACATGGGAAGATTTATTTAAAAGACATACTTTTTTCCATGACTATAAATTTTATTTAACTGTCACTGCATCGACAAAGGGTAATGATGAACAACACCTGAAATGGAGTGGGTTAGTTGAAAGTAAAGTGAGATTATTGATTTTAAAACTAGAGGCATTACCAGGAATAAAATCAGCACATCCATATGTAAAGCCATTCGAGTCAACATATTGTTACTCAACTGATGAAGAATGTAAAGATATAGTGGACAGTTATGGTACTTATAAGACAGAATCTTCCTTAGAAAAATATACCAAGGTTACTGAAGAAAATTCAAATGCCCCAAGTATTGAAGGGAAATTACAGGTACACATTACTACAATGTATATAGGCCTTGACGTCAATGTTGAAAATAAAAAGGAAAAGATCGATATCCATGTACCATGTAGTGAATTTTTGACCTTATGCCGTAATATCAACGAGGAATATCAAAATACTGACATATTTTCACTAATAATTAGATATGTTAAATTATATGAACTTCCAACAGATGTTTATGTTGAAGGAGAGGAAAGACCGGTAAAGAAGAAGCATAAACGAAAGAAGGAAGAGAAACTTCTCGACGGGATTAAAAGATCTAAATCTGAATATGGATCCTCTAAGGATTCCAGCTTGAGGTCTAACTCTGCTGATTCAGTTAAAACTGGATGATATCCCTCATCGAATCTCCCAAGTAATTTGGTCATTAATTTTACAAATATTTTAATTCACAGTATATAGAAAATGAATCAATTATTCTAATCATATAATTTTAAAATGTATTATATAATTAATTAATTTTGTATTCTTCATACTCTAAAAAGCATATTGTTACAAGTTAAATTTTTGATTTAGATTTCCAATTCTTTGGAAAAGCCAAAATATTCAACGTAAAATAACCATTATATATAAATTAATAATATTATAGTATGATGTTACAATAAAAAATCATAAGAAGATTGAGCCTCTCATCCTTTATTATAACATATATGGCATGCGTGGTTAGACATGCTTTATTTAACGTACCTTATTACCCGGGGATACTTTGGCATCTCAATTCCTTTGATCACATGATATACCTTATTTTCAAAGGTAACCGTAATCTTATCCATTTCAATAAATCAAAGCTTTAAAAAGTGGCAAAATCGAATTGTAATAACTCTTGTGAAGATTACATGGATGTGTTTGGACAACTTCAGTAAAGGGTTTAAGGCTTAGAAGAGTGCTCAATCGATAGATATATTACACTAAAAATGGAAAGATTGCAGAGACTTATGATGAATAGCAAGGTTGGTGCCCCTGATGCCAACCGTGACGATACCAAAGAGACTGTATACATATCATCAATGGCATTATTAAAGATGCTGAAACATGGTAGAGCTGGTGTTCCTATGGAAGTAATGGGGTTGATGTTGGGTGAGTTTGTGGATGATTATACCGTCAATGTTGTGGACGTTTTTGCTATGCCTCAATCAGGTACCGGTGTGTCTGTTGAAGCAGTAGATGATGTATTTCAAGCGAAGATGATGGATATGTTAAAACAAACAGGTAGAGATCAGATGGTTGTGGGTTGGTACCATTCACATCCTGGTTTTGGTTGTTGGCTATCCTCTGTGGATGTTAACACTCAAAAGTCTTTCGAGCAATTGAATAATAGGGCGGTTGCTGTAGTGGTAGACCCAATTCAATCCGTGAAAGGTAAAGTAGTTATTGATGCCTTTAGATTAATCGATACAGGTGCTTTATTAAATAACCAAGAACCTAGACAAACGACATCTAATGCAGGTTTGTTGAATAAAGCTAATATCCAAGCTTTAATTCATGGGTTGAATAGACACTATTATTCCCTAAATATAGATTATCGTAAAACCCTAACAGAGACCAAGATGTTAATGAACTTACATAAAGATCAATGGCAATCTGGTTTGAAGATGCATGATTATGAAGTGAAAGAACATGAGAATTACGAAGCAACCAAGAAAATGGTGAAGATTGCTCATCAATATTCAAAAAGAATTGAAGAAGAGAAAGAATTAACAGAGGAAGAGTTGAAAACACGTTATGTGGGGAAACAGGATCCAAAAAAACATTTATCAGATACCTCAGATTCTGTGCTGGAGGAAAATATTGTTTCAGTGCTTACTGCAAGTGTCAACTCTGTCGCTATTAAATAAAAAAAATAAGAAAAATGTCATTAGTCATTATTTAATTATATATGCATAGTCTATCTGGTTCTAAGAGAATGATAATAAATATCACAACTCCTTAAGAAGGGAAATCGATACTAATCTACTGTAATTTTTTTCCACACTTGCAAGTATGTCTCACTTAAAAATAGTAATTCCCTTTCTTTGATCTTAACTTCAGTGCCGTCAATTTCATACCATTGTTCATCTTTTTCATTTAATAATTGGGCTTTCCATTTGCTTTGTAGATCCTCATTAGAAGTGTTATCAACAGATAACTCATGTAAAGGTTCATGGATGATATTAGCTATAAGCTGATATTTTGTTTTTTGAAGTTCCATTAATGTTGGAAACTCGACTAATGTTTGATTTCGATCCTTTACAGGTGTTTTTTCTTTATTGTCAAATCTATTGAAATGTAATATCAGATATCTTGGTAATTTTAATATTTTGTATTTTTTGACTCCTCCCAAGGTTGGATATTCATTTATGCCATTAAATTTTATTAGTAGTTCTCCAAGCTTAACTTGAGGGAGATCATTCACCTCCAATGCATTTCTGAATACTGTTTGAGTTGGGAGATCTAAAGTTAACAACCAAAATGGCGATTTGACCACTTTATTAGAATTTGCTTCTTTACCTGAAATTGCACTCGTGCTTATCGATACTTTTCCGAGTAATTGCTCCTTTAATATCAAGCCTAATTCTTGAGATGATTTAATAATTGAATTTATAATCTTCAGCAGAAAAATTTTAGGATCTTGGATCATTTTTTCAAAATTCTCATGAATTGAAAGGAATGCAAAAAATTCATCTGCAGAAATATGTGACTTGAAAAGTTTTGTAGACCAAAGTTTCCTTATTATCAATTTAATATTTTTCATGAAACTTTCTTCGGAATCTATTTCATTTAACAAGAACCAATCCCTAATTGGTTCAATATGTGCTAAAAGTTGTAAAATACTTTGCACAAAACCATTACTTTGAACGTTACTGATTCCTACATAACCATTGATGTATAATTTATTGTTCAAATCAAAACATCTTTGAGGGAAATGAATAATTTCAGATTTATCGAATCTGGGATAGATGGCATACCGAATGTCATTAATCAATTGTATTTTTCCTTGATCCTTTATTTCAATGTCAGTTGGCAAATTATAAACTTTAAGAGTATCTAAATTAATAAATACAAAATGGTTTTCATTGACGGAATGTAAAAATGCAGGACTGTGTTCTCTTCGTCCCTGTAAATACTTTCCACAGATCAGGCAACAATACACGTTTAATGATGAAGAAGTAACGCTGCATATTTTCTCAATATCAAAATCCAATCTCTTCTTATTAACAGTATTCAATTCTGAATATAAAACATCTGAAATACGGCTCTTCTTGTAGTTATCATTACTTTCAACATCAGTATCATCTTGAAGTGGTCTTTTTGAAATCTCCATGTTTCCCTAACCGAATAATCTTTAAATAAGCCTTATTTTACACTTCAAAGTTGACCATAAAATCATTCAATACCAGTTACAACAATTAATACTCTTGTAAATATCTTCATCGAGTCTCTAAAACGTTATATTTCAAAACACTTAAGCTAATGAGAGTGATGAGATGAGTTTAAATATGAATATTTCACTTTTTCCTTTGGTCTTCTAAGTGAAGAAAAAATCGATAAGATTGGATATTCTAATATTAAATGAATTGGATTAAAAGTTGAGACATTGAATAATTGATAAGACCTTTTGCAGTCAATCGAAGAGGTTAATGGGATTCCATATTATAACTGCTATTGTTGTCACCTCATTGGTTTCGTTTGTTGCTTTGAAGAAGAGGAGTAGAAGAGTCGAGATAGATATCAATCAAGGAGAGAAGCAACAGGAACAAGATCAGGAAAAATTATTCGTCGAAATGAACCAAAAGGATAGCAAAAAGATTTCAGATCAAAATTACGTACCTGGGATAATCAAAGGTAAGAAATACCCAGCTAAGAATCACAACATCAGGGTCAAGGATATTCTATTGTCTAAAAAAGATAATTTAAAGGTTACTGAAACTGCTATATTAATTGCAGGTGCAGAACGTGAACCTGTTAAATATTGTGATCGTACTAAAAAGTTTAGACAGAACCAATACTTTTATTATTTAACTGGTGTTGATATTCCGGGAAGTGCATTATTATTTAACTTCAAAGATGATAAGTTAACACTGTTCTTGCCAAATATTGATTATGACGATATCATGTGGAGCGGTAAGCCAATGAGCTTAGAAGAAGCTTTAAAAGAATATGATGTAGATGAAGTTTTATACTATGATGATTTGAAAATGAAATTAGACCAATTGAAGGATTTTACTATTTTTACTACCGATAATGATAATGTTCATGATGATTCAATTAAAGCTAGATTGACTCCCTCAGACAGTGATTTCTTTTTTGCTCTTGATGAGGCTAGAGTCATTAAAGATTGGTATGAAATTGAAATAATAAGAAGAGCTTGTGAAATCAGTGATAATTCGCATTACGCTGTTATGTCAGCTTTACCGATTGAAACTAATGAAATGCACATCGAAGCTGAATTCAGTTACCATTCTACCAGACAAGGTGCTCGTACTTTAGGTTACGACCCTGTTTGTTGCTCTGGCCCAGCTTGTGGAACATTACATTACATCACCAATGATGATGATGTGGATGGTAAGAGCTCTATATTGATTGATGCAGGCGCCGAATGGAGAGGTTATACCAGTGATGTAACAAGATGTTTCCCAACTAGTGGTAAGTTTACCAAGGAACATCGTGAAGTTTACGAAACCGTTCTGGACATGCAAACACAGGCAATGAATTGTATCAAGCCAGGTTCTTCATGGGACGATTTACATCTATTGGCCCACAAAGTTTTGATTAAGCATTTCTTGAAATTGGGTATCTTTAGAAAAGAATTCTCTGAAGATGAGATTTTGAAAAGAAGAGTTTCCTGCGCTTTCTACCCTCATGGTTTGGGTCATTTCATAGGTATTGACGTTCATGATGTGGCCGGGAATGCTAACTACGAAGATCCAGATCCAATGTTCAGATACTTGAGAATCCGTCGTATATTAAAAGAAGGTATGGTGGTCACTAATGAACCAGGTTGTTACTTTAACGAATACTTGTTGGATGAATTCTTGAGAAAACATCCTGAGAAATTAGAAGTTGTTGATGAGGCAATTTTGGCCAAGTACATGTATGTTGGTGGTGTTCGTATTGAAGATGATGTTGTAGTTACAAAACATGGTCACGAAAATTTAACTAAAATTACCAGTGATCCTGATGAAATTGAAAAGATTGTTAGTGATGGTTTATCAAAGGGCCGTTCTCACTTCCATGTAGTTGTTTAACGTTATCGTTAAGGATAATGACAATTTAGTCTATATACTTTAATAAATCATGATGTCAAATGATGAAACTAAAAAAGAGCTGCAAGTATGCATTTCAATGCTGAAGTTTTATTGATTTTTAATGAAGTCTGTCTTCGTATTATGTATGGTGAAATCAATACATAATTAAAAAACAAAAAATAAATGCGAATTCTGTGGATCGAACACAGGACCTCCAGATAACAGATGATTTGACCGAAGTTAATTCTTCAGTCTGGCGCTCTCCCAACTGAGCTAAATCCGCTTATTAACTTGGATTTCTAAGAAAAAGTAATTTAACCGATCAATTTTTATTTTACATGTGACCACATTTTTTTGTATGAGATTTATACAGCGTGTTAGAAGCCTAAAAGAACAAATACATGTATCACACAATTAAAATAATATCTACTGACACATAAAAGGGGTACTTTATGTAATTGGCATCTTGGTTTATTCTCCAGGTTAAATTGAATGACTAGTTAGCAATTCAATCGAAAAATGCGTTCAAAAAATATAACTGATATTTTAACTAATTAGTGAGTCTACGAGTCACATATCCATTCTTCCAAATAACCTTCTTTAACTGTTGTATAATAAATGAAAAATAAAACGAGAGAAGCACTTAAGATATTTAAGTGTAATACGGAAAACTTTGATTCAATACTCCCTTAAATTAGTAGTCAAATGAAAACAAAAACCACTGGAGATCTGGAATTATCCTATATAACACTTAATGCATAGGACTTCCTTCCCGATAAGAATGATGGAATTCTACTAAATGCTGATGTTTTGCAGGAGAATTTATGACACCCTTTAATAAAAGACAAACGAATCGGAGTTTTGAAGTAGAGGCATCTAACTTAATTTATATTAAAATAATTATTTAGAGTTTATTTTACTTATTAAAAATTATGCTGAAAATCAATGATATTTAAAATTCATCATCAAAGCTAATCTCACTAGCAGCGATCTTTTCAGTTTTACTGAATTTTGTAGTGTTCTGTGAATCTGATGACTCAGTTTTTGGTATGACATTTTCAAAACATTCGTGTTCCAAATTATCATATGGATTAGCTGAATGGAAATGTTTTTGGTTTCCAAAACCCATCAAAACTCTGTCACCAACATATTCAATGACGTTCTTGATATCTGCCTTAGTTTCTTTGTCCAATTGTTTATTAAAGTAATCATCTTCCAATGTTTCAAGTTCGATTTCTACAGCTTCTGTGACAATTCTTTCAATGATGCCTGGGTCAAGTCTCTTTTTTAGCTCTGAATAAATGGACATTTGGAAATCACAATGAACTATATGATCCTTCAAAATTAGTTTTATGCCTGAAATTAGGCCAGGAATTATGTCTTTCTTTTCTAATGACATAATTGAAAAAAATGATACAAGAGAGAAGATTGCTTCTATCGAGGAAAATGCCACTAATTTTTCAGCAAATAAAGAGCTCTCTTTATCAAACCATCTCTCTGCAAAACTCTTTTTCCTTTCAATGAATTTGGCATTGTCCACATCTTTAAACATTTTTTTTATTTCATCTGTATTATGAACCAATTGATCAATAGCCAGTGAATACACTTCCCCATGGATGTTTTCTACCATAATCTCAAAACCGTAGAAACATTTTGCCTCTGGTATTTGTACTTCTGATGATATATGTTCTGGAAGGTAAAAAGAGCCTAAAACTGAACTACATAAAAAGGCTAATGATTTTTTAATTATACTTTTGTCGTGGTCACTGGCTTTCTTCCCCCAATTAATAATATCGTGACTGAAATCAATTTCTTCAGCTGGCCAGAATAAAGCTTCTCTTTTCTTATAACCATCATATACAGTGTGAAATTTGATAGGCATCAACACGAATCTGCTCTTGTTTTCCATTAAAATTGGTTCTTTGCTTTGGGATTCTTCGACCTCCAAACGATGAATCTTGTATTTCTCAAGGAAAGAATCATAATCAATGGTTCCTTTTGTTCCTGAGATAGTGGAGTCTTTGTTAGCTTGAGTCATTAGGAGTAACTTTCTTTAATAAGAATGGAGTTTTACTTGAGGGGTATTATTTAGATTATAACTGGTGATGATAGTTAATGTCTAATGGTGTTTTGTATAAAAATTTTAAATTGTAAATAGATTTTAAAATTAGTCCAATTGACAAGACATAAGAAAATTGATTTAATTGATCCACTTATATATGATTCTAAAGTTGAGATTTAAACTTATTAAAAGGTCTGGAATTATACGATAGTAGCATTGTATAAATTTTATTGGACCCATGCTAATGAGCTTGCTAAGTTACTAATAATCCCTCTACTAGTAATATACTTTGTCCATTTTGTGCAACAGTAATCTACAACTAGTACTCCCTTAATGCAATAATAAGTAAAGTTCCAATATATTTACTATTTTCTATTTACTATTTATTTGTTTGTTTGTTTGGATAAGTTTATTGTTGTTGTTATTGTTATTATTATTGTACATTGGTAAGATATTATTGTTTACTATTATTTATTTACGCGTTTCCCAACTTTTATTGTTTACGCGTCAGTCATTGAGAAATCGCCGTAGCAATCAAAACGATTTCGAAACTTAATAGTTTTGGTGATGCATAAAAAGAACCAAAGATTAAAACTTAAAACAAACTAACACTTATGTATATGTCTCAACCTATTATAAAACATATAAAAAAGTAGATTGGTTACGAATGAATATAAGTTAAGCATAAAAAAATAACAATTTTAGCCTTTCTTTTTGATCCCTAATTGTACGATATTTAGTAATATCTTATCGATTTGATTCCGTATTAGTAAACATGGTTAGAAAAATAAACCAAGAATAGTTCAGTAGGTGAAGTAAAAAGTTGCAGTAAAGGTATACTAAGATGCATTTAAGAGACTCTTGCTATTGATATTGTTTTGTTCAATTCAATTTTTTGTAATTATTCATAGAAGTGATATTTAGGAGGGAAATAAATAGCAATATGAATTATGAAGTCTCCTAGAAGGTTTGGAAAATTTAAAGTTTTAAATTAGATATGCTACCTATTTTGTAAATAGTGATACTACATCCTCGTCATGAATCTTGTGATTTAGACCACACTTTTGTGGTGAATGTTTGGCTGAGGAACCCCAGACTAGTGCGTATTTAAACTTATCTTTGAAATCTCTATGAATACTATGACATAGATCACCGACAGTAGAATTATTTCTAACCACTAATGGGTCACCGAACTCTGGTCGTATACCTCTTTTTTTAGTAAATACTCTACTCAAGTTTAGTTGGTACCAAATTTCTTTAACAACATCGTCCAACCCTAGATCCATTTCACAGGACATGACAACAGTATTTGGCTCTCTAGCTAATCTATCAACTTCCTCTAAAGATACTGCATCGATCTTGTTATAAACGTAAAGACATTTAATGTAATTACGATGTTGATCATTGATGATATCAATGAAGTCATCAATAGTACAATTATCATCCCTAACTAAAACGTCTGCATTATGAATTCTATAATCTTTTAAGATCAATTTAATTGCATCTTCTGTTAAAGTAGTCTTTGTTGGTGCGGTAAATGTGACTTTAACACCTCCGGTTTCCTTCTTCTTAAAGTAAATATTTGGCTTTTCTTTATTCAATCTGATACCTACGGCCTCCAATTCTTTTTCTAATGATTCCCTTTGGTGTTTACTCTTGGTGGCATCTAAAACCATTAGAACTAAATCAGCTGTTCTAGCGGTTGCTACAACTTGTCTACCACGACCTTTACCTTGGGAAGCACCATAGATGATACCTGGCAAATCAACAATCTGAATTTCAGCACCTTCATGTTTTAAAACACCTGGAACAGATGTTAAAGTTGTAAATGAATAATGTGCAATTTCAGATTTTGTCGAAGTGATTTTACCTAACAGAGAAGACTTACCGACAGATGGATAACCAATTAATACTACACGGGCATCACCAGATTTTGCAACTTCAAACCCAGTCCCACCACCAGAACCACCAGCTCCTGCTTCATCTGCTAATAATTGTTGTCTATAACGTGCTAATTTACCCTTCAATAAACCCAAATGATGTTCTGTAGCTTTGTTTTTTTGAGTACGAGACATCTCTTCCTCGATGGCTTTAATTTTATCAACAATACCCATCTTGAATTAATTTATTAAACCTATGTGCACTTACTCTCTTCTATTTTCAATAACAATACAAATAATAATTTCTTACTTTCTTCTAATCAAGTTAAACAGTTTCGAAATATATATATAAATTGTAGGTGTATATCTATATTTTTCTCCTCTATTTCAACTTCAAAATGGCTATTCCAACGAGGTTACCTACTGAATATGTTCTAATTGATGCAATGAAACAATGGACTAGTCTGATAGAACCTTTATGATTCAGGTGATGAGGTGATATTGCATTATGTTTTATGCTAAGTTTTTTTTCATTGCTGTTAAATTTTCAGCTTTCGAAGTGGGCCAAAATCAAAAAAAAAAAAGATGTTGCGAAAAATTATAGTGTAAATATGAAGGCGCTATCATATGACACTTTTTATTCTACCTAATAAGATTCCAATGGACTTAAAATATTCAATGAACGACAGACACATCGAAGTCAGCAATGGATTGGTGTTTAACAGGTTAAACTGATGGGGTTATATGATGGGTAGTTCAGTAGTGAATGAACTAGTACTCTCCCTTTTATTGTTGTTGTTCTTTTCTGTCCTTGTTCAGGAAACTGTTAAGAAATTTTGACTTGTTAAATTTACTGACGTATAGTCAAGCAATCATACTGATTAAAGTATATGGTAATAGAATATGAGACTGATAAATCTGGAATATTTATAAGGATGGTTGGAAGAGGAGCGGTGATTATTTGTATGGTTTGAGACAAAAATAATTTCAACTTTCTCACTTATTTTACATTTTGTTTGTTTTCAACTGTAAATATACATTGACTATTAGTATTAGATAGAGATCTAAAAGATAAAAAACAAATAACGTAAGAAAAACATTATATACTTCAAACATATTCATTAAAGAAATTGCATGGACTACTATCTCTCAGAAAATTACCTTATAGATAATTTGGATATAGGAATTGATGTATTAAAATGATTATGACACGTTGAAATGGTATTTATAATTAATAAAAACTCGGTGGCTATTCTTAAATTGGAACCACATATCTTTGGTTCTATTTATTTCAACATTATGATTTTTTTCGTATAATCTGTATGAGATGTAATCATAGTCTAAATGTTGTGACTTTAAACCTAGATATTTCAGGATAAAGATGCTGTTATTATCGCTTGTCTTTTATACAAGGTGAATGTATCTATTACTTCCTATATATAAGGGAAACAAATATTCAGTTCTGATGTATAAAACTATTTATGTTATATAGACTACTCTGTTATAAGAGGGAGAGCGATTTACCACTCACTGACCTCGGTAATAGCTCAAGATCCCTATTTAAGGTATATCTACTCTCATTAAAGCTTAAAGCTTATACCATTTTGACAAGAATTGATATATTAAGAACTGTGTCTAAAGCTGAGCACAGTATGCTCCACAAAATACCATGAAGATGACTTTCCAAAACCTAACACACTCTAGTTGTATACAAGGATTAATGGTATTTGTGTGTGATGACTATAACTTGTTCTAAATAACTTCTGCTCCCTCAGCCGCCTATTGTCTGCCATTTTGAGAACTTTCACTATCTGGACCCTTTTGCTCTCTCAAATTTGGCCTTGGGCCCACTAAAAGAAGTGGGTTCCAAATTGTCTGTTCATGCGTAGGTCATGGTGCATATTTAACGTATATCCACTCATAGTAGAGCTTAAAAGCTCTTACCATTCTGACAAACTTGAAGCACTTGCAGTATTTACAAAAATATTAAAGTGAAATAATTTATGGCGATAAAGTTGGCCCTGCCAAATTTAAATTTTTACTAACTCTGTTGTAAAATGTCCGACTTTCGGGGCAATCCCTATACCTATGATCAGCCTTACCACAGCGATAACATAATCCTTTTGTCCTTCTTTCCTTACGTAACGAGTAATTGTTCTTTCCAACTTTCCCTCTGTTTCTGTCAGTACATCCATTACGATTGTAATTACGACGGTAAATTGGTGCGGTCGTAGCCAAAATATCATCAGTGGACTTGGCATTTTCGTTCCTGGTAGGGGTATACGAGGTTCTTTCCTTGTAAGGAATATAGTCATAGGTAATATTGTAAAGTTCCTCGAAGGTCTGAGGGTTTGCCAATCGGATGGCAATAGCAATGGATCTATCCATGTTCTTTAGGTAGAAGTGTTTCGCAGCGACCAATGATAGTGATCCCGGCGGCAATAGTCGATATAAGCGATTGAATTCAGTGATGAAAGCATCGCTACCCATTTCCATTGGTTGTAGTCTTTCCATATCATTGAACAGTTGCTCTGGATCAGGTATTCTTTCGAACCTTTTCTTGAAAGCTTTGACGAAAGTTTCGTAAGAGGCATCCTTATTATCCTCGCGCCAACTATGGAACCATAAACTGGCAAGAGATTCAAAGTGGTTTGCAACGAAATGAATACGTTTCTTCTCTGGGATATCGTGAAATTCAAACTGGATTCTCATGGTGCTCAAAAAGCTGTTAATCTTAAGCACGTCGTGAGTACCATGGAATGGTAGTGTTACACGATACATATACTGGGGCGTCGAGGTGGTTTCTGCTCCCTCTCCGGAATGAAAGGTTGTGGATGTAGACATAGCAGTAAAATAACGAGTAGTGACTAGTAAAAATAATCGAGGTATCCTAAGTAACTGTGCGCTACCAGATGTTGTGATATGTTCGATACAATTAGTCTTGTCTTTCTTGTGGACAAGGGACAAGTATATAAGATAGTTGACGACCTTAAGCTTGTTATTCTTGTCCTTCTGTATAAACTACCAACAATATAGAAGACAAACTATATACTCGGGACTGTACCTATGTTCCCTTTTATATATCTGAGTTCCGGTCCCTTGAGATGCCTTCGGATCCTTAGGTTACCCTTACACCGGTCAGGTGACATTCATTCAGCCGTTGCTGATGATAAAGATGTCTTGGTTCCATCTTTTCCTACAACAATTTCAACAATTAGATGAAGCGGTGGCTCAATGGTAGAGCTTTCGACTCCAGTTAAATCCTGGGATTCCTCGGAATACAATTGCAATCGAAGGGTTGCAGGTTCAATTCCTGTCCGTTTCATTTATTTTTTTTAATTTTCCATTTTTCATTTCAACTTTAATGAAAAAGTTACTTGTTGCTAACGTAGTCTTGGCATACCCAACGTCGACCAATCGAACACTCCCGCGTATCTAATCTACAAATAAAAACTCACTCACTCAAATACGACCCTCTCTCTTTCCCTTCCCCCATCATCCACCACCTTTTCTTATTCCAACCCCTTCACACAGACGTACTAAAAATACTGTTAACCATCTGATTCAAGTCTACAGCAACACCCCCCAAACATCCCCCCCCCCCCCCCCGCGTGCTTAATTCGCTACATTTATTTGTTTTCAAAAACCCTGGGTTCGAATTACTAAATCCGAAAAACTGCATCTTGCGTCATTTCTGGCTGGAGCTCGAGACCGTAACCACTTTAAGTTGCCCTAAATTTGATGGAAATTTTCTTCCCCGTTATCCTGTTAGTAAAGTTACCTTTTTTGTGGATCTGGCGGCTAAATCCATACTTCATTTATTTGTATATCCTATTGTACTTTCATATTTCTGAATTATATACTCATTTTTAGTGGGGTTCATTGTATATGGTAAAAGTAGAACTATCTCTCCCCTCTCTGGCCTGGGAGTTTATCGTGCTGAAGAATCCGTCCGTGGTTCTTAATGTGGAAAGTAATTTTGTGTTATAGATGGGGAAAAAAAACTAGGATTTGAAATGCTATAATTTGGTTTGTCTTGTCTATCTCTCGGTGGCATCGGTAGGGTGTGAAGTGAGCTCGTTCTGTGGTTCGTAAGTACTGATATTTTGGGTTTGGTGTTAAGCTTTGGTTTTTAGCGTTTTGTGAGTGAGTCTGATATTGATAGGTATAGTGAGCTGGTCTGGTTACAGTGCATG